ACCTCGCGGGCACTTCACCTCGCGGGCACTTCACCTCGCGGGCACTTCACCTCGCGGGCACTTCACCTCGCGGGCACTTCACCTCGCGGGTACTTCACCTTGCGGCTTGATGAGAAGGAGACCGAGATGTTAATAATACCACGCCGGACAATCGTTGCTTGGCAATTCTCTCTCCCATTCAACTCGTCACCTGAAGCGCAGGTTCTGGACAATCACACGCATATGGTCGGCCGAGTTTAAACATTTCAGCATCGGGAGCTGTGATGAGCCAACCTGTCATTCTTTCCTTGAGCTTCCTCGTACACTCGGCGCGCAATCACGCCCGCCGATGCAATCATGCCCACCCGCGCAGAAGCAAAAGAACATATCGATTCATTCTGGACGAGACGACACATTACCAGAGATGCCATCGATATTGAGAATGATATCAATCTTCGCGATCTTTCCAATGGACTGAAAATGTAGGTCCACACATCAACGCTCAGAGATTCCTGCTAACCAAATTTCCAGCCTTTCTGATGGCCTCTACGGTGATCTGACTCACTTTTTCTGGGAATTGCTCCAGAATGCAGATGACAGCAAATATCTTACGACGCCCCGCGTCGACTTTGTCCTGGCGAGCAATTCTTTGACTTACAAGACAAATGAAGTAGGCTTCACCAGTGCTGATGTGGAGTCGCTGTGTGCGGTGGGCTGCAGTTCAAAGGCCGGCCAGAATGACACGATTGGGGAAAAAGGCATTGGCTTCAAGTCAATTTTCAAGATTGCGGACGTGGTCACCATTCACTCAGGTGTATATTCTTTTAAACTGGATACCCGACCTCCTCTCGGCAACGTCGGCATGGTTCTGCCTATTTGGCTGGACAAAACACAAGACTCCCCTGCGACATCAATCACCCTGCAGTTCAAAGCCGAAATCGACGTGTCTAAGTTGCGCCAACACCTAGCCGCATTTGATTTCACCTTCCTACTGTTTACCCGAAATATCAAAGTGATCAATTTGAAGGTCGAAGCTGGGCAGTCGTTTGAGAAGCTTGGTCAGTTCGAACAACTGGCGCCTGGAGGTGTAAGAATAGAAACAAGGATCGATGGTCGTCCCGATACGACGATGGACTATGTCATATTTCGATCCAGGTGTTCTGGCATGCCTCCACGCCAACCTGGCGCTCAGGTTCAACCCGACAGCGATAAAACGACAATTGTGCTTGCCTTTCCACACCGCGATCACAAACCGCTCGCCGAAAGCCAAAAGACCTATGCACACCTACCGGTCAATTCTTTTGGATTTAAGGTAGTACCATTACATCTCTGGTGAAGCGATTCGATCCTAACAATTGCACAGTTCATTATTCATGCTGATTTTGTCTTGACTGCAAATCGAAAAGGTATTGATAGTGACCGAGGATGGAATTTATCCCTCCAGAGCCGTTTGCCAGGTGCGATCTGCTCTGCGTTTGAACAGTTGGCAAAATCGGCAGAACCTCAAATGAGGTGTGGTTGGCCCGAATATTTGGACTCTCTGGGGTCTATTCACGACTCGTTTATGAAAAAAGTTGCTAACTCCACCATCGCACAACTGCGATCGAAGCCACTGGTTCGAAAAGAGTTGCAAGACGATGTTTTCCTGGCGCCTCAGGATTGTCTGACTGCATCAGATGAGTTTCGTGACACCAACCGCGGACTTCTTATCACCGACGGCACATACGCACAGCGGGTGAGATCGAATGCCTACTCTTACAACTCATCGACGATCCTCTCCAAACTGGGTGTTACTCCCTTCGAGATCTCGCACTTTGTTGAGTTGCTAGCCCAATATATTTCAGAGCATATGGCAAGTTTCTCATCAAATCCAACAGCATGGCACTCTCGCGTCGCGAGACTTCTCTGCAACCATTTCTCCCACAAACCACATCAGCCCAACACCCTACTGCAGAACTTCAAAGCTTTGCGCATCATCCCGCTGGATGACGGCTCATGGGTATCTGGTGCTTCTTGCACGACGAAACCCGTTTTTATGGAGCAGGGTCGCCGCATCGCACTTCCCACTGGCCTCAACTTTTGCTTCGTGCAGGCGTCGGCTGCCGATGATCGCGACCGCAGACAGCTCTACCGCCTGCTAGGTGTCAAACCATGTGATGAAACAGAGATATGCAAGATGATACTGGCCTCCCATGCAACAATGGTACCTTGGCCACCTATGAAAATCCTCATCTCGCATGCGGTGTACATCTTCCGCGCTCGCTACAAACCTCAGCGTGGCGAAGCACTGCGCCTGCGGCTCTATGATTCCAATCTTACTACTCGATTCGGGGGGAGAGTCCATCTTCCGTTTGGGACAAAAGGGAAGGCTCTCAGAAGGCTCTTTGCAGACGACTTTACAGACATTATTTGGCTACATCCAGACTACGAAGATAGCGTAAAGGAAGGTGAGAGAGAAGACTGGTTCGAATTCCTATACTCCGTGGAAGGAGTGTACCAGTCGCCTCCTCTTCATTTAGGTGGACGACTCTCTGATGCAATGAGGCATATCCTGACGAGAAATGGATCAAAGGAATTTCTGAGGATTCTGAAGACACAAAATCACTCGGCATCTGGTCAAATACGTGGAGACTTGCGCACCTGGGAAGCTAAAACACTTACAGCGGATATCAGCAATGTTGAAGTAAGCACCGATCAAGGTGTGCGGAAACTGTGCGAGACAATATTGCCGTCTTTGTCGCCTATCAGCCTAGGTCTTCTCCCCATTCTACAGCTGGTTGATCCACAACAGACGGACTGGAAGTTCCTCCACAAATTTGGAGTACAGACTGAGCGCTCGCTGGACTTATATGTGAAACAGCTCCGGGTTTTGAAAGAAAGCACTGATCAGGGACAAGTGAAAGCGACGGCAATAACTCTTTACAAAGGCATCCTAGCATATCCGTGCATGGACGGCTCAAAACTGTGAGTTCAACTCTTCTTGGGATGTGGTAGCTACTCACATCGACGAACCAGGGCGAGTTTCCGTAACGAAAGTTTGATATATATCGGCCCGGGTAGATGGGTTTTACCGCAGCAGTGTCTCTGGAAGGCCTCATTCCCCTGCACGAAGGTGCCTGTGCTCTCCGAACTCTATCCCGGAGGTCAGCAGCTCTTCCAAATCATCTTGAGAGTCAGGGACGCAGGACTGGACGATTTAGTCTCGGAGCTTGAAGGCATAGAGTCAACACGAAAGCTTGACCGAACCACAATTTTACGCCAGAAAATGTTGCCTGCTCTGGACTCCTTCCTAGGCAAAGCTTCCCTATCAACGACTCAAAGACTGCGATTGCTTCCGCTTCACATTTTTCCAGTTCCTCAAGGCGAATCCCCCGCACAGTTACTCCGAGCCGAAGACACTTTCTGGATTGCGGACTTGAACGTTCTAAGATCAAAGTTCGAGGGACTTTTGCCATTGCTTGATGTAACTGGAAACCTTTCCGAACCATCATTGCAAAATGTTTTCGGGAAATTGTCGATGGACTCCAAGCGTTTATCTCAGAGCGCCCGGAAAGAAGAGATACAACTAAACCAAGGTGATGTATCCGAAGTAGCGGATCCTGCGCTTACCATTAGGCTCCGAAGGCAGAGTCGATACATCATTAGGTAAGTACTTTGCACTCTCCACAGCACAGATTCATGTCTGACAGGAGCAAGCATTGTGTGTCATGAAAAGAAACTCAATCAACCGGCCGACAAGGTGACAGCGATGCTTAACGACATCAGGGTTTTTCGAGTTCCAGACATAATCATCAGGAGATACGTGCTGGATGCCGGCACAAAGAGGTACGGCCACGACGATGAGGGACAGGTTCTCTTGCTGGACGCAGATGGAGAACTACATGTCAAGATCCAGCAAGATTTGGAGCTCTTGGACATCATCGTCCCACTATCAGAACGTTTCGCAGAACGGTTTGACTTGGGGGACGCCAATCGCGAACTTCTTGCGAAAGTCCTCATAACTGAAAAAGCCGAGCAATTCATTGAAGCACTCGAAAGAGCAGGTATCAAGACAGATCCAACGCCCGTTGTTCAAATTGTGGCTGGAAACGGCCTGGACGAAGATTCCGCTGACGACACTCTTGCTGAAGATCCCAACGACACAATGGGGTTGGCTTTCGAAAACTTGGAGATCAGCAAAGCTAGGACCGGTAGTGGTTCAGACGAAGAATCTTCGGGATCACAGCAACTCCGGCCACCACGGACACCAAACTTACAGAGACGACGAGGACGCAATGGTGCAGCGGTCTCGTCGCCATTCTCATCGAGAAGACGGTCTGGCCAGGCTTCCTCCAGTGGGACAAGATCCGATCCTGTCGCTACAGACGCGGGGGAGCCTGCTACAGACGCGGGGGAGCCTGCTACAGACGAGAGGATTGCGCGCTTGACCGCAAGCCTGATGGACGTAAAGCTGTCTGACGCGACTCATGAGGTCTTCCGCGAGTACGGTGCCTCTACAACCGCAACAGAGGGGTTTCGACGGTCGAATCATGCCTGGTCGTCTGGACGACCTCCCAGGAGCAGCCATGGTGGAGATAACAACTTCGCCACTCAAGAAGGGTCCTCTGACTCGCTACCACGCGAGATTGGATTTGCTGGAGAACACCTGGTGAGTACATGCCTTGTTTACGACCCCATCCACCCACCGGTAGGTATTACAGCAGCAGCCTTTTTTTCTAACGCGAGACCCAAATTCAAAAATCCTTAGGTATACAAGTTTCTGGAAGACAAGCTGTCACCGTCTTTCACCCCCAAGAACTGGACTAGTAGCGCCCGAGCGAAAGCGTTCCCAAACAACCCGGTCGGCGACGACTTTCGCGAGAAGGACTTTGCCGATTTCACCTTCGCCGACACCGACGGACGCATGCGCATGTACTTGAGCGAGCACGTGCCGAACTTTCAGATTCCAACCGGTCAGCGGAACGACATCACCTTCCACCTGGAGGTCAAATCTACCCTGGGGAGCCTGCACGACCCGGCAATCCTGAGCAACAACCAGATCTCCATGGCGAAGAAGTATTCCGGGCGGTTTTCGACACCGGCCACCCAGACCGACGTGTACATCCTGGTCAGAGTCTACGGGCTTGGTTCGGACCCGGACCATCCTCGACCGCGGCTGTGCCTGTTTCCTGATCCTTGGAATCTCATCTGCCAGGATTCTCTGCTCATCGAAGGCGAAACTGGGATTTACGTGCGTCCGAGAGTCGTCTGAGCGACTGTGTGTTAATCACGCGAATCGGATTTTGGGGCAGCATGGGGGGGGTGTTCAAGCACGGCAGCCAGCGCGCCTGATGATTCGTGCATACCTCACGTCCCGAGAACATAGCCGCGCGATGTTATCAAGCAAATTCCATCACGCTGGAAAGATAGAATTGAGAAAGTGCTCTCTCAAATTGGCTCTGGAAGAGTAAGAATGCAAACTGTTTGCGAACGCATATACATAGACTCCGGCTCTTCGTACTGTGTCGATCCAAGCATGCAATAAACCCTTGAATGGAATCTTCATCTCACACCAAAACCACATCCTCAAAGTCGTCTAGACCAAGGCCGTGATCCTTGATGAACTCTCCTTTCATAACCCCTTCCACATAGCAGTCACCAATAAGTCTGCATTGAGTGCTCGTCAGTTTGGACTTGTAGCCGACTGCCATGTGGAAGGGATTATAAGAGTTCTGAGACGGCAGCCGGACCTTCTCGTCCGGACAGACTGGACGTAAGACAAAAGGTCCCTTGCCCCCGGCAAGGATATAGACCGCGTCCCCCTCTTTGGTGCTCGGAGGTGCGAGACAAATGTAGCCTTTGTTTGTTATCGCAAGGCACCTTCTCGCTATGGTCTTGAGCACCTGTTCAAACACGCGGTTATTCCCATCATGATCGGCTATTTTATCTTGATGGGCTCCGAATTCCGCCGTGCAATATTTGTACTTCAATTCTGGGTCGTATGAGAAGTCCGGCTTGGAAAGGCGGCCCGTCACAGCTTTGCAATATGCTTTCCAGACGGTCTGATTCCCACAGATATAGTCCGCAGATTCGATACGGTCAAAGACTTCCCTGCAAAGGGCTTCCCACCGCATCAACGCTTGCAGGTGCCATAGATATCGAGCGCCTGCCCTTCGGTCGTGAAAATGACCTACATGTGCAACGGTATCGACCAGGACGCCGCGAAGAGATAGGGTATTGGAGTGCTGGAGCAGTTTTGCCGAGGCCACGGAGCCAAGCGACGCATCAAAGCGTGACCAGATAAGAAATTCAGCACGGCCTTGTTCGACCTCGAAATTGTAGCGGCTGGAATAATCCGGGACCCACGACGGCAAGCCGATGAGACTGTTCGTCGTATGATGACACTGCAGAAGCCATATCAAAGACCTCGACTTCTCGATTAGCTCGAAAGTAAAGAGCGCGAAAATGTCACGGAGCTCCTTGGTGTAGTCTGGCTCTATTAATGAACTTCCGAGGATGCGATTGACCAGAGCCAGAATGCCGAAAATACGGTCCTTGGGATTGGTAACGTGGCGACGTCTGATTTCGAAAAGGATGTTCGTCAGCAAAGACATGTGTTTCTCCTCCAAGCCATGCCGTCTGTCGAGTGGGAAGTTCCGATACCAGAGGAGATTGTTCACACCTTGCGCGAATGATCGGCAGCATTTTTGTAGAAGCTCAGTCGACAACCTGGACTCCCCAACCTGGAACATTGACAGGGCGAGGGGTAATTGCCTGATCTTGGGTTTGTTCAATACCTCGACATCAAAGAACTTGTCTCGGAATTGAAACACAAGCTCTTTGGCCAGAACGAATTCTTGAACAACCCAAACTCTCGTCCACCATGCATCATGCCGGAGCCCCGACAGCCATTCTATGTGTGTCGCGTTCATGGGCTGTCCATCGATCTCGGCGGCTTGGAGGTCGCTGTGCTCGACTGTCTGCAAGAGTACGTCAACAGCTCGTTCAACGTAAGGTGAATAGCTCGAATCCGGATTGAAGAAGACCCGGACGATTCTTGCGCCGGCAAAGATATGGTGCATGATCTGAATCTGTTGACTCTTCTCGTCGTTGTCAAGTTGATTGATGGAGATAGCATCACACCAAAATGCTTTGGTTCCCGTTTTGATTTGGCAATGCCTCATGTTGATCGTCAAAGTCGATGCCACGGCATGCTGTTGACCATTGATATATATCGTCCTGAAATCTCCCGCATCCGCCCATGCGTACGAAATAGCGTCGTACACGGCATTATCGTGTACAGAGGCTATCTGAAGGTGTCCAGAGATGGCCTCGTCAGGATCATCATAATCATCAAGAACCAAAATCCTGAACTCCCCTTTAGCAGGGTCAACAGGGGGCCAAATCGATGGAGCCAAAGCCATAGACTTCTTCGTGAAGATGAGCGGACGGCGAATGTACGCCCAGAAATGTATCAGGAATGTGTCACGCAAAATCAATCTGGCGTCAATCGTTGGCCATGATCATCAGTCCATACCGACAACCATCATACCGCATGTACAATCATCAGCGTCGTTCCGCTCTGAATCAAGATCGAATCACAGACGCACTGTGGCTTGTTCGCCAATGTGGCGTGTTGTCAGCAGGGGGTCAAGTCATGGCGCCTGATCATTCGTGGATGCGCCAGGTACCGTGTATGAGGACCACAAACACAGCCTATGACCGCCATGTTAGCAATTCCATCACTCCGGAAAGATTGAATTGAGACGTGCTCTCTTAGACTGGCTCTGGAAGAGTAAGAATCCAACTATTGTGAACGCATACCTAGGTGGACTTCAACTCTTTGTGCTTTCCTTCGGACACTGGTTCACCTAGAAAGTCAGTCCGACGTGGCTGGGAGGCAATTATACACTTGCACATTTGGAGGGTGCATAACCGTTGGCCATAATATTCTACCAGCTATTTTTTGGTGCTCCAGGCTACTGCACAATCTCCTCCGTCTCCTCAATGACTTCCTCAACAACTTCCTCGACGACCTTCTCGCCGTCGGCTTCCAAGCTCTTGGTACGTTGCAATTGCAGCTCGGACTCTGGATCGGGCAGACCCAACTCCTCTCGTTCTTCTTTAAGAAGTTCCTTCTCTTGAGCCACCCAGCTATACCATTCCATGTACAACCTCCGCCTGGCCTCGACAACAGCCAGGTTAGCACCTTCTTCCAATTCCTTATCGAGCTCATCGAACTCCTTCGAGTATTCCCGAAGATTGCGTCGAATGGTGCGTTGTTCTTCTTTCGACAGAATCGTTGGAGGCCGTGGGCGCCAAAGTAGTTGCTTGAATTTCTCCGTGGGCGCTTCGGTCAAAAGCTGTCCAGAAAAGGTCCACATCTTGTAGCCATTTTCCATCTAATGAAAGCATGTTAGTCTGAGCTCACTCAAGCCTACATCAAGAGAAGGAGACAAAACTCTTACCTGATGTGTCCACACGCTGGCGCTCGTGGTGACATATCTGCCGGTGGGATCCCAGTCAACATCCGTCATGCCATAGTGATCCTCAGAGTTCATAAGCATCAAGTTGGCTGCAACGTTGGCTTCAGATTCAGGCTTCTCTCCCTCGTAGTCCAAGTCGTAGAAGTCCATATCCGAGTGCTGTTGTACGCTAACAGTGGCCACAACCACAAATCGACCCTTGGGTGACCAATAGATACCATTGCTGTTCTTCTTGTCAATCGTCCTGACCAGTTTGAAGGCTCCAGTACCCGGGCCCTTGATCTTCTCGGGTGCGAAGAATGAGACAGCCGTCTTTGGCAGGACATTTGACCCAGCTACGGCCTCGCCAGCTGTGATAAGAACAAACCTATCGCCCTTGGGTTCCCAGGCAAAGTTAATGACTGTATCCTTCAGGCTATCAACAACTTCAACCGGTACACCCTTCTCTTTGATGCGGAAGATTTCAAGGTTCGTGGCAAGCGACTTCTTGGACTTGGAGTGTCGGTCGACTTTTACGCAGATGAACTTGGCTTCAGATTGCCAGTGAAGCTTTGCGTCGGTGACGTTGAATAGATTCCTCGTCCGTACAATCTCTTTGCTGGGCACGGACATCAAAGCGACTTTGGCAGGGTTGGAACCCATCTCGGGGGTCCAGTAACAGAGGAGAGACTCGTACGTCTTGACGCCCTCTCGTTGCGTGATGGCCGGTGCCCACTCGAAGTCCACAATACCTTCAGCTTTCACCGAAGTCTTGTCCAGGAGGTTCATTCGCGGTAGTTCATAGATTGAAATGCTCTCGTGTGGTTTCATCCGGGCCACATACTTCTCGTCGGCAGACCATTTGAACGCTGGCCATTGAACCTTGGCTTTTGGAGGCACTGCAGAAGGGTCGGTGCCGGGAGGAGGGGTCAGATCATAGGCGGTGAAAGATCGGAGGGGTTTGCCGGTCTCAATGTCCCAAATGATGATATGCTTTCCTTCCTCATCAATTGTAAGAGGCCCTTTGCCTTCCTCCACCACGATTGGTTGATGTGACCAGGTTGTGATATATTTCTCTCCAGGAGAGAATTCAATAAGACTGACGAAAGGATGAGGGAATTGTCTGATTCTCTTGAAGGACGGTCCGCCCCATAGTTGCACGCCCTGTTGATGTACTGAGGCGAGATATGTTCCCTGTGGTGACCAAGATACAAAGAGTTGGGTCCAGTGCATTCGATCGACCACCATCTCTGGAGGCTCCTTCTTATTGTTCCAGAACACCCCGACCTTGTCGCCACGGAACATTGCAAATTGGTCTCGAGCGGCAGGATCGAAAAGCCAAGACCTGAGGTGTTCCTTTTCCGAGAATGGCTCGACCTCTGGAGGTACATACTGTTCATCAATTCTTCCCTCTCTTCCGTATTTCTCGATATCCGTTAGTTTGTTGACGGCGAGTGTATGTTTCTTGTCGAGGGCAACGCCGTGGAGCTGTTTCGTAGCGGCAATGGCTTGTTCTGGGGTTTGGTATTCGACGAAAGCGAATCTGCAACAAATCAGAGACGGTTGTTTACCAGTAAAATGCTCAAACCCACCCCTCGGACACGCCTTGGTCGTTCATAGGCATGAAGACGGATTCTTCGCCATCCTTTATTCTTCCGACGGTGTTCAGTCTCTTCAGCAGAAACTTGACCAATTTGGCTTTCTGGTCATTGTTGACAATGGGAAGACCATCGATGACCTAGGTGTTTCAGTAGTAATTCCAACACTCTTCCACTGAAAGCTCTTACGACAAAAGTATCCAGGCCTTCTTCCATGCGCACATCGTATCGCTCCTTGAGGTCGCTGAAGTCAATGTCGTCTATGTCATCTTCAAAGTCATGATCAGATAGTTGATCGAAACCCGGCGCCATGATTGCGGTGTCTTGCGAACGACGTGGGAAATCGATATGGCGGTGGATGGTGCGAATTCTTCGTCGTTGTCGCCCGGGGCACAAAATATCACATCCCGCGAGCCAAACGACGGCGCAGGTTGTGGAAAGTGCCAAGGCTGCGGCTCGCGTCACGTGCCTGCGCTGGCCTGGAAGGATGAGTCAGCAGTGGCTGGCAAGGCCTGGCAGTAGCCGACACCACTGCGCATCCACTGTTGTACCCCAGCTTGTGGTTTGTTCCTCAGTCGTGCAGCATGCGATGCTGAGCCCTGCGCATGTGTCTCTTGGTCTATGCTTTGTTCTCTCACAATCAGCTCGTGCAGTGTGTCGCATCACCTTTCCTTGATCTCCGCCTCACTTCCTTCTCATAAAGCTTACAGTACGCTCTATATAACCTTCCTCTCCTCCTCTACCCTTGGCGCTCTCTCCTCCCGAACCGCCGGCGATAGTTCCTACCTTCAGCACGCTTGACTATGAAGTGACCTGGAGTACTTGCCAGCAATTCATAATTTCTTCGGCGGCCTCTGCAATTCCTGTGATCTTCCTTCCTGAGCGTTTCCTTAGCAAAGCATTGCCACACGAGGCCATCATGTCTTGTAAGTGCAGCCCACCTTCCTCGCGGGATCCATCTGACTTGGAAGTGCCGCCGGACGTCCGCGAGAAGTACATCACCATCATCGACTCGATCCTTGACGGCGCCGACCTCACGACCATCACACGCAAAGACATTCTGAAGGGAATTCAGGACAAGGTCGAATATGACATTACTCCGCAAAAGGTGCGGCACTTGGGTTGCAAGACGATGGATTGAATACTAAACAAGTATAGGCCCCCATCAAGGTCTTGATCAATGAGCGATTTGATGTCATCACCACCAAGGAAAATGGCGATACTACTGTCGTCCCCTCAGTCGAGTCCGTGGAGCCTTCCCCAAAAACGAACGGCGTTCACATAGAGTCTGCTTCTGCATCGCCCGCGAAACGCGAGGCAAAGAGTGAAAGCCATTCAACCGTCCTGGACTCTCCTCCACCAAAGAAGAAACGCAAAACAAGCCTTGACGCCGATGCAGCTTATGCGGCTCGTCTGCAAGCGGAGGAAGATGCACGAGCCCGTCCCACCAGAGGGGGCGCCAGCCGAAAGGCAGCACCAGTGAAGAAAAAGAAGAAGAAGGCGAAGAAGGAACGGGTGACTGGCTCGGACGACTCCGATCTCGAGGACGGGGAGAATCCAAAGCCCAAGCGGAATACCGGATTTCATGTATGTCGCCTTACGTTTGTTGTAAATTGGCCACTAACACAGTTTCAGAAACCTCTAAATCTGTCTTCGGCTCTTTCAAGTCTGCTCGATGGCGAAACCCAAGTAAGTGTGGTTAATTTGCAGCCCAAGACAAATGCTAAACGAATTACCCAGCTTTCACGTCCCGAAACCACCAAACGGCTATGGGCCTACATCAAGGCAAATGACCTTCAAGACCCGAACGACAAGAGATTCATCATCTGCGATGCCAAAATGAGAGAAGTCTTCAGACAAGACAAAGTGCATATGTTTACCATGACAAAACTCGTCTCTCAACAAATGTATAACCCTGACGAATGAGCTCCAGACCAAGGGCTGAGATCGGAGTTTTCAACAGGCCTTACAGCCGCGTCCAGTCAATACCCTAGCCTTACTGGTTGCATGACTATATCTATGGCACGAGTGTGAAGCAATGATGGCGTTATTGGCACCAACTGCTGGTCGGGATCCGAAGGATGACGGGTACTCTCGTGACGGCGCAAGGTACGGCATTGGAAGTCTGAGATGGGAATATCTTGGGTTGAGATTGACTATTCCAGCTTGGATGTATGATGGGAGACGGATCTTAAGAGCAAACTGGCTGGACTGGGGCGTATTCAGGAGGGCCAGCCTTGCTGACTAAGAACCACTGGAACAGGCGTTCCTTTCTAGACGTTTCCTTTGCCAGATTCCCAACGTAGAGCGAAACAAAGGGCGTTTGCCTATTACTCATACAAAAGGCCCCTTCTGGACTCGATGTTGGCTTACGAGTCAGCCCACAAGCTTCTCAGAGTCACCGCGAGCGTCTAATGATCGTCCCGGGCGGCGGTGCCTGAAAATCGAGTCATTTTAACTGCAGTAGGTTACGAGGCTGCCCCACCAAAAGCCTGCGCTACTTTTTTGATCCGCAACTTGGGGTTTGTGGTCCAGGTGAAGTCATCGTCGAGAACACTTCGATCACCGTGGTTTTGAACCTCACTGCCTTGCAAATATCCCTCCAGTTCTCGAGACAACATGTCTGCCTCAGCAAACGGTGGTGCAGTGCCTTCAAGTCCAAGCACTGGACGTGGCGGAGGGCCCAATCGCCACGGATCGACCAATCCCGCCGACGCCCACAATGGACGAGATTCTGCGCCCAGAGGTGGTAGAGGTCAACGAGGTGGAAAGGGTGGCAGAGGGAAAGGTCGGGGACAACACCGTGGTAGAGACAACGCGTCCAACCCCCATTCTTCAGAAACTACGGCAGAAGGGAGCTCGGGACGACCACCTGGAGGCGGCTTCGGTGCACGTCTGACCGAAGCTGCCTCAACACAACAAGGCGACCCCCTCAACCCTCAGTCAAAAGGAGATGAGCAGCAGGTGGCTGCGGATGACGTCGACGTGTGCTTTATCTGTGCGAGCCCTATCGAGCATGTGTCTATTGCACCCTGTAACCACCAGACATGCCACATCTGCTCCCTGCGATTGAGGGCTCTTTACAAGACCCGAGCTTGTGCTCATTGCAGAGTAAGTCTAGCCTGTCTAACATGTACATGTCCATGCTGACATCTCGCAGGCCGAAGCACCGTTCGTGATCTTTACCGACAACGCTGAGAAGCGCTACAACGAATTTAACGATAGTGACTTTGTTAAGATTGATGACAACTTGGGCATAAAGTATGAGAAGGACGTCATTCTCGAAGATACAATCCTACTACTCAGATACAACTGTCCGGACAGAGACTGTGATGTTGCCTGTCTAGGGTGGCCAGACCTTCACCGACACGTAAAGTCCAAACACGGAAAGATGATGTGCGATCTTTGCACGAGAAACAAGAAGGTCTTTACTCACGAGCACGAGCTTTTCACGTTCGGGGAGCTTCGCAAGCACGAAAAATACGGGGATGATAACCCCGGCGCGATCGACCAGTCCGGTTTCAGGGGTCATCCAGAGTGTGGCTTCTGCAAACAGAGATTCTATGGCGACGACGAACTGTACGCCCATTGCCGTGAAAAGCACGAGAGATGTCACATCTGTGACCGGAGAAACGGCGGTAGAAACCCACAGTACTATCTGAACTATCAGGAGCTGGAGAAGCACTTTGCAGCCGAGCACTTTGTCTGTCTCGATGCCGAATGTCAAGCCAACAAAACTAACGTATTTGAATCGGAAATGGACTTGAAAGCACATCAGCTCTCTCAGCATCCCAATGGGCTCTCGAAAGACGCCAGAAGAGATGCCCGCCTTGTGGACCTTTCTGGCTTTGAACTCCGGACGCCTTACCAGCCACAACGTCGCGGGGGGAGAGAGCGAGACAGAGAAGGTCGTGGCAGCGGCAGAGGCCGTGATCCCAATGCCGAGCCTATCCCCATGTCCAGTGCTCAGACTTTAAGTCGTGCCGAAATGGCTTACCAAAGACAGCTTGCCATCCAAAGCTCTCAGTCTGTCTCGAACAGAACTTTTGGGGGCCAGCTCACTCAGACCACCCCTACGCCTCGACCACAAGCTTCTTCGCAACAGCCTCAGCCGCTGCCTTCGATGGAAAACCTTCGAATTGATTCGGCGCAAGCAAGTACAACAAACATGACACCTCAAGAACAGGCTCGAGCCGCGCGCCACCAAGCTGTCACCGACCGGGCCACCACGCTTTTGAAGAACGACACGACCAAACTATCCCAATTCCGCACACACGTCTCGGCGTACCGGAGCGGGACAAGCTCGGCTACAGATCTCATCGACTCGTTTTTCTCTTTGTTTGACTGTCCGAGTGCAGAACTCGGAAAACTCGTTCGAGAGCTTGCAGACCTGTACGAAGACGAGACGAAGCGGCAGTCCCTGTTGCAGGCATGGAACAACTGGCGAAGCATCAACGAAGACTACCCGAGTCTTCCGGGCCCGAGCGGTACGTTTCCAGGAGTATCGAGCGCAGGCGCCGGCGCGACCGGCGGGCGGCGGGTCCTCACTCTCAAAAAGAGCACGGCACAGTCGTCTCGGTCAGCGGTCTCGAAACAAGGATCATGGGGCAACGCACTCTCCAGTGGCGCAAGCCGTGACCCTTTCCCAGCGCTGAGCGGCGCGAACGGACGCCCGAGCAAACCGGCACCGACGTCGCAAGCAGTCTGGGGCAACACGTCGGCGCCGCAAGTCAGCAGCACCACGATGAGCGCCGCCGCCCCGATCTCCCGGCCGCCGCCACCTCCTACGACCGCGTCGCGCGTCGGCACGTCAAGCAGGAACGTCGCCCCGCCCCGCCAGACCGAGGACATGTTCCCTTCGCTCCCTGCAGCCCCGAAGCCGAACACGATGATGGCCGGCTTCAACACTCGCGGCTCGGGACGTCTGACCGCATCGAGTCGCAACTCCCCTGCCGGCTCGGGATCCGCGACGCCAGTCAACGCGTGGAGCCAGGCTGGGACGGCCCCGACGCCCGCCCAGGCCGCTGCCATGGTGGGCTTTGGCGAGAACGGCGACACGGCAGGCTTCGATGGCGCCGCGGGGAAGAAGAAGGGCAAAAAGTCCAAAAAGGGCGAGACGCTATTTCACTTTGGATGAGTCCATGCGTGACAGCGGTCAATGTACAGAGGCTTTGGCTTGGAGGGTCGATGTCTGCCCCACTTAACTTAGATGGTTCTGGCTTTGAAGCACGAAATCCGTGATATAGACGTTAGCCGTTGACCACGCGGGAGTGAAATAGAATAATCCCTGCAACGGCTGTTGCAGTGAAAATATTACTTGGCTTCCAATCGAGATTTCCAGTCAACATTTACATTTCCTTAGGGATTCAGACGCGTCCAACACATAGAGTGAGCTCCCATCGATAAAGTCAAGTCATGCACCCAATGGGTGTGTCGAGTAGCAGTCATGAGAGTAGCAGTCATGAATCTAAATCAAGACGTTTGCCTACCTAGTCAGTGCTTAAAGACATTTGCCGGAGGTGAGTGAGTACTGATCATCAATGTGGTATTTATGACTTTTTATGCTAGCTCTATTCACACAATTCCATTGTGTATCTTTTTCCTTTCCGCCGTTTATGGTGAATATCGGTGTTGTTGAAGCTCACTACCCATGTGACATCGCCTTGATCGCAGTTGCGGCCTCGCGATGTCCTCTGAAGCGGTCTGCCATCTCGTCTTGGGCTTTTCTCTCGATTGTTTGTTGTGATTGCCAGACACATAGGGGCGCGACTTTTTCGATTTTTTTTCTGCATCTTTTCTGCATCTTTTCGATTTTTTTTGGTCTTTCTGCCGCCTCCAGGTACATTGTCAATCGTAGATCGGGGATGGTACTGAAGGTTGGATATTTCGTGCTGGGGAGCTCAAGGATACGTTTGATTTCAGGAACCTCCTTTTGCCCGGGCTACTTTATCCAATTAATAACCTTCTCGAGTGTAATCGTCATCGTAACTGAAGACAGCCGTTGCGAAATCGCGGTCCTTCTTCAATTCCGCTGTCGCCTTGATCGCAGTCTTGATACTTGGAAACTCGATGGAGCCGAAACCATCCACAGTCACGCTGTACTCAATCACGTATCGATCAAGATTGAGTCGTAGCAGCTTGGGCTGGACCATGGCAAACTCAGCCTCTTCTATGTTGCCAATCAACACGATACGTGTTGCTTCCTCAGCACCAAAAATGGCTTCGGTAAGCTGACGATTGCTAGGATATGTTGGATCCATAGGCTTCCAAACACGGACCGCGGAGCCGTTGATGATGAATGGTGCCGTCTTTTGTCTCTTGTACATGCCATCAGCTGCTGACTCATGAACAAAAATAACTTGGGAAGTCATGTATGGGTTGACTCGTCCAATAGGCGGAACGAGTAAGATGGACTCGAGGATTCCGCTGCGAACAATGGTGAGAACGTCTTTCAGAGTAGAGCCGACCGGTATGGCGTCGACCATGACAGTGCGATATGCGTTGGCAGAACCAGCTGCTTGTTCAGGGAGATAACGAACCGGAAAAGCAGGAAAGGGACTGTTCTCGACCCAAGCAGGAAACGCTTGAGCACAAACCTGCCACATCTCGTGGTCTGTGTCGAATAAAGGGTTGTTCTTGTTGACCAGCCATTTGGGTTCGCCATCAAAACTTTCAGGAATCTTTACAGTAATACGTCTGACAGTGGTATCCGCCGTTTGGCCGCTGGCGACCTCACGGAGCTCAAGCTCCTCCCCGATCTTCATGCTACAGCTGTCGACGACTGTCGTCTTCGGTGCGCCGACTTCCCAACTGTTTGGAGAAGTGTCTTTCTGTTGCCAGTCGATCAGTTAGTCTCACGCCATTTCGGTGTCCCTGTGTGGTTCTTACTTGATCAGACACATTTGTCTCTTCAGTAGCTGGCTTTCCGGAGTACTTTGCGATGATCGAGGCGGGCTCGAGGATAGTTAGTCAAGTTACGATGAGAGTCGGGATTCTCTTACCAACTCAAGGACTGGGGTGTCCGCGGTCTAGGCCCTTCAGCAAGCAGATCGTCCACCTCAACATCAGCACTCACCAAGAGGGTATTCCAGCCTTTCGCGCCGTTGGGTTCACCTTGAGTCTGGTGGTTGTCACGAGCCACAATCTCCTTGTGGTCCTCGGGAGACTCAGGAGACAGATCGATGAGCTTTCTAACATCCACATGTTTGTTTGCAGGCGTCTTTGTGGTGGCTTCCGCTGATGAGTCGGTAACGACAAAGTGCTTTCTCAAGGTGTTACGCAAGGCAGCGTCAGGAGAAGGGTCGAATCTGGGGCTCTTGAGTAACTCCAAATTGAAGAGTTGCGCTTCGTCGACGACTGTCTCCGCGACAGCAATTGCTTCTGTGAAATCATTCTGCTCTTCACAACCTGGATTTGGAGGCTCCATTTCCTCCACATTTGGGCTTGAATGATCCTGACTGAGTTCTTTTGGGATCGCCTCCTCTTGGTTACGCTTCATTGTGCTCTCCCTATTGTCATCCTTGAGATGTGCTTGGTTTTCTTGATTGACGTTGTGTTTGATGATGGCTCCAAGGCTTTTAACAGTGGTCGTCAGCGTGGCGATCTTCTGTATGTACTTCTCGATCTGCTGTTCTAGGTGCAAACAACGTTGGGTCTCCTCTTCGAGTGCCAATTTGGTCGCATTATGTGCTTGCTGTTCATTAGCAAGAGCTAGACACAGCGACTGGCTGAGAGCTGCAGGGTCGGGATGGTAGGAGCTCGACATTATACCATCGGAGACAGGAAGACCTGAGTTGCCCAATGATGACGACAACGGAGTGAATGTGGAAGCCAATGGATCCATGATTGTACGAGAGTTGTGGTACACTGAGGTTTGTGCCTTGATTGGATTAACGTCAGCGTCACTTTCCGGTCTAGGCAGCTGCAAGATTTCATTTAGGATTGAGAATGCTTTAACTTACATTTTGAGCCAGGGTTGAATTGTGTGAGGAAAGTCGATCTACAGATGGCCGATCTGTCTTCGTAGGACTGGTTGCACCAGCAACTGCAGAGCGAAGAGCAGCAGATCCCAGCTTCAGACGTGAGTCGGACAGATCCGGTTTGAAGTTCTGGTTAAAGAAGTTTGCATCAGGTGCCGGGGCCGCCTTGTGTGGCAATGAGGTCTTGCCTCCCACTGACACGGCTTTTCGGTGACGTGCTGCATCATGAGCTAAGGCACGAGCGATGCTCTCGGCCAGCTGATCCTGGAGGAACTTTGAGGGCACAGGTTTGTCGGGAATCGGACGGAGGCTGTCGACAGGAGTGAACTTGAAGCTGCCCAACTGCGACTGATTCAAGTCCTGTCTTGTCATTGGGGGGTATTTGAGCAGTCGCTCAGAGGGTTTGGTGGATGTCATTGAAAGTATGGAGGATGAAGAAATGGAGGACGACGAAGGAATAAGGGAGAGGCGAAGAATGGAGGGTAAAGGCCTCTTTGATATGAGGCCAGAGGATAATGATGAGAGACGCGACGTTCGTGGTGGTGATGTTGATGTTGTTGGAGGGAGCAGTTGATGGAAAGAGCGATAAACAACCAAAGAAGGAGTTCAAAGCACGTCGCGTCTCTTCTCGCCTCACTTACCACGCCAACAATGCTCACCGCCCTCAGAGAAAGGAAGATGGCTAATCCATCACATCATATTCACAGACATCGGGTCGTGAAGGCGGGCTGAAGGCGGTACAACCGCTTGGGCGGTGCCGCCCTGAACAGAGAGCTCATCAGCGTCCATCATTTCTGGTTATCACGACAACGTTCACTGTTCGTTCCGGAGAAAGGAATCTACCGTTGGGATCAGTACACATTACAACAGGATCAATACCAGAAAGCTCGAGACATTCTTGCAAGGGAGCGTTTCCACGACAGATGTCGGACCGGGATGCATGGGAGAGTGCATGATTGTGCCCAACTGTCCCTCCTGCGAGGCATCCTCTCCAGAGAGTCCTCACTCCTCCACTCTGTTTGTAGGAGGGCGAGACTCCTATACAAGAGATAAGAGTCGTTGACGGGAGAAAGGCGAATGTCAAGATGGACATGGTGGATGTCGAGTTAGACGTTGCTTCACGTGATTGCGAATTTTTTGTCTCCAAAAGCACATTATGAAAGTCCCAGAACATCTGGACGATTCTCAATACATGGCTGAAGGGACCAGCCAGGTACATTGCGGATCTTCCATTGCTCGCCCCTGAACCCAAAATGAGAGCAAAAACTAATGAGTGAATCACTACCACCTTGTATGTTTGTTCACCTTTCTGAAATGCCCCATTCATCAAAACAGCATCAAAGGCAGACATGGGCAAGCCTACGCAGAAGGAGAAGGCTCGCTACCAGCTACTCAGACAGAAGCTGTTAGATACATACAGGGGACACTTTGATGACATCCTTTCAAAACCACCGACCGCCGCAGTCGACCAGACCCAACATCGATGGGAGACCCTTTACCCAGCACTGCTAAAGCCGACGAGGCATGCGGTGCTGTTGAATACTTTTCATGGAGAACCCTACTTTCAGCACCCGGGAGAAGCACCGACGAATCCAAGACTTGGAGGATCTTTAGATGAGAGGCTACGAAACTTCGACCTCAAGTCGTCAGGGGAAGTCTCTCCTCTGGAGCTCCTGGAGGATGCTGGTCGATGGCTACCTCCATCTTGTCCACTCCAGCTATATCACCTACCACAGCAACAAACCGATTCCAGCAAAGAATACCTCCTACCGCCTCCATTAAAGAATCTTCACGGCCTCAAAAACTACTACTGTCTCGACTTCGCATCCGTCTTTCCTGTTCTCGCGCTTGATGTTCACCCAGGCCATACCATCCTTGACATGACAGCGGCACCTGGTGGGAAAACGCTAAGTCTCCTGAACCATCTTCGCTCCTCCCTCGTCCCAACCACCGACACCACTGCTTCTGCCTCCACCATTAAGACAAGACTACATGTCAACGAGATCGACTTTCAACGTCGCAAGCGCCTACGAGTCGTACTGGACGAATACGTGCCGGCGAATCTCCTTCCGTCTACGTCGTCTACGAACTCGATCGTCCAAATCACAGGCAAGGACGCAACAGAAGCTTCCAGTTTCCGCGCCGAGACCTATGACCGAATCCTCCTCGACGCTCCTTGTTCCAGCGAACGCCATGTTCTGCACCAGCTTCACAAACAAGAATCCGCCTCAAACCTACACAAGGACCTACTCAATTGGTCGCCTTCCAGCTCGGAGAAGATTGCCAAGAGTCTCCAACTCAAGATGCTCACCAACGCCGTCCAGGCTTTGAAGTTCGGTGGCACTGTGGTCTACAGTACGTGCTCGCTCTCACCACACGAGAATGACGACGTCATCGAGAACGTGGTGAGATTAGTCGACAAGCAGAATCGGAAGCGAACCAAAGACGCATTACGTCGACGCGAGGCCGATCGAGAGAGCGGAGATGATTCAAACATCGAAAAAGACGGAGCAGAAGACGTCCCTCACCCCCCCACAAAACCAGCTCAAACGCCCCTCCCAGAACTGTGGACGTTGGAAATCGACCACGCGAGCTGGTCAATTGGAGAGCCAACTAAGCACGGATGGATGATATTACCGGATCAGCAGGACAATGCAGGTTGGGGTCCGATATACTTCTGCAAGATCACCAAAAAGCGAAAGAAAGGATCACGGTGATGATGGGGGCAATAAACCTTTATGTGTGATGACCATCTTAGTGGGTACTGGGTAGTTGGGTAATGGCCTAGTTGCGCAGTTGCGCAGTTGCGCCGTTGCGGCTAAGAAAGGTCATCGGATACTGATGCTTTCAAGTACGATCTTCACTCAAAGGCTCCCCACGGCGTGACGATATGAATTTTAGAATCTCACCAGACTAACTAGGGAGGCAGTCTTGGTGGTAATGGCCTGTGTAGATCAAAGATGTTCAAGACTACAAAGGACCACGCCTCTTCATTTCCGTTTCGATATTCTGTCTTAAGAAACTTTTTGGTAGCCGTCTAGACACTGAAAAAAAGACATGACAGCAGCCGAAGCAGGTTACAACTTTTTCAGGATATCCTCGAGCACTTCCTCCGTCGACGCCTTCCCACCCAGGTCGGGGGTGACGAATCGTCCCTCGGCCAAGTTCTTGTCGACGGCGCTGTAGATGGCGTTCGCGGCGTCGGGGAGGTCCAGGAACTCCAGCATGACGGCGACGCTGCGGATGGTGGCGATGGGGTTGGCGATGCCCCTGCCCTCGATGTCGGGGGCGCTCCCGTGGCACGGCTCGCCGATGACGATGCCCTCGCCGACGTTGGCGCTGGGCACGAGGCCCAGGCTGCCGACCAGGGCGGCGGCGCCGTCGCTCAGCAGGTCGCCGTACAGGTTCGGGGCGACGATGACGTCGTAGTACTGCGGCTGCAGGAACAGCTTGTAGACCATGCTGTCGACGATCTGCTCCTCGACCCTGAGCCCGGCGAACTTGGGCTGGCCCTGCAGGGCCTCGCGCGCCGTCGACCGGAACAGCCCGTCGGTCTGCGAGAGCACGTTGGACTTGTGCGTGATGGTGACCATGCCCGGCGTGTCGTCGCGGCGGTGCTGCGAGCGCATCCTCTGCCTCCGCACGGCGATGTCGCCTGCGATGTCGGCGATGCGCCACGACGCCTTGCTCGAGATGCGCTTGATGGCCTCGGCGACCTGGCCCCCGTCGCCCGAAGGGTCAGCGTACGTCTTCTCCTCCTTGACGTAGAGGTCCTCCGTGTTCTCGCGCACGATGACGAGGTCGATCGGGTGAGGCGTCGGCGACGCAAAGGCGGGCGAGGCCGTCGTCTTGCAGGGCCGCACGTTGGCGTAGAGCGAGAGTTTCTTGCGCAGCGCCACGATCGGGGACGTGTAGCCTTCGACTTTGGTCGTCGGGGAGCTGTGCGTGACCAGATCCGGATCGCCTTAGCGTCGTTTTTGAAACTCCCTCAAAACCGAGGACACGGGGACAAGGAGTGTGCATCGCATACCTCACTGCTCCAAAGAGAGCTCCGTCACATTCTTTCTGTAGTGTTTCCACCGTCTTGTCTGGGAGGGCGCTGCCCGTGCGCTTGAAGCAGTCGAAGCCGGCGTCGAGGTCGACAAAGGAGAACTTGAGGCCCAGAGAGGACGGGATGGATTCAAGAATGCGTTTGCCGGCCTGGAAACATCCACAAAATAGTGCGTCAGCCTCTGGTTGACAAGTAGTTGTCTTGCACTGCCGCAGACAGAGGAGGAGGACTACGACTCACCGGGATAACTTCGCGGCCGATACCGTCACCCGGGATCAGACCTAGAGAAGTTCAGCAAGGATACCTCGGGCAGCAGCACAGTTCTTACCTATTCTCAACGTTCGCGCAGCCATAGTGTGTGAGTCGAGGGCTTAGAGCTGGAGGATCGCGTGCATAGAGTGGAACGAGACGCTCCGATGTTGGAGAAAAATATTCTGAGTCGAGGCTGGAGTTGGACTCCGCAATCGGAAACACTAACTAAATAATCCACCCACGAGGCTGAGAATCTGGGGATGAACACGACAAGGCAAACACGATCTATTCTTGTGGAAATTGTGTACGCGCAGACAATTGGGAAAGGATCTCGAAGCAGAAGAAATCTACCGCGCGGAATGCGCAGCTTCTGCAAAGGATTCCTCGGATTATCATCAGACGCTATGCTAATGATGCTGCAGTGATGCACCAGTATCTGCTCATCCCCGTTGCCAGCTCGATCGCACGAATGTGTATCTCATCAATGGAGCTTCTCTGATAGTCCCAAGAGCCACATCAGTTCCCTCCCTTCAAGTCAAAGGCAGAAGCCTAGATCTCCACTACCAACGAATTTCCGACCGAATCGAGCGATGGCTAGACGGTGCGAAGTCTTTTGGCTGGATTCTCAGCTGCCGCACTCTCACCGTCACTGTGACTCGATTCTCTCTCCTTGCCCTTTTTTGCAGTATTACTGTTACCGTTGTTGTTGACGACCGTCTTTGGGTCGTTCCGAGCAAGCTTATTCTTCCATTCGAGGGCTTCGCGAACGTTCGACAAGCTTGTTCCAATCCTCGACTCGAGTGTATCCTCGTCGATAAGGCCTTCGCGCCACTTTCGAAGATGTTCTTCGATTTCGTTGACTGCTACTCCTCTAAGTGGTGTTAGAAGGACGCGATCGAATTCTTTGTTCCAAGGTGATGGGCCTCCCTGATCGTCATTGAATCGTGGCTTTCTGTAGTCCTGAGCTGTATGACCATTTCCTCTTTTGTCCTTTACAGATGAGTCTGCATTGGCGTCTCCGTTCGTGGCGAAGTCCGTGGAGCAATTTGAAAGTTCTCCTCGAGAGCTGGATTGACTCTTGGTTTCTCGACGGTGGCGATTTTGGAGAGAGATATCATCTGCCCCGTTGCTGTCTTGAGTCGAATCTGTGTTCTGGCGAGCGATAGCCTGCTGATCTAACTCTGCGCTCGAATTGGTATCTGACAGGGCAGAACCAGGTCGATTGTCGACTTCATTTGAATTGACGACCTGCTCCATGACCTTACCAGCTATACCTCGCTCACGACTGGTTCTCTCAGCCTTCGTAACTTCACGATCTGTGTTCGTATGCTTGGAGGAGTTGGAAAGATGACTATGAGGCTCGCTTGTTGCGTTTTCTTTCCATACGAGATCTCCATCTCCAAGCTCGGGATCAAAGGAGAATGCAGTTCGCGAAGCACACGGCTTGGGGAACTGACTGACCCAATACCGAGGAAGCATTCCAGAGATCTCGTAAGGGGCGACTATGTTAGCATCGTGTAGTGCGCGTGTCCGGGCGAGTCCGTAGTGAATCTCATGTCCGGCACATTCATCCAAGGCAGCGTGCACTGCATCTTTGATCAGGGCTTGTACCGGCTCCCATGCCCTTTTGGGTTGAGACTTATTAGGCATCGTTACGTGGGAATTCTCCATCAATCGATGCAACCAGACTGCAAGTTCGTAGACAGGGCTTTCTGACCGTTCACCGAGGAAGCCGTCAATGGAAAGTTGGGCGTTCGAGACTCCTTCGCGTAATCGCATGCTGAGCGAATTTTTATGTGGGAATAGATACGCCCAGATCACGGAAGCTTCGCAGTGAGAATGAGACCGGTGCCCAACATATACCAAGTATTCTCGCAGTCCAGCCCGGGCTCTTCTGATCTGAACGGTTGGTTGATGCGAACTGGCAAAGTCAGTATATTCCTTTCCTGAAGGAAAAATTGACATCTTACAGGTAGCGGATTAGAGGATCGCATCGATCCGGCGGAGGTACGAAGGTCGTAGGCCTAGTGTCCGCCATCGTAAAGATGAGGACCACGATTTCCACGTCTGTTAGTTGACAATTCAGCAGGTACTAGCGTTAGCTTGATGCCCGAGGCGTCGGAGGTGATGGCGGGGAGCTACCTAGATGTCTTAGAGAACCGGGATGGTTCTGAAATCTGAGGCCAAGAGCTGGGAACTGAAGAGACGAAGAGAGGCAGTTGATAGACGAGAGGGTTGGAGGAAAAGAGGTGACAAAAGAACCCTAGAATAGCTAGGAGGGGAGAGATTTGGGGTGCAAAAAAACAGTGAAGGCGAGTAGAGAACTCAGGAACGCTCGCCAAATCGAAGTGAAGGTGAAGCGCGAGTGAAGCGGTCATATCAAAGGATCCAGCCCTTAGAAAGTAACGAGCATCAAGTCCTGAGTGAGTCTGAAGATGAAGCTCAGAACATGGCTTCACTGACACTGACCAGACGACTGGTGAACTCGGAAACTGACGCAAGGGCTCTGGAGCTACGGATGCGAATCATGCTCGGGATCATTGTATCGTTGCCGCAGAGCTAAATCGTTCGACATGGCATGTTCGATCCAGGAGGGTAGCTTCCCTGGTCAGCCATTACGCCAGACTTACATGACCAAAAACAAGGATGGAGGAGGTTGAGTGTCGGAAAACTCACCACTGAGAACAATCTGACTCCTTCCGTCTCCAGATTCAGGGTCAACAGCATCAACACAAACAGGCGGGAAATGAAGGCCCAAAGCTCGAAACATTCGTGAAATTGAGCATTACTATTCACAGCAGCCGCCTCTAAGTAAGCACCAAAGCACTGCTACCAGGGCACGTTCGCATCCTAATAATTATCAGTCCACACATCTTGATCACTGTTGCTTCTTCGCCGCCAATTGACCCATCTCCTTGTCGAAAGCAGCATAGGTAACCTGTAACGAGGCCAATGCCGACACGCCCACGTATAGGATCGAAAATAGTAGGAACGATACAAGAAGACCCATGAAGATACCTAAGCATGATTAGCTGGGTGCTCCTGACAGATCGCACTCCACATCAGGCTGTAGACTTACCAGGCGTAAAGAACTGGTACTTATCAAACAACGGCCCATCGATCATGGTCTGGTTGTTCTTCGTACCGTTTCCAGCACGAACGACCAGGCCCAAATCCCTCTTCAAGTCAATGTGCAAGCTTTCCTGGAGCTGCGATTCCACGTCATACTCCACTGACTCAACCACTTCGACGGCCCCGGCCCTCGTCGTGGTGTACAAGACCGTATAGCTCTGGGTAGGCAGCATATCAAGAACAGAGGCGAAGAAAGCATCGTTGTGCGCTAGATCGGTCTGCCTTTGGCTGGACGGCTTGGGGAGTGTGACTTTGAGCAGTCGCGGTGCAGAAGGAATTGTCGCAGGAATAGCACCCTTTGAGCCGTCGATCTCGGTAACTTGCACGCCACATTTCGATCGTAGCAGGTCTGTCCAGCTCGACGAGTCGATGCTGCCGGTGACATCAGGCACGACCATGCTGCTTCTGATGCCTCTCGCAGAGTGTCCTGACAGTGCCTGGGCCAGGACAGGCGTGTTCTTTATAGATTCATAATCGTGGCTACTCACGCCGGACTGCGTGACGAGGATGTAGTAATCTGAAGGGCATGTGGACAGGGAGACGGCCACATTTGAAACAAGGTTGCTGGCAGATTGTAGTTGCGAATCTGGGTTCAAGAGCCTACACAATCGCTGTTAGCTACTCTACGTGGCTCTCAGAGGTATGGCTACTGCCAGGGCATCGAGTTCTTACTCTGACGTCGAGAACATAAAGAAGGGTGAAGTATCGAGGTATCCATGAGCACTTCCGGCGGCGAGCGCTAGAGCGCTGAGCCGGAGTAGACGCATGGCTGTAGTGAGTGATAGGAGGATGGTGTTTTGTAGGAAGTTCAGAGGGTGCAAGGCCACAGATAAAGCCCACCTGCTGCTCTCCGCAGCTGCCACCTGCACCTCAGCCTTGCGCCAGCATTTATATCACGTGACAATGACGAGGCTGAGCATAACGGCCTCCTTGCCGCAGCCATGAACTGCTACTACTCACACCGACACTTCAATCACCAGCCAGATGTCCCCTTTTGACCTTTCACCTCCTTGCGCTTGAAGCTTCCATGGGTAGACGGAAGGAACCATATTCGGGTATGCTACCCACCACTCCTTCTGAGTGGGGCGAAGGATACATTTCCTCGTATAGACAATGTGCGGCAAAGGCAATCTTGTAAATGCCCATCAACTTTCAATACTCGTACATCTTCTATAGTAAATATCGTTGGCTGCGTTTCTCATTGTAGGTACGAGGGTACAATGCCGCACGATACAGCCCGAGTGCACCTTTCAGAGAGGCGCAGTCCGGTTGCTGTTCGACTTGGGTATCATGTAGTCCCTAATGCTGTCGGTCGGGAAAATGTCCTTTCCATGAGCTCATGAGAAGTCGTCCATGGGCCTGTCCGTCAATTGGACTCCCTGGCTCTGATTTTGGCCTGGATGACCCTCATAGGCCTGGTAGCTCCGTCTACTCAGACTTCCTCCTCCTCCGACTGGTTTTCGTCCACTGCCCCCGGCAGTTCTTTTCAGGCTACCTACCCTTGACCCTCCATCTGCATCTTTCGGCGTTGGCTGGGGCCCGGAATCCGAGTCCTGGCTGTCATCATCTAACGGCGGCGGAATGTGCGGTCCCGGGCCGCCACCTGAAAATGTGCTCGGCAAATTCAAGATATCTGGTGATGCTTCTTCCGGTTTGCGGCCCTGACCGTTTATGCCTGCGTTCGGTTGGGCAATGGACACTGAGTTCCTATCCACCGCGGACTGATTCTGGGTTCGAGCTTGAACCGGCGAGCTCTCATTACTACCAGGAACCTCTAGGCTTGCCCGTTTCGAGGGTAGACCGATGCCGCTTACACTTCGTCCATGATCAGGCCTTGGGCTAGCAACGACGGGAAAACGTCCAAGGCTGCCATCGGTACTCTTGTCCCGTCTATGGCGATTCGCGGGGCCAGGGCTCTTGTCTCGTTGTCGTTGTTCAGTGATGGCCCGTGCTCGCTCTTCCATATTTGCTCTTCTTGATCGCTCATCGTTCGTGCTGACGACTCTTTGGCGGGTTGACATACTTGTAGAAGATTGGCGCTTGAGTTCGCCAAAGATGGCTTCTTTGTGGTCGAACAAGTCTCGAATTAGGCGATACGCATGTCGTTCTTCCAAGGTAAGCGAACTCTCAGTTCTTGGACGAAGTATACAAGGAGCCAGGGATTGAGCAAGGGCGGTAACGTAGGCTTCGTCAGCAGAAGTGAGGTCAATTAGTCGTGTGAAATGTGTGGCAAGAGCATCGAGTGTAGCGATATTATTGAGACGAAGCTGGCCGAGTGTGGATTGTAGAACCTTGATCCGCGGTGCCGAGTCCACCGCATCAGTCGAGATTGGATTTGGTGCGGCATCGGAGGTTGTAGCGTATATAGTCTTGATAATGTCATAAACTTGGGATGAGACAAGTGAATCTGTCGGTGGTTAGATGTACGTCTTCGAACGCGCAACACTGACTTACCAGGCAATTCAAGGAGGTACAGTTTGAGCACACTGGCGACAATGGGTACTTCGTACTTCTCGAGGATCTCTCTGGGCACTGGAGCACCATTATTTATCTGGTTTCTTAGATGATGCGTCGCTGCCAGCGGAACATCCACCAGCCAAACGTTTCTCCGTGCTTCATCGCCCTCCAGATCTGGATAGTGGCTATCCAGAAATGTCAGTATCGAAGTCACAATGATTGGGACCCTCTTCCTGTCCGCCCTTGCTCTCGCTTCTAGATCGACGCCGAATGTTTGGTCTTCAACGCTGCCATAGTAGTTCTCATATGGCACCACTTTTGGCACAAAAGCTCCTGTTCTGTAATTCTCAAGCAAGTACCTTAAGTCTCCCAATGGCTGTATTGTCTCCTGGTAGAGCATCATATGGTCGACTTGACTCTGGAAGGAAGGAATGCTATTGCTAATAGCACCCGAGAAATCCAAGATAACCGACTTGATTGCTCTCAACCTGTCGGTCTCGCATCGTTCAAGAAACTTCAAATGGTCCATCATCGACTCCTCCAGGTTGCATCGTAGTAGATCGAGCTTGCGTACAGCCGCCTTGTACTTCTCATCTGCTTCCTTTGCTTCACGCTTTAGCCGCTCAGCCGGAGTCTCATTAGGATGAGGGTTGTTTAACGGATTCCATCCTTGTATGGCTTCCGTGATGTTGCCGATGGTGGGTGATTCGAGGATACCGTCTTGCGATGATCCCGTTATCGACCTGCCGAGAGGCTTCTTCTTCTCCGGCACCCCAGTGATCTGGAACACTCTTGTCTTCCACTGATACTTCATTCGCGAACTGTTGGCGAATGTGTTTCCCATGTTGCCAATCAGCCGCAGGAATCCACGATCTACCAGGTCTTGACCAATCTTTTCCGCATATCCCACGCTTGAAGCTTTCATGTGCTTCTGGATGTAGTCAACGATGTCCGTACCGGCAGATACATTCTGATAGACCCCCAGTATGGGTACCTTAAATTCTCCAAGGGGGATCTTCTCAAGCATGTCGGTAAGCAAAGTCTTCAGCCGATCTGGCGAGTATGTTTCATCTCCAATCTCAACGGGGATCTCATCGAGTTCGTCTTCGGGAAGGACTATCTTCGGTGGCGGCGGGCTCTGTGGTTTGGGACTGCCGGTTGCACGATCTTGAAATGCCAACTTGTTCTCCTCTTCGAGATCCTCCACCAACCTGCATTTGTTGAAGTACTGACTCCGCAGCTTTTTGACCAAGTCCGCCTGTCTGTCATGTGCCTTGATTTTGGACTGTAGATCTTCCTGCGAATTCGCTATCCTCGTTGCGTGCGCATCGCACCATCTGGAGAAAGGGTTGACTACCAGTTCGCGAATGTTATCGGCGATCTTCTTGTGGTTCTTGGTGGCTTCTACCATCTCACTTCGGACCCCTTCGAAAGCCTGTGAAGGTCAGCCAGAGCTCACAACGTGCACGATGCCCAGTTGTACCTTTCGAACGCTTGCGCCGTCATCTCGTGCGAAGCCACCCGTCATCCGATCCACAGAAGGCGCAATATCTCCTAACCGATCACTGTAAAACTCTTCCGCCTCTGCTCTCATGCTTGCAATTGTCAGGATCTGGTTATTCTCGATGACGCCTTGCTGGAGTTTCTGGAACAGTACCCCCAGACCACCTGCATAGTCTGAGGACCAGAACGAGTCCGCGAATCCCGGCGCCTTCGGCCTGCCCGGCGCAGGAGCACTCTCCGTCGCCATGGAGTGTAAGCTACGTCTGCGGAGCGGCTTAGGTATTGGCAGTGTGTCCCTTCAGATTGCACGACGGTGGGCGCAGGAGTTCGCAGCGCAGACTTGGAGGACAAGCTAGAGTAAAGGAATGGGCGAGAAGGGAAGGAGAGTGGTCACAATCCAGTTCGTAGAATGCGTGCCAACTGGAGCAACGGCCAAGTGTACAAGTTTCCAGATTCGGCTAAGCACGGGGTTCGTCAAGTAACACAGAGTAAATCGAGAAATATCCAGTCAGGCTGACGGTGAAACGGAAATTGAGGGTGAGCAGGAGTACGGCATTAGGCCTGGGAGTCTGAGACACGAGGTGCTGATTGCGCCCCCAGTTTTACGCAGGAGGATCCTTTGTCACTGTCGGTAATCCATCCCATGCCAGCTAAACAAAACCAGAACCACCCCTGCGAATATCCCTATAGTTCGCCTATTATTGTCGCCAAAGAACCCAAGGAGTTAAAGACCCAGAGTCTCAGAGTCTCTGTCTCTGGGACCCAAAAGACCCAACCATCGGGCACACTCACCACGCTCCAAAATCAAGCATTTACACGTTGGCGTCATCTCAACACCAGTCAAAGTACGGGGTTGTGTACTTAGCTTGTTAGCCACCGCTTGACAGCGCTTAGTGGCTGCCCATTGGCGGTGGCTTTTGGGGCCAATGCGTGGGAAGAGAGTCGCACATGTCTGAACTCTCCCTTTACCAAAATAGATCACCGAATACGGCACCTACTGAAGGTCGTTGTATGCAGCCCCTGAAAAGTGAAATGCTTTGAATTGGCTCGTTGGATACTCTGCGTGACTACTATGAGCAAGAATTATCGCCGCAACTATGCTATTGACACAGCTACTCTTCCCAGGTGCGGTGATTAGGGAAGGACTAATCGCTGGCTCGCTATACTCGCGTTGACGGCGATGCCTCATGCGCTTGTGGACATCAGCAGTGATTTGGAGGAGACTTTTCGAATACCGATAATATGCAATTTCATAGTGAACTACTACTTGCACCCTTCATGTCTGGAAGTAACAATAACGCTTGTCCCGTCCATCTTCATACTGTGGCACGGCCTGCAACGCCCTTGCAAGCATAAACTTCTATCCCAGACTCATTTGTCGCCGGTGTAGGTCGCGCTCAATCCATTTACGGCTCGGAGATTGCGGGGGTTCCGGCGATTGTGGCGGTGAAGGGCCATCAAAGAACTTTTGGGATCTCGTTGGCGTGTTGAAAAACTCGCCGGCGGCGAGTCACTCAATAAGACCCAGATTCTCTTCCGCAGGCACGACACGGATGGTGTTGGTATGGCCCTGGCCACCTCTCCATCCTTGAACACACACCACGCTGTCGCCTTGGCTGAGGACGCCGAGTTTGATGGCCTTTGCAATGCCCCATTTGAGACGCTTGTCGACGTCCTGTTGCCAATCTACACCGCTGAAGTCTGGCTTTTGCTCGGGGAACAAGAATGGGTACACTCCTCTATAGAGGTGGGCATATCGAGAGGCAGCGGCATTGCGCGTGACCATGATAATGGGGCACACTGGACGGTACTTCGACAGCAGCCGGGCGGAGTGTCCACTGTTTGGGTCAGTATAACACACACAATTCCGTAGGATCAGTATGCTTACCTGGTGGTGAGAACAAGGATTGCACCAGCATTCAATTCCATACTTGCTCCAACAGCAGAAATTGCAATTGACTCCACAGTATCAATAGGTCGAGGACAGGTGGTCCTCAGCTCATCAAACACATTGGCATAGGGGATGGCAACCTCCGCCAACAGGCAGGTCTCGTGCATCATTGCCACAGCTTCCTTGGGATAGCTGCCTTTGGCAGTCTCACCGGACAACATCACACAATCAGCACCATCAAGAACAGCGTTGGCAACATCCGAGACTTCAGCACGAGTTGGTCGGGGGTTGTTCGTCATAGACTCCAACATTTGAGTTGCACAAATGACGGGTTTGCCCTTCATGTTGCACTTGGCAATCATCATCTTTTGGGCGATGAAGACTTTCGCGGCAGGAATCTCAATGCCCAAGTCGCCACGTGCAACCATGACACCGTCCGTCTCCTCGAGGATTTCGTCGAAGTTGTTCATGCCTTGCTGATTTTCGATCTTTGCGATGATCTGGATCTCCTTGCCGGCTTCGCCAAGAATTTTGCGGATATGCTTGATATCCTCACCTCTACGGATGAAAGAAGCGAAGACCATATCGACCTTGTTCTTGACACCAAATTGAAGGTCGGCAATATCCTTTTCCGAAAGCGCGGGTAGGTCAACGTCGGTGCCGGGCAGATTGACACCCTTGCGGGACGAGATCTGTCCGTCATTGAGTGCACGCACACGGACTGTCTTGTCGTCGACGATGTTGATGACTTCAAATGACTGGATGCCATCGTCCACATAGATCAACTTGCCAGAGTCAATCACCTTGGTGATGTTCTTGTAGTCGACGTAGCTAACTCTTCGTCAGTCGGAGTCGCTCGGCTGATCTTCTTGACACTCACAGATTCTTATCGTCGCTGGCAGTAGCATATTGGTCATCGGTAGTAATGTTCAGTTCAAGGCCAGCCTTGATCGGAATATCCTTGTCTCCTGGCGTGTTTCCGGTCCGGATCTCGGGTCCTTTCTATTGTACATTGTAAGTCAAGTGCCTCTCGTGAGTATCGTGAATCGAGCAACTGACCGTATCGAGGGCAATGGCGACGGGACGGCCCTCGTAGTCCTTGGCCGATTGTCGTGCGTTGTCAATGACGGATTGATGGTACTACGAAAGGTCAGTATATTCTCTGAGACTGGAGTGAAAGGCGCAAACCTCGTATGAGCCATGGGAGAAGTTCATCCGGACCACATTAAGACCAGCTGCAATGAACTCAGTACAATGATGGTTCCACGTGCAGCTGCTAACATACCCTTTCTCAACATCGTGATCTTCTCAGCAGAATTGGTCTTGGGACCTAGAGGCAATTTGTCAACCCAATATGTCCATGTCTCCCTGAGTCCTGCCGCCACGAACCGATGGTGCAGATGATGCTCGTTCTGCGGTGGTTCTTTTTGGGCTGATAGTTGATATTGAGGTTGCAACCCCATTCCAACTTGGTCCGGTTGGCGAGATGGTCCAAAGCGTCACCCATTTTGCCTGTATGTCTCTTGTTCTTCGGGATAGTTGATCTGGTAGAGCAGCTGAGGGGAGAGGGCGGCAGACGCGGAGATGTATCAATTAGGCGGTAATGATGTCCGGTGCAGGCCTAATAATAAGTCCTGGTGAGTAACTGCAAGCGACTGTAAACAGCAAAGAGTCCTTACCACTGGAAAATCTTTTCACCACGTTTGTGTCGATGGGAGAAGCAATGTTTCAAGGCGACGAGAGACCGGGCAGGAGTCTCTACTATCACCAGACTGGGAAAAAAGCAATGTTGAGGATCTGCTAGAATAAAAATGTCGTGTTGGATGGAGTACCAACGTCACGCTTATCTTGCTTTTAGGCCTGAAAAAGAGCTTCCAAGTAGCTTTGAAGCCGAGCCTAAGAGACCCTCAAACTGAAGGTGCAACGAATGAATGCACGTCGGTCAGCGACGCCGCGATTAAAACGATGGGGAGTGGATTAGAGCACCAGTAAATTGGACAATGCGACGAGTCCAGACGGAGAATCTCAACCAACTAATCTGAGCATATGCCACCTCAGAGGGCATCCAGCATGGCCGTCGTGGTGGGGGTTTTGCTTCAGGTGCTGTCACAGCATTTGATCATCTATCGACCTGCCCCGCACCATTCCAGTACTGTACATAGGCTATTGTACGTTAAAATAATACCTCCTGGCACCTCGTACGAGGCTCATGTTACAAAGCGCAGCTGCGATAAGATAAGCGTCAGTAAGCGGCGAGCCCATCCATAATCGGCCCGCAACAACTTTGAGCCGAATAAGCCTATCCAGGCCCCAGGAAGCTTGGGACTGCAACATCGCTAGGCAATGAGCACATGCGACCAGGCAAGACAGAAACCTCCTTCTTTCGCATTACCCTGCGTATACTCCGTAGCTCGTGCTAAATCCTCTTCGCGACCCTGATCAACATTGTCACACTAGTCATCATATTCGCCATGGTTGTAAGTCCCCCGGCGCATTTTGTACAACATCTCGGTGACCGAAATCAACGCTACAGCTAGGTCGCCTGACTCACTACGCCTTCGATGCGGTCCTCTTCTCAGCCTTCCTGGCCGGAGTCAAGAGAAGCACTGGTCTCACGTACGTCCTCGTGGCCTCTCATCGCTCAAAATTTGCAGCGTTCGGTCGTCGTCTTCCAGACTAACTAACCCTCAGACCAACCAGTGTCAAGGCCTCCTCTATCGGCGAGAACAAAGAAATACAAACTTGGGTCGACCGGTATCTAGGCGTTGGCGAATGGGTCATGGATCAGTCCGTGGCCATCATGGGAAGCAGTGGCTTCTTCGAGCGAAGGAGATGAGAAGATTTGTCTGCAGGAATGGTCTGTGGACTGTACATACTTGATGCATCACGAGGAGTTAGGACAGACACTGCTGGATTTGCGGTAGGAGTTTTATCTAAAGGGCTGCGCCCTTGAATCCCATCTCTGAATATCTTTTTAGCTGGAGGGCCGCGGCGAAAAGGAATGCTCCAGGGCTTTCAAATTATCCAGTTTGTGTGTCGAGCCAGGACCCTGGCCATATCTTAAGGATCGTGAATAGATGCCCTATGTCTCCTGGTCGGATCTCTTGCGAGACTAGCACTTGACAGTCGCTATGTAATCAGATTGGTCCTGTCTCCTGGGTCTAAATGTGTCGTCCATCAGCCGGTCGATATCGACCCTTTCGTAAAACGAAATATGCCCAAATGGCTCCCAATATTGAGCCAGCCTGTTGAAGTTGATCATAATCAGTTGCGAGGGAATGAACTCATCTGTCACAGGTCAGCATTAGGACATTGTCGCCAAATCTCCAGGAGGGAAACCCACCATTAACAAATCCGCGCGCGGCAACATGTCCACGGCTTCTCACGACCCTCGCCCCTGGAAATGGTGGCTCGATGGCGATTCTGATCAGTCCTGCAGGGCCAATGTCATCCGCGATGAATGTGTATTCACCCCGAGGTACGTTTGGATCACCAGTCAACTTCACTGCTTCAATTGCACCCTGGTGAATGTCATGGTCCTTCCATTCAGTGCCACTCGATGCCGCTTCAGGTTGGCCCAAATCTTCCCAACTCTCATCGCCATCATCGCCAGAGCCGTCCTCACTGTCGTGTTGTGTTGTCTGTTTAATCGATAATGGGTGCGGTTTCTTTGGTGGATCAGAACCACGACTCTTTTCAGTCTGCATGACCAAGAGAAATTCACAGCCATGGCCGGCGTAATCACCCACGAAAATGCCTTGGTACGGCTTGTCCGCTGTAGGAGTGTACAGCGAGGGATCCAATGTGGTCCAGGTACTCACTTGCTCTCCTACCCTGACTCCATATTGCGACATCCCGATGCTGAATTGTGACCAATGACGCAACCGGAATGTGGTCTGCGAGATTTCATCCCACGCCTGGGGTTTGTGGCCAGAACCCTTGAAATTGTCGACGCTTTCAGCGCGTACTCGGGGCATGTTCGGAATCGTGCGAGGCGGCCAGAGACTCATGCTTTTGTCTTGGAGTCGTTCTGGGATATCGCGGCAAAGAGACAGCGAAGCTGATGTGTGCCGACGCTCTGGACCGACCATCATCCTAATCTCCGTCTTCAACCACCCCTGCCGTGCATTGATTGGGACTAGACCATGAGGGATCTTGATGACAGGGTCATCCACCCATAAATGCACCTTGGGATTGAAGTTATGAATTACCACGCTTGGCTTGAATAGCCATAGCATTCCCACTGAAGGATTCCTGTCTGCTAACAAGCGATACCCCTCGATACAACCTCGTCTGGGATCGTACCTGGCGATCATCACTTTGCCAGTGTGGGGATCATCTGATATCCATATCTTGCTTTTAGGGATGAACCAGTACGGATGATGAGTGATGAAGAGTTCGCGATATGAAGGCGATGGGTATGGATCGCGCGGAAAGTCCTCTGGTGGTATATGAGATCTTAAGATAGATTCCCAGAGTGAATCCTTAAGTGCAATGGCACGTAACTGTTGACAGGTCCGACTGAGGGAAACCAAAGATTGGTAGGGGAGGAAACAGCATACTGTATGTAGTATCTCAGACGGGAGGTGTAATAGAGGCGCTTCCTGTTCGATTGCCATAATCAGGTGCTCTGAAGAAGGTGGCGATACATCTTCGGGGTCGTCTTTCTCGCTGTGGCGTCTGAATATACCCATGGCCAGGTGAGAGTCCAGTATATCCAGGCGCCCCAGGTTTTGTTGAAGGTTGCTTCAGCCGCGTGGCTCTAACCTATGACTTTTGCTGGGGATCTGTTTCTGCTCATTCGGAGGCTGGACGATGTCACGGACGGTTCCACCGTGCGATGCCCGTCCACAGATCGAGAAGCGCAGCTGTCTCCAAGTATCTCGTTCAGGGAAGAGAAAAATTATCAGACCAAGGAGCAATGTCGTACAGGAAGAGCGTTGAATAGAAAGGGATCAAGTTGATGTCAAGTCTTGCTGATGAATTGTCGCGGGGTTGAAAGGCCTCATTCAAGCAGCTCTACCGTACCGATATCCCCACCTCACTTCTAGCGATCGCCCCCGACAGACGAGGAAGTGCATGTATCTGTACGGGGAGCGCATCAGTTGATGACAGTGATGCGCTGATGAGTTGTGGTGCAAGCAAGTGGGTAATCTAGAGTCCTCCGTCCTAATGCGAAGGTGGACTTCGTCACTCATACGGGATCACTCGACATATGTGGAAGGTGAGGAGTGAAAGTCGCATGGGTTCCCAAAGCTAAACGTAGCCCAAACGTCCCCAGAGTCGGCGCTCAATCTTCTTCGGCATAGATACGTACAGTAGTAGGTAGATAGGCGTCGCCAGGCCCGAGAGGGGATATAACCGTCACGCTATCACTGTTCAAGTAGGTGGTCTCCCAGGTGGGCTCTTAGGTGCATTCACAGTCTGCCAGGGTGCATAAGCCACCATTTACGTTTACCTATATATACACTACAGACCTACTCAAATTCAAGGAAACAGAGCACTCATGTTATAGATTTCTATGTGAATCCTGAGAACCCTCATTCGGTCTGAAACCACCGAGTCATTCCTGCTCTAAATGTCCCCGTCATAGCGCATTAGGCTTTTTCTCCGTCGCTTGTCCGGTTGCCCTTGTTAATCCCATAACTTTTGCATGCCACCGGAGCCGGTCCCGGAGCAAAGGTAACTGGGAGGTGAACACTGGTCAAGCGTGGGGGAACCATAGGATTTTGTTTCCATCAACAGATCTCTGGCTCTTGTATGGGATATAAAGTGTATCGTCAGCGCACCCTCAAAGGCCCGCAAGGAAGTCCAAGCAGGGCACCGTCCATTTGGAACACGGTTCTCTAGGGGAGCTGAGCTCACCCGTCCTCAGTAATGAAATGCGTTGCCAGGCCTCTACGTCAAAGGTAGACCCAGGTTGGTCGACACACCACCGATCACAGTGCCAGCCAAACTGTGTCGGGTAGTCTTTGGAGGGTCCGGATTCTGCAGCAATCGACTTGGAGGCATCGTCACTGCTTGCATAAGAACCTGAAATATGGCATGGCATACCTCTTCCTTACGACGTCGAAGTTTTTTTATCGGCTGCGGGTACGTCCTTTTTCTCCTCTTGCCAAATATCCCTTTCGAGCTGGTCTATACTCCAAGACTTGATCGAAGGGTCTTTCGGAGGATCCGGGATCAAGAACTTTCCAATGGCCTCGCCGAATGTCCTTGACAACCAGGCTTGCCGAGCTTTCCGGTCCTCATTCATCGTAACGGTGTAACTGAAAAGATCTTCGGCGTAGAGATCAGTAAGCTTTGCTTCCTGCAGAGCCGCTCGAGCCACCAATTCTCGTTCATGTGGCGGATAGTCGCTCAGTGGCTTTTTCAGCTTCTCCTCCATTGCCTTGGGAAGGGCCATCTGTTCAAGAGTTGGTGCCGGCCTCTTTGGATTGAACAGGGACGACAAAGGAGGAATGGGCCTGTTATTGCGCTTTGCATCATCCACTTCAGCCTCGTAATCCATCATACGATGGTATAGCTTGTCGGCATGCATTTGAATCTTTTCTTCATCCTCGTCTGAACTGGTGGCACTGGTCATGTAACCAAGTGCCTGCAAGAACTTGGCCTGGAGCGTATAGCAGCGGTTGAACGCCTTCGTCTCCTGATGACACATGGTTATCCTCCCCTTGAGCCGCTTGGACAGGTCGCCCGTCTTGAAGCATTCCTGTTGCATCTCTTCCTCGAAGGCGCAATTCTCCAACGCCGCTTTGTGTATTGTTTGTCGCCTATCTTTTCTTGCCGCGAGGACTCTTTCCACCGGTGTGCTCGTTGCTACCGCCATTTCGTTTTGAGGCACGTAAGTTTTCCATAGATCTTTGTACCGGCCATCTTGGAACAGCGATTCTGCGGGAAGAGGCCTCTCTTCGAAGGATTTGTTTGTATCTGGAAGAGTCTGCTCCACGGGCTTTGAAGCGGGTGCCTCAGGAGTCTTTGGGACTTCGGGAGGCGCATACGGTCTCGGTTGCTGTTCGTCGAGGAATTGCTTCAGGTCTGTGTCCAGCGATTTCGCGGGATCATCTTGGCTGTTGGATCGACCCCAGAACCAACCCATTTCACCATTAGCAGCCGGTTGGCTTTATACTGGCACTGAATTTTCAAGTTTGGTCATGCTGCCCAGACTGGACCTTTCAGCAATTCGGCGCGTTGCTTGAGAGATCTTCTGCGGATTAGCCGCACCAAAGGACGGAGGACGGACGTTTCTGCGCCGCCGGACGCCAAGACGAGTCAGAACGCCGTGAAGTAGGTCCCTTTTTCGGGCCCAGATTAATGCCGCTTTGTACACTTACACCCAGCAGCCAGTCGCTGTGAGTCCGGAGTTACTCGTACCTCAAGATACTCTCGTTACTAGGGGCCTCGGGCGCTGGAAGTCGCGTCTCTCGAAAAGTGCATCCCGCGGATCGACGCGTCGGCTTCAACGTCGCAACCACAATCACGCCCAACTCATAACCACGCTCGACACCACACAGCACAAGATCCCAAATCAGTCCGCGACAAAACTATGCTGCTGTCGCCTAGAAATGAGTTCCACTACAAGACAGGATCGCGCGCTCATGCGTCAGCGCGGTGCTGGGTTGGTTTACTGGCTGGACAGCAGTTGACTCTGTTGCTAACTGAGGGCAGGGCTCGGAACATCGCAAAGGCTGATTTCAGTCTTGACTTTGGATTTAACAATGATCGACAAGAGCGACAACAAATGCGACAACGAGGGGCTGCGTACGTGCTCTGCAGCTGCATGCGTGCAGAGTAAATGCTAATCGCTTCTAGGTCACGGAAAATCGACAATGTCGACTTCGGACTCTCCTTTCCTAATTCAGCTCGTTCGCGCCGCTCGACCACTAGGACGCCTCAGTCAAGACAGTCAGCATCGAGACAGCCCTCAGTCACGCCTGCAAGGACCTCGAGGAGGAGCCGTGAACCGTCCACAGCACCGGCTTCTAGGCAAACACCCAGTGGGACTGAATGGCAGCGCGGGCCTGCAAGCGCAAGCAGCGAACACTCGAGCAAACGTAGGCGGATATCCCAAGCCACAGAGACGCCCGCTCAAGAAACAAGTACCCCTACGCTTGGGGCTACACGTTCTACTACCAGGAGACAAACTCGTAACATGACATTCCCGATAGCCGAAGATAGGGGAGTACATGAGCCTCCAGAGGCTGTGCGAGGAGAAGTCCTCGTACCGAGACCACGAAGTGTTTCTCCATTGTTTGTCCCGCGACGTGACGCCGAAAAGGAAAATGACGCACCAGACCTCGCAGTATCCGCAAAGACCAGTAACTCAAATGCTTCAAGAAGGACATCTCGCCGGAGAACGAGGCCGTCCATCTTACTAGAGGGAAATACAGATTCTACTCCAGTTGTGCTTGAGGAGCCTGGGAGAGACAGCCCCGCAATCGAAGCTGGGACCGTTTCTACGTACGCAGAGGGAGTAGATACAGAGCAGCTCAGCGTGGAAAGATCTTTGATTAGCTCTGCTACGGGCGCAGACCTCGACCCGGCGCTGCCAGCAGAAGAGGACGACGTCAGCACTCAACAGCTGGAAGGCTCTCATATTGAGCTTGATGTTGCGGACATTTCGAATGCTGATTATGCAATCCCACGTCCCCAAGGCACGAAAGATGCCGCTCAAGAGACGACAGAAAGTCACTCGCAAGATGACCACGCTCCTATCCTTCCAGCAAAGAAAGCTGGACGAAAACGCAGATCCCTCAATCTGGTCCGAAAGAAGAGGCCGTCGACTACACGATCCCACCGCCTGACTCAGGCAGACCAGAACTTGACATTTAATAAGCCCTCGCATGTTGGAATTTCCATGCCACCGTCAACGCCATCGTTATTTGCGCAGCCTTCTCCGAATACGAGTAGAACGCATCGCGAAGTGCCAACTCTAGACGAAACTCCAGCTTCTCCTCGCCGTAACCTTGCACACCAAGAGGCCGCTGAAGAGGAAGAAGACAACACATACGCTCCAGAAAGTTCAGTCGAGCCCGAAACACCAGCACCTCTCAGGCGAGGCCCGAGAAAGGAAAGAAAGCAGAGTTCCCAGACGCAGGATCAAGATCGACCACAACAACAGAAGAATACCAAGCCTACCTTCCCCATCCTAACGCATAGATTGATCAATACTTCCAAATTACCTACTATTTCCGAGGAGGAAGAGGCAGATGATGACCCCGGCGAAAAGGACGGCCTGGTCGGAACCACATCGATAAGCGCTGATCGAAGCCGCGTCAATGCCGTCGATGTCTTGGCCCAAATCTGTCGTGAGACGATTGAAAACATGATTGAACGCCTGTCCTCCGACCGAGACCGAAGCTCAAAGCTGCTGAAGACGAAACGAAGCGCTCTCGAGGCGTTCGGTCGGGATCTCGACGACGAGCTCTTCGACATGTCCGAAGCACTTGAGAACAGAATCTCGCTTGAAGCACGGGTGCGCAAAAGCAGGAGAGACAAAGCCGCGTTACAGGCGGAATGGCTCGAAGTCCGCAAGGAGCGAGAAAGGATTGCTCTGAAATGTGACGCTGTACGAAAGCGCAACTGGGAAAGTGAAGCCGAGGCCCGACGCAAATGGCATCTCAGCGAGGCTGCGAGGAGGGCGGAACTCGAATTGGACCAGAATACACCAGACGGCGAAGACGATGATATGGAGTTTATGCTGCGTAGTGTCGTGAATGAAGTCAGTTGCATTTCTGACCGCGGTGGGACGTTGGAACGTGTTCGATCTTTCAATGCGCAGTTGGAAAGTTTGGCTACGTTTTTGGAAAGGGGAGGTTGAGGTATCCTCACTTGTGAGTCGGAATGATCACGGCACATGCAACTGGTTCAGTCACGTAAAGAGCTGTCTTTCTTTTGTGATACAGCAATCGTTTAGGCTTGGTCCGGGCTGTTGGAGGTTTTGGATTGGAAGCCGTATTACGATCGATTGACGATTTATGATGTGACGAATTACTTCTGGATTTTGGTAACTAGGTAGGTATATGTAGGTATGTAGGTGGGGAGATTGGGGCGTTGATGATCCATGTCCCGCTGGGTGCGGGCTGGAGATGATGGATGGACGGATGGATGGATTGTACAAACGGACAGACATTGGCTCAACCATGAATTGATTGATATACATGACTTGCTGTATATACCATAGGAACGGAGTATGGTTGAGAGACGTGTGTGTGCGTGCGTGGGTGTGTGAGAGAGCATATGTGAGCGTGGACGGTATGTCTCTGTGAGTGGGACATTTTCACAAAGTATACATAAAGTCCGGCCTCTTGTCTCCCAGTTTCTCAATCTCGGCCTCGGTCTTGCCTTGGATCCAGTGATCACGCTTTCCGGCGCGACGTTTGGCGTTCTCCCTGCGGAGCAAGACGTGCTGAAGAATGCTGCCTCCGAAGAGGAACACCGTCTCGTACCCGAGAACGACTCCGTGGCCGGGCTTGAACCGCGGCTTGTCTTTGGCTCGGTAGATGTTGGAGGAGACGATACCTGGGGAAATTTCACGCTGCGAGTCAGCCATACACATTCTTCTGCTTCTTCTTCAGCACACCACGGGCCAAACAAAACTTACCGTTCAGGTTTCCCCATCCGATCACAAAACCTAAAGTGATACCACGTTTGTACACGCCTTCGACGTTGTTGGCGGTCCACGTGATGGTGTTGGCTATGCACGGATAGATCCCCATGGCGCCCAGAAAAGTGCCTGCGTATTGAACGTGTGGCGTGCCCGATCCCAACAGCATAGAAAACCCAATGATGCCGAAAACTGCCACCCCGATGTTGCAGTAGCCTGCGGGACTCAACATGTCAGATCCAGATGACGAGCGAAACAGGGGGGAAAAAACACATATCCTATCACTACAACAGAACAAAACAAAACGAAACAAAAACAAAAACATAGGTCAAAAGCATTAACTCACCTCTCTTTCCGGTCCTGTCGGCCAAGAAGCCGATAAAGATGGTCACGACGGCCGCGACAGCGTATGGCGGAACACTCAGAAGTTGGGCGTGGACGTTCTTGTAACCCATTTGCGAAATGATGGTGGGCAAGAAGAGCGAAAAGCTGTACAGCGCGCCGTCGGCACCCATGTACACTATCATCCCCGTGTACGTCTTCCAGTCCTTCAAGGTGGCCCACAAGTAGTCGAGTTTGAATTCCTCGTGCTCGGCACTGGACTGCTGGTCGAGCTTCAATCGGCGGATCACTCGACGACGGTCGTCTTCGGAAAGAAATTTGGCCTCGTCGGGGAAATCGTGGACCTGGGCAGATCAATGTTATCATCACAGTATCACCCGGCAAAAAATGTATCACAATAATGACTCCTCCACACTATGATTGCGTGCTTGATCGAGCAAACAGTGTCGCTCGCTGGGTAGTGGAAGAAGAAACTTACCATCCAGAAGCTGATGACTGCAATGACGACAGTAAAAAGGCCTTCGAGGATGAAAATCCACGCCCAACCTGGCTTGCCGCCTACGCCGTCCATGTTGACAATGGCCGCAGCGAGCAGGCCACCGAACGAACCGGCGAGAGCCGCGGCGCTGAAGAATATCGCGGCGCGAATACCGAACTCGGATCGCCTGTACCAGCAACTCAAGTAGTAATTGACACCTAAACCATGGCGTCAGAAGAGAACGTCCGCGGAATCAGACAGATCATAGATAGAGCAAGAGGTGAATTTATAATCTTACCAGGGAATAGACCGGCCTCCGTCAGACCGAGGAACCAACGTGCCGCCATGAGGCCGGAGAAATTGTGTACCAGACCCATGGTAGTCATGCAAATGCCCCAGAGGAACATGATGACGGGGAGGAAGACCGAAGGCTTGAAACGCTTCAACAGCACCTGAGTCAACGGTTCAAAAATCGAGTACGATATGAAGAAGATGGTCAGGGTGAGGTTGTATTGGTTGGCGGACATGTTCAGGTCCTCTTGCAGACCGTCGATTTTCGCATTGCCGATGTTGGTTCGGTCGAGGAAGGAAATGAGGTACAGAAGGGTGAGCCACGGGAGGAGTTTCAGATCCAACTTCCATAGTAATGCCCGGTCCTGTAGACAGAGCGTTTTGATATTAGCGATACCATCCGTGTTAGGTTGCGAATGCCACCAAAGGACCACGGTGAGGATGTCCGTGAGCAGAGGCTACTGACAATCTTCTTCCTTTCTTCGTCACTCAAACCCTCGTCGGGATCTGGGATGTGGACGACCGGGACCGGAACACCGGCCTCGTAGAGCTTTTCGTCCGTCGAGGGAGATCGATCGGATAGGTGATCTGCCTCGTCGACTCTGGACTTGTTGACCTCGGGGCTCGCCATCTTGGTCGACGGTTTCTTCGCGACGTTGAGGGGACAGGTGCAATGAGGCTCTGAAAGTCAAGAGATATACTTCTCGTCTGGCGCTTTTGATCGGGGGAAAGTTCACTGCACAGGAGCCTGTGGGAGTGAGAGTGAGCCAAAATTGGAAAAAACCCCCCGGGAGGAATCTCAGTGAGCAACGACGTGGTTGATCGACAGTTCGGGTCGCGACAGAAACAGTTGGGCACCTCGGCGCTTTTTCATACGCGAGAGAAAGAGAAGAGATTGAGCTTTTGGAGGGGCATCACGGTCGCTTATTCGCATCAATGGACGACGTCAGGCCATTGTCGAGTAATACCGGGGAAAAGGTGCTGGAGTAAACAGACTGGCACCCCCCCGGTCCCACGCCCCCTGCTCGATCATCCCGCCATTCCTGGGGAGGCTTAGGCTCGGGGTGCTTTGCAGCGGAGAGGTGCAAGGTGTGAAGTCTTTGACGGAGGGGAGGAGACGAAAAAGCAACATGCGTAAGGCGCGTGTGGTCCACCGGTCGGTGGCAATTGAGGGTGTGACCGACGAGGATCGGCGGGCTTGAAGACCATCAATGTCTTGGTGCGGTCAAGCTCTCCACCCAAATCTTCTGTCCCGGCTGGTGGTGTCTCTTGTCACGGCTTGTCGTTTCTTGTCGATCGGGGTCGTCGGTCGGTGATACCGCGGTCAATTGCCGGTGCGGCCAAGGACTGTACAGATGTCAGCCGTAGCTTCGTGTTCCAAGTGAGCAAGCTGTTCCTGTTCAGGGAAACGTTCATCAATGCCTGCTTTATCAGCCCGTCGACGTGGGTGTTGGGCGTTTTGTGGCTTGAAGACAGATGCAACGTCGTCGAGAAGTCCGTACACATATCGAGAATGATTCCTTTCGACCGTGAATGGTCACTTGTCTGTTCCTTGCGGACATTGTGGCGGACCTGTCCTCCATACTTGGAGATCCTGTGCTGATTCACCGCATAGCTCGCGAATATCGCTTGACGAGAGAGACACTTTTGCATTTTTCCAAGGAAGCGGAAGTGCTCGTTAGTGCTCATATCACCTGAGCCAAGTTCATGTCGTAGACTCAACATTATTCATTTTGGTGTTCGCAGCTTGGGTACGTGGGAGGAAGGACAAGATGTAACTATAGACCCAGACGTCGCGATGTTACCGTTCTCTGATCTTACCGCCAACTGGAGCACGTCCTTCACTTTGACACCGCCGACGGTGCACCGGGGTCAGAATCAAACCAGACTCCCGTCCCAATCACGCTCTCGTTCAGTAGCACCCTATACAGCACATTTCCACCATTGATAAAAAGCTCGCCCGGTCGGCCAAAGCCCATGTTCCCACCATCCTCCGTCGGAACGTCGATGTGTCCCAACAAGTCGCCGCTTGGATTCCAAACATACACTCCCGTGAGGCTCAGTCCCCACACATTGCCCGCCAAATCGGTCTTCAGCCCATCATTTGCACCGAGGTCGTAGGGCATCGTGAAGACTCTCCTGTCCGTGACGAATGGGCCGGCAGATCCGCCAGCACCAGAGGACACGTTCTTGACGGTAAGTCCGTAAGTCGCCCTGGAGCCTTGGTAATCGATCGTGCCATCACCGACGCGAGCACCTGTATCTCCGACATAGAGAACAGATCCGTCCGGTGAAGACGTGATACCATTGGGTCTACCAAATCCATCCGCAGCAACGCGCGTTGTATTGGAGACCGGGTCATACCGATAGATCTGGTTCGGTAAAAGAGGATCTGGACGCAGACCTTCCTGGTACCCGTACGTTGGATCTGTGAAGTATATTGTGCCATCAGGGAGCACGGTCACATCGTCAGGAGCGTTGTAGTGATAGGCTCCAAGAGAAGTGGTGAGCGGTGCCACCTTGTATGGCGGATAAGGACTGATCGAGTACAATCCTCCAGGCGGATCATTCTGAGCATTGCCCCATGCCACCATTGCAAGCATATCAGAATGAGTCGAGGGTTTGCCTTGTCCTTGGTACCGGACGCCAGAGATCGGATTGGAAATCGATGTCAAATTGAGAATCTCCCACGATGGCTTTTTGGTGTGCACATCGCCGACGCGAACTAGAAATTGTTCGGCTTCACTGCTGTCTGATACATTGATGCGGTCACTATTGACGAAATAGGAGTCGGTTGGAGGGTGGTATATGCCGCCTTCATAGAACAGTCGTTTGCTTTCATTGAAAACAACCAAAAGCTGAGGATTCGGTCCGAGGATGGCTTCGAAGGCCGGCGAATAGGTGTCGAACGGTGAGGCAGGGGTTTTATCTCGTTGCGAAATGTACGTGGACCCAACACATGTCCACTTAAGCGAGGCAAGAACCAGCAGCAAGAATCGAGGAGTCGGCATTACGGCAAGAGTCAATAGTAACTTGGTAAGGAAGAGGAGACTGTGAGTCTTGAGACAAAACAATGAAGCTGTTGGGGGATGGTCCGTCCATACGCCTTGATTTATAGTATTTCCCTCCAACCATTACTTCGTATTTGCAACGAGGATGCCTGTGAACGCCTGAACATCAAATGATACCTTGATCCAGGATGCTGAACCATTTCATGGTTATTGATTGAGGCTGAGGCCCTTGGCAAACATATGTTCAGACTTTCATTGGGACAACAATCGCGGAAACCGGTGATTGCTCGCGCAATGCTGCACGACAAACATGAGTTGTACTTCGAGTCTCGAAAAGGTGATAGGTGAAGTCCCTCGAGGACACATTCCGATTTTCGGAATGCTCAGTGAGGCCCCCAGGCTGCCTTATTTGCTCCACTCTTGCTCTACAAAGCTTCGCATATGCTTGACCCCAGCCGCAACACTTGCTGATCTCGCTTGGCTGTTGGCCAAGGATTAAAACAGCGAAAGGTGAGAAAAGAGTTCCATTTGGGGTCGTTGTTTGCGAGACGTCGATCGCGAGCCTCTTCGCGCACGGACAATGTCACCATGTCGGAGAGCGTGCTCTACGGAAATAGATGGGAAGGTCGCTGGCTCTCCGCACACTGATTAGTGACCAGTGTGCTTCATTCCCAAACAGGGGTTCTCGTGCAGCTTGTTCTCTCCTTTTTACATGTCATTTTGCAGCATCTGAAGAAATCTCATGCATGTGAATCCACCATAGCTGGATCTGGTTGCAAAATTTCGCATCATACCAGACAAAGATGCGAGGATATCTCTCTCCATGACTGCCCTACACGCGGGTGTCAGTCTAAAGTTTCAGCATGTACTCAGGAACTGGGGGGCACCTACCCCCGCGTGAAGCGAAAGGTCGACTTTTCAAAGCATGAGACACTCATAAATTGGGAATCACAGGGGATATTCGGCGATTTCGGCCTCGTACCACTTAACAAGGCTCAAATAGTGATATTTCCAATCTTCCCCTGCGTCACAGTCGTCCAGGGAAGTGTTGAAAATCTGCAGTCTCCTCCTGTTCATTGCAATTCTAACAGGAGGTGTCTTGTTGGTCCCGAACTTCGTTGGGATGGCCACGTGCGCATTGTGGCTGCATCGAGCAGCAATGCCGTCGACTCACTTGTTGACAGACCAGTGGCTGTACGTCTCAGTAGAACGTTGTGGATCCCCATTCAGTGGAGCCTGACCACTTTCATCTTCCCCATTCCAACCTGACATCAGTTCTGGATCGATGTTCTCCCAACTCGACCTAACATTTGCATCACTTAGACTCGGATGTCGAGAGTGGGAGCTGTAGACGTTCTCATTTTCGAGAACATGGTTCTCGGCGGAGCGTCCATTGGCTTCGACGTTATCTAGTTGATTTGCCTGATAATATGGCTGCGCATGCCAGAACGTCTCGGAGTTGAACCCATATGCGAACGGTACTCCACCATCGGAAGTAGGGTCCATCGAAGGGGAAGTTTGGTAGACAGAAGAGTCATTTGTGGGCGGATTCATCAAGGATGGGTCGACAGCGAATGCATTGAGTGGGGACATTCCATTGAGATGCCCATGCTGAAAAGCGCCCTCATTACCGAGCCAGGGCTGTTGGCCATTGGCGCTCTCGAAACCATGGCCCATGGTTGGTGTTGCGAACCCTTCGACTTGGGGTGTTGTGTATGCATCTAGTGCGCGGTGATCATCACGGTCCACTATGGCATCTTGGCCGCGATCATGCGGATTCGCCGCCGCAGAGTCATCTTTTGGTAGATGTCGTCTTGAATGTCTCAGTAGGACGTCGCTATCGCATCGGCATAGGTCAGTAGTGAGATCTAGGGCATACAGATACAAATTCTTCGTAGCATTATATGACGTAACCGGGCTATGACACGGTGCTGGAGAGACCAGACGAGATGAAAGAAAGCTCACCTTCTCGCATACCGCTTCCCACACACCTTGCATTCGTAAGGTCGCTCTCCGGTGTCTGCAGCATATCAATAACGTGAAACCAGAAGGCGGGAAAGGCGCGACATTACGCGTTCGCAAATGGCGTTCGAGGTGTTCAACTTTGGAAAAGACGCGATCACAACTCGGGCAGTGCTTGCTGGTAGGACGCTGTTGATGTGATACTTTGCCCATCTTTGGATGAGAATTGGCGGTATTGATGGCTTGTAGATGTGAGCATGGCGTGCAGAGAAGTTTAGAGATTAAACAGGGAGCAGACGCAGGTACAATTGATATCTGACGCTCGGATGGCTGAAGGTCAGGCTAAGTAACGTGATGGTGAGGAACAAGAAAGCTACGGTTCGCGGCGACGACGAATGTCATAATAAGGATAAACCGAGACTGAGGTCGACGGCGGACCGGAATAACGATGATGCGGGAAGAGACTTGGCATCCACAACTTCGGTACCTGAAGCGTGTACATCTGCTGTACCTTTGCTCGCGCAAGCAGACAAGTGTCGCTCATTCCCAGAGAACCTGCGTGTCGAAAGGCTGAATTTTAATGATGCTGCAGAAAGAGCATAATTAGGGAGATCTTCTAGATGTCTGGCTATTGGCTGGCAGGAACCCGTCTACCATGTACTGTACACAGCGGAGACTCAACAACAAACTCCACCTAGCCCTAAAGCAACCTCACAAATCGTCCATGGTATGCATAAGCTCGCCGTACTCGGTCCCGAAATGCGACGAAAGAGATGAATATGTGTGTAATCTAACGACATCTGTCCACACATTGCTATGCAATGCTGATCTCAATCTGTCCAAAACACAAGAAAACAGAAAGAAAACAGTGCCTGTCCGGCGTAACCTGTCACCACTCAATCTCAACCCGTCACCATCATTCGGTTGTCGTTCACGTTCTCATTCTCGTTCTCAACATCCAATTCGGAACTCATTTCGGGCGTCATGGGATCGTTCGAGATATCCTCGTCGTCAGCCTCGCTCAAGGAGTCCATGCCGATTCCACTATCATATCGTCGTCGAGGTTTCTTCATGATGCCCAATCCCGGCACGATCCCCCGTCTACTGCTCTTCTTGGCTTTGCCTCTTCCAATTTCGACACTGCCGGGAATGTGGTCGTCTCCATCGTACACTGGTCCGTACTCTGGACTTGAGAACCGCACCACGCTCGCAGGAGTCATCGGCAGGATTGGATCAGAAACAAGATCATCACTCTCGATTTGCCAGTTGGCGTTACGTACTGTTGCCCCCCGGATATAACTCTTTCTCTGCTCGACAAACTTGGCCGCGGCACGCGTGAACTCGGTACTCATTTGATCCACGGCGCGAGAAGCATGTTGTATCTCGGCCTGGTACCGATCCTCCAGCTTGACGTTGAGATGCTTGAGTTTTTCAATCTCTGCATCAGCAGAAGCTAGTGCAGTCGACAGATTCGAAATACGCGAGTTCAGTCCTCCGATTTCTTCTTGGTGAGTCTTGTTGGAATTCGTGTGAGCATATCTGGAGGACTCAAGGTCCTGTTCGAGCCGTGAGAGATGCTGTTGCGCAATGTCAGCCTGCTGTCGGGCGGAGGTGAGTGCCGATTCTAGGTCGTTAATCTTTCTTAGTCGCTCCACCGCAGATTCTTCGGCTGCACGACGCCCTCGAGTCTCTGCCGAGACCTTGGCATCCATATCTGATAGATGTTGAGTAGTCGCGGCGTGGATCTCTTGGAGGGTGGCTGCATGCTCTGCTTCGGTCTTTTCGAAAAGGTCTTCCATCTTCTTCACCTCAAGTCGGTAGCTCTCAATCTGGACAATAAGGCGCTGGTTGTTAGCCGCGTGGTCGCGTGCTTCTCTCTCGAGAGCCTGAGATCTCATCCTAATCTCGAGCATCTCCTCAGCGTTCTTGTCAATCGTCTCTTCGAGCTCTTTGATTCTATTACTGGCCTCTTGTGCTCGAATAATGGCGTGGTCGAAGTTGCCCTTGAGACAGCGACGTTCGTCTCGCATAGACTTGAGCTCAGCTTCACGTTCTCGAACCCGGTCAGCCACCAGCTTGAGCTTCGCGAGAGCTTCAGGGATGAGACGAGCGTTTTCGAAAGAAGCGATTGTTTCACCGGGGATAATTCTCTCCAGCTCAACGCGCATATCGAAGAAGTGTTGCTTAATAGTCGCCACGCAATCTGCAGGATCGTCATCATAATCGCGAGGAGAGAAGCCCAGGCTCTTAATCTCAAGATCCAGCGCCTTGAGAGCCAGTTCCGCATCTTCGGCTCGGTTGGTTGCAGCTGCAAGCTCTTTTGACAGATGTTGATGGTTCTTAGGTGGACTTGACAGTTGGGATTGAATTGTTTGACGGATTGGCGAGTCATCAAACTGAAGGGTATCATTAGAGACACTTCGAAATGACGTGAAGAGGGACTGTTTGGCTTGACGCGCGGTTTCAAGATCCGATTCCATCAGAGGATCAAATGCATCTGAGTGTAGGTTGTTGTCTCCTGCAGTTTCATCTTCGAAAATGGGGAATGCGTCATCATCGCCTCCAGCGTTACTGAAACTCTGTTGAAGTTGTTCTATTTCAGCCTCCATCTCGTTGATTCTGATCTGGCTGGAAGATAGTTCCTCTGCAGGGTCGTTGCGGTGCTGTGCTTCGGCCAGCTCTGCCTTCAGTTTCCGAATTTCGTTGTTCTTGAGTTCCAATTGATGCACTAGTTTCTTGTTGGCCTTCAGGTCTGCATAGTACTGGTTCATGGTTTCGCTGAGGCCGTGCCGCCTAACTTGCCTGACCGTTCTCGGAGTAAGACAGTCTGTGTATGGATGGAACTGTACTTCATCATGGTCCTGGTGTCTTGTGACGGCCGGAGTTGATGCTCGTCTAAGCTTGGGAGTTTTCAAGGAGGCCTTGCCAACAGCAGGAGTCAGTCCAGTAGAGCCTTCAAGAAGTACAGAGTCTGAGAATCGTAGTTTCTTGTGTGGTCCTCTCTTGAGCGGTGTGGTGGTTTGGTAGTTGGGAGAATCTGTCGGCTTTGCGGGAGAAATCGCCGAACTCTTGCGCTTCGAGCCCCGGGTCTCCATGTTTGCTGCTGTGCGATTAAGAAGTGTGATGATTTGCCTTCGAAGGAAGAATCAGGATTATTTAAAGATTCAAGATCCCAGGCTCTCACAAAAACGGTGGAGGCAGTGAGTGCTCGGATGTTTATGTTGGCTCCGAAAAGAGGCCGACACCAACACAGATTTCCTCAAGCAGTTTAGCTCCAACCGGGGGGAGCTTCACCAACTCCACGCCACGCCCAACGCGTAAAGTCGCGTTTCGTGTCGTCGCCCCAGTCTCAAATTCATTGGGCATTGACTGCCTGAGAGAACAATGGCATCTTGTTGGTTGCTCGACGGGAGACAAAGAGGGCGTTGCGAGTACATCCCCCGGCCTCCCGGGAGCTCCTTACGCGGCTGTTGCCTGACGAGGAGTCCCTAGAGGATGAAATACCCATGTCTCAATCACATCCTCGGGAGCGCCATGCCTCATCTGTAGGGTCACTTGCTCATTGTCTCTGTGTCTTCGGATACAAAGAGCCCTTTAGTCCTGGCTTGAGACTGTGGAAGCGATTTCACTTCTCAATGTTTCGCCGGGTAATGAGCTTTATGGGCCTTGCACCTAGGCACCTTCAGCCTGCCAGCTCTCACGTGTAACATGCGTGCCCGAAGTTGCCCACTGCTGGAGATCTGAATGCCCGTTCATGCTCCTTGACGGCCATACTCATACACCATTCCATGGTAGAATAGGTGTTTTGTAGCCTGGCGGATGGGATGGTTGGGCCTATTGTACCTTCATGACGAGCAATAAATATATCCGGCGACAGTTAAGACAGTTTTGGAATTGGGTAGTATATATCAGCCCGTAGAGAACCAAGTGAAAGACTACTCGATTGAGCATCCCGACTTTGCGAAGCATGGGTCAGTTGTCGGTTTCGTGGATGACATGTATTGACGGACACAAGTACTCGGTCCAGAACTCGTGCGATGCCGATAGATACCACTCGTTAGAACATTGATTCATCGTGCTGAATCCAATCGACTGAAACGAAGACAGATCGGCATTTATACGTGAACATCAGGATCATGATGGTAACTTGGGCCGGTGATGTATCCAACCTCTAGTCGTGTCTCGTTCGCCGGCTGAACTTCCATATTTGGCGTGATGTCATTGTGACTTTTTGTTGGGTGAGACGAAGCGCCACAAAGTTTTTGCGACGGCGACAGTATCGAATTCTATGAACTACGTACATATTATGGCCACCACAAGCCTCTCCTCTCTTTCCTCTCATTACTATCTCCATTCGCTAACCTCGCACTGCCTGCCATGTCCTCAACTCCCTCGTCAACCGACGAAGCCGCGGAGACCTCGCACCACTCTAAATACCGACTGCGTGTGACCGCGGGACCTGCACACGACCCGTCAACTCACAAACTTGTCCCCGTCAATGCACCTGAAACACTCACCTTCGAGAACGAGCACATAATCCTCTCGCTCGCCGTCAGAATACGGCATTTTACAGGCTACCCAAACGACTCGCCGACGACATCACCCTACTTCGACCACGACCTGCACACAAGCGACCAGTACTCGATAGCCTTCTCCTTCGTACCCAAAGTAGACATCCCCGGCGGCGATTTGTTATTCGGCAACGACTTCGACCGGCCCATACGAGACAGACTGCCTCCCGGCTTCAACCAAGCATTCAAAATCGTCAAGTGGTGGATCGACCCTGGTCTCGAGGGGAACGTGTACGCCGACAAACCGTCCCTCTTCGGTCCGGCCCTGAGCAGTTGGAACATCCTAAACATTGGCGACAAGGTCGTCCAGGAAGACCAGATACAGGACAAGAATGCATGGAAGATCCCCAACGCGACGTCCTTCCACGAGACAGTTGTCGAAGAAGGCGCAGAGGGTTCCGGCGAGGAGGTCCGCAAAGACTCTGGAATACCCGCCGACTCCGCCGCGCGGAAGAAGTTCTTTTTGACCCCCGCGAATCGAGACAAGTTCGTCTTTGAGGCCGGACGACTATACCAGTCCGATTTCGGAAACCCGTACCTCGACTTCAACGACTTCTCACTCAAACTGCCTGGGTTCAGTCTGAACGTGATCAAGTACGTAGACGCAAAGACCCACGAACTACGGTACACGCTCAAGAATAAATCGACCGACGAGATCTACGCCGTCGTCATGTTCACTCTGCTCTTCGGCGAGGAGTTGGAGCAGGTCAAGAAGGAACTTGGCGAGGCAAATATAGATGATGATGACAATGACGATGATGACGATTTTAGAGATGCAAATGAGGATGCATCACCAAACCCCGACGACGATGTTGATTGAACAATTTGTAGGTTATCTAACGGTCTTGGGATGTCGTTCGAGAGGACAGAAATGGGTCGGTTGCCAGCGGTCGATCTGGAGCAAGCACGGCGTCGGCATGGGTTGGGTATAGAGAGGATGTTTGGCATCATTAGCACGCTTGGGCACTAGAGATTGTACTTGGGACAGTTGAGGATACAAACTGGGAATACAGGCGCGGGAATCGCTACTCTTAGTCTTTGGATGTGTCCTCGTACGTTTCATGTTGCTAAACTATACACTTGACAAGTTCCATTTGTGAATCCATTTGACGTTCTCTGTGTTTGTCAATGTGAGTGTTACTCCGCTGTCGCTCGTCAGGTCCATATCGTCCCATTTCCTTTGGGGCAGTCTGGTGAAGTTTTGTCGCCCACTACATGGACTACATACCGGTCTATCAAGATAGCCCTTATGCCGTTGTCGTCCGTCCTGGCCATCTCACAGCTTTTCTAGAGGCTTTTCGCTCTGGGGAGCACCGCTCGCCCATGGCACCATGGCACCCGTTCGCTACGACGCTCTCTACGCATGATCAAAGCACAAGGGAGGACAAGCTACAGCAAAGGCAAAGGCGAAGGCGATCACGGGGAAACAGCCATTGTTCAGGGGTAAAAATCTCATTTGATCTACCCACGACTCATTAAAAACACATAAAAACAGAAAAAAGAAGAAAAAACAACGCCCACAACAACGGGCCGCCGCCGCCGCCACCACCAACCACCGACACAACAACGACAACAACAACAGCCCACAACGGGGCACACCAGAAACGGGGGACCACAGCGGGCCACAAGCGAGCCTAAGCCCTCAAGGGCCAGTTGTCTCCCTCAACGGCAGCCTCGTCCTGTTGAGGACGGGCGCCACTGGCACCACCACCACCACCAACGCCACGCTCCTCGAGCTCCGTGCCCGGGGTGCCGTCCGGCTGGACGGTCCACTCCTTGGGCACGGCGCCCAGGCCGCCGTCGCACTTCTTCTTGACGACCATGGCGACGGCCAGGAGGAAAAGCAAAGCGGCAAAGACGAGGACGGGGCCAAAGGCGAGGGCGAAGGTGTTCTCGAGCTCCGCGATGCTCTGCGCGAAGATGCTCTCGGTGCCGGAGCGCACAAACGAGTAACCGAGCATCAGGACCTGCGCGTCCTCGTAGCCGGCGCGGAAGCGGTACTCGGAGCGCGGGCTCCGCAGGAGGGCCAGGAGCGCGGCCGTGCCGTGCTGCATGAAGATCGAGCCGGACGCGGTGAGGGCAACGGCGGCGCCGAGCCAGAAGCCGAACAGGACGAACACGCGGTTGTGGAACGGGTGGTGCTGGCCCGCGAGGGGCTGGTAGATGTCCATGACTTGGTTGGCGATGGGCAGGACGACCGAAGACCAGAAACCGACGCAGGCCAGTGCGAATTGACGCGCGACGGTGGGCGGCAGGCCCGACGGGAAGATGCGTGGAGTGTCGATGAACAAGATCACGGAGCCGGCGAGGATGAAGACGGACGAGATCAGCGTCCAGACCGAGTAGCTCGGCCACACCGGGTATCTGGCGACCATGCCGCCGCCGATGTGGACGTGGACGATGATGGCGGGGATCACGAATGGCGCCGTCAAGCTGAAGATGAGATAGAACGCCGTCGGGATCGTCGACGGTTCGGGCTGCGTGACGAGCTGGTAGAACGCAGTGTATGGCATGACGGTCTGGAAGATGCCCGCGGTGAGGAAGACGGCCAGGAACAGGCCCGTCTTCTTGAAGCTGCGGAGGTAGTGCGTCGGGAAAGCCTGGGTGACGGACGACGACAGGATCTTGAAGTACTGCTGCACGATCAGGAGAAGTAGGAAGCCGAACCCGAGGCCGAACAGGGCGATGAGGTTCCCGTCGGTCCAGGGAAACACCGTGCCGGCGAAGTTGAATGCCATGAACAGGACAAAGATGCTGGTGGAGCTGAAAATGCAGCCCGGTTGATCCACGCGACGGTACATTCGGTCTCCGGCCATTTCGTGGGTGTACGCCCAGTGTGCAGAGCCGACGATGGTGATCTTGTTCGGCAGAAGGTATGCCAGCCCGACGAACAACATGGTACCGAGGATGAATGCGGTGTAGAACGCCCAGTTGTACAAGCTGCGGTTGTGGACGAACAGTGCGCCAAAGACCGGACCGAGAATCATGCCGAACGAGGTGCTGAGAGTGAGGTAGAAGTCTCGGCGGATCTTGTCCATGAACGTATTGCCTCGTTCGAGAAAGAGAAGTGCTCCGAGTTGCTGTCCACCTATTCCTGCTCCAAAGACAAGTCTCGTCCAGTACATGTATGCCATGTTGGTGTTGAAGCCTACAGAGACGGTGCCGAAGAGGACGAGAGTGGTGAAGACGATGTAGACGGCCTTGAAAGGTGCGACGGTGTAGAGTTGACCGGCGAAGAGAATGCATGTAGCTGCGCCAATGGCAGAAGCAGAAAAGACCCATTCAAAGCCGAGGACGTCCAGATTGTAGAGGATAGAAGGCATCATGACACCGATCATGCTGTTAATACCGATGGCGATCATGTTCATCGTAGCGACAAGAATGCCGGTGGAGATCCAACGGCGACTTTCTGCTGCAGCTTGAGTAGCCGGGTTCTCGCCAGCGTCGTTGGTCTCAGCATTGCTATTGCCATTGGTGTTGTTGTTGTTTGTATTGCCGTCGGTAGTAGAACGGACAGGACCAAACACTGGGCTTGTACGGACGAGGTTTCTTGCAAGGTTAGACGCAGCCGTGACCGTGACTTGATAGAACGGAGTCGAGTCTCCCCAGAGTGCCATGTCGCTGACGCGGGGACTCTGTTCTGGAGGAAGCTCTTCGACGGTCAAGGTGGTTTCAGTCATGATAGGAGGAATTTGAGGAGGTCTAGGAGCAGACATTGTGGTTTCTGGGATGGAAAATCGGACTCGAGGTGTTGATGAGGATGATGGGAGGTGGCGAGCAGAAGTTGAAGGCATTTTAGAAGATGTGAAATGGTCGTGGACTGAGATATGTCTGCCGAGACGTTGATTATGTCGTCGAGATGCTCACGATGGCTTGGCTATCTCCTGTCCGTCCTCAATTCGTGAGGCTCCTCGAGCGCTCTGCTGGCGTGGGCACGTCCGCGGTCAGATAGAAGCAGTGAGGCTTCGGTCTTTTGTTTTGACCATGGGGAGAACTTACCCAGGGGCGAGAAGGTTCAGGGACGTCTCTGATCGTCTATCAAGCCAGAGAGGACTGACAGACAGCGATAGACACAAAGATGCCAGACAAGGATCATGACAAAGAGGAAAGCAGGTATGTGCAGAGAAGACAGAACTGGAGTAATGCTCTCTATTATGACAGAGGCAGTTGACTACCATAACAGCATTTCTGACTGATCCCGCTGTCTGGAGGCGACTGATGTGTGTGTGATATGGCGACCCACATATTGGTGCTTCCCATACTTACAACCTCACAGGACGTGTCTTTGCGGTATTAAGCCATCCATCACTCTCTTTGCCCTTGACGAGCCTCAGAAGCCTTCTCCCGCTGCACATACCTGCACTGTCCTCGTATAAACCGGCCCCTCAACGATTGCTCCTAGAGCTATACAAGCAAAGACAACCTCCTGGAAGAACAGAGTCACGTTAGCTGGATAAGGCCTCCCTCGACAGACCTGGTCGACATGAGTTCCAGGGAGGAACAAGAGTATCATCACACCAGAATGTTGCCAGAAGGGTGGCATGAACACCGTCCAGAACCACCGGTTTGGGCACCCTCAGAACCACAAGCAATACCAGGCGCACCTACCCATTGCACAAACAACACAGCCTCCAACGCCACTCTATAGCTTTGCCTTTGCTTCTTCCGGAGGGATGATACTGACGGGAGTGTAGGGGACCTGAAGATGGTAAAAGACTTGATCCCAGCGATCGTTGCCAAACCAGTCCCTCCGCTCTCCCTTGGAGTTGACGGCTGAAATCCAAGGCGCACCAAAAGCACCGGAACCCATGGTGACATCGACAACTCTCTTCTTATTTTCAGGCGACAGTGCCTTCTTCATGATGTCCTTGATTTCATCCTCGGGAAAGATGCCCTTCAAGGCCTGAATTATACCTTCGGGGGTTGAGATATTGATGCCTTTGCTCCAGTATGCAGAACTGAACGCGGGGAACGTGGCCTCAAATTTCTCAGGAGGATAGTGATCCTTCACATAAGTCGCGACTCGGACTGGCTGTGTGGGGTCAGGACTCTAATGCTGCTGTTTCTTCTTATCGCTAAGGAACAACTCACAAAGAGTGACAGGATGGGAAAGACTTCGGGCGTGACAACATCCAGCCCAAGGAGTTCACCGGTCAGCTTGCTATCTTGGGCTGAGAATGCCTCCTTGGCCTTTGGAGTAGGCGTCCATGGGTTCCCGACACCGTCCCGAGCACCGCCCAAGAAGAAAGGAATGATGTCTACCGACACTCCATGGGCGTTCAGGAGAGGCCGATATTTGATGATATTCGTGAAACCAAACCAGGAGTAGGGAGACACTTGAAGCGGTGAGCACATACACAGTCACGAAGATTGGGACAAAACATACCACAGTCGATGTATATTTTGAGCTTTCCTCCTTCTGGTTTGCCCATGTTGTCGAGCCTGAATGAGCTCGCTCCCTTTATCCGCCCGGATTGCCCTTCTGGGTAGATAACAACAGTTGTTGATCGGCGGCAGTAGTGAGATTGTACAATGCAATGTCTGTGATTATTTATTCTGACATATGTTCAGCGAGGAGAATACACTGTCGCTGACAAGTTGTACGGAGTTAGAAGCCATTCTTTATTTCTGCAGGGAGCCACGTTTTACCGCCCGCGATGGAGCCGAGGCTGGCGATCCACTGTGAATCCACCTCCACCTCCCCCTTGAAGCTCCCTCCGCAGTCCATCGCCTACCGAGGTTGGCCGTCCACGACTAATCAATAAAACCCATAATCAAAATAATCTGCCATGATTGTTCTTTCGTATCGCTGACACGTTCTCGCATAGTTTCCGCTCATCTTTCTTGCGTACGTATTTCTGGAGTGCAGATCTGGAACAAGCTCTCCCGTACTCTAGTCATCATTCGTCACCAAGCAATCTGGGGGCAGGGCGGGGGATGGGCCATGGTCGAGGCTCCCTTTCTGACCATTAGATATGTTTACGTCTACCGCCATCAGAGCCTCAAGGGCTGAGGTATTGTACCAGCTTCGGTGTTTGTGAAAGTTGTATCTTCGTCGTTCTGAGCCACCCTATACAATGCCCTTTGATTCTACTTACCCGCCAATATCAATACCTGATGTCGACTTGTTCTCATTCCTCTTTGATCGAAATGACAGAGAATTCCCAGATGATCACGGTGAGTAGGAGGTGCCCGCAGGCAAGGAAACGAGCAACGAAACCCAAGCCTCACACTAACGCTCATCCAGTCGTTCTGGTTGATGTGACCAGTCGCACCAAGCATACGTACAGCCATGTCCGCGAGACAGCAGAGAAGTTCGGGAAGGGACTGAAGTTCCATTGGAATTGGCAAAAGGGAGACGTGATGGCCATCTTCAGTCCCAATAGTGCTGAGATAGCCTCAGCGACCTTCGGGATCCAATGGGCCGGCGGTGTTGTCTGCCCCTTCAACAACCAGTACACCACCGCTGAGCTTGCGTCGCAACTGGAATCTTCTCAGTCCAAAGGTCTGCTCACGCATGTGGCTTGTCTCCAGGTTGCACGAGAGGCTGCGCTTCTTGCTGGACTGCCTCTGAGCCATATCATCCTCGTCGGTGACCATGACCCAAAGGGACGGTTTCCACATTACTCAAGCTTATACAACGATTCGACTACGACCGAGAAGGCCAGCATTGAACCTAAGAACGACCTCGCTTTCCTCGTCTACAGCTCAGGCACCACAGGCTTACCCAAAGGGGTCATGCTGACCCACGAAAATGTCGTTGCAAACGTCCTACAAGTATCGAACCCTGATCGTGGGAACGCCAGTTGGGAGCGAGACCAATATTTGGGTTTCCTACCGATGTACCATATCTACGGTGAGTTCGTCGAAGGAGAAGATTGTTCCGACATCCCAAGCTAACTTGCCTTCTGCAGGCATCGCTGTATCCGTGCTGGGGCCCGTCTATCGTGGGCTCACGATGCACATCATGCAAAAGTTTGATCTGGAACAACTGTGTCAGGTCGTCCAGGAGGGCAAAATCACCCTCGTGTACGTCGTTCCACCCGTCGTCCTCCTCCTCGCCAAACATCCAGTGGTCAGCAAGTACGACTTGAGCTCGCTGAGGATGTTGCATTCCTCCGCCGCTCCACTGACCAACGACTTGGTCGAAATGATCCACAAGAGACTCAAGGTCCCCATCAAGCAAGGCTATGGGATGTCGGAGGCGTCACCTGGAATTGCAACTCAAGTAAGAAGAAAAGATTACTATCTCTGTCCGTCATTGACTCACGTGGAACCGTCACTAACATCCATCGCAGCCTTGGGATGATTGGAACAAAACGATCGGGTCTGCCGGCACCCTTGCGCCCTCAATGTCGATGAAACTCGTGAACAACGGGGCTGAAGTTCCAGATGGAGAGGAAGGCGAGATATGGATAAAAGGCCCAAACATATTCAAGGGGTACTTCCGAAACCCCAAGGCCACAGCTGAGGCGATAGACGTCGATGGCTGGTACCGAACAGGAGATATCGGCTACGTGGACAAGGACCACAACATCTACATCACCGACCGGGTCAAGGAGCTCATCAAGTACAACGGTTTCCAAGTTGCACCTGCCCAACTCGAGGGATTACTGCTCGCGCACCCTGCGGTGAACGACGTGGCCGTCGTGGGAGTCTTCAGCCAAGAGAGAGCCACAGAATTGCCCAGGGCATACGTTGTTCCAGCGCAGGGCTTCAAGGGCGATGAAAAGCTCGCAAAGGAGATCAGCGACTGGCTTGATCAGCGCATAGCCCCGTACAAGCGACTCCGGGGCGGAATCAAGTTCATCGACATGGTTCCGAAAAGTGCGGCCGGGAAGGTCTTGAGGCGGTTGTTGGTCGATCAGGCAAAGAGGGAAGAGAGCCAGACACTCCGCGCTTCGAAGCTATGAAAGGAAATGCAATCGTTGCTCATACAAGGTAGTTTTAGTTACGTATGCATTGAAACAAAAACCATATCAATCTGGTGATGGTGGATCCTGCTACAAGTTCCGCCTTTTCGAATGCAGTATGTCTCCATGGTCTCGGAAGGCGACATTTTTCTACTCCTTACATTTTGGAAAACAAACTGACCTTTTGCGCGCGCACGTCCAATTCCTGTGTCCACGCACTTCTCGGCTGCGTGTGCAGAAACCAATAGATGTGCGCGAGATCCGCCGGCCTCGACAAGTGCGCGTCGACGTCGTCCAGTTTCTCCGTGTCTCCCTCCCTCGCCCATTTCCTTCTGTTCACGCCCCCGATCAGCTTCCCATCGACGGGCGTGTCGACGATGATGTGGCTCACGTGGATGCCCCTTTCCTGATACTCCCTCGCGACGACCTGCGAGAGACTCCGGAGCCCGAACTTGCCGGGCGAGAAGCTGCTCAGGCCCGGGTTGCCTCGCAGCCCGCCCGTGGCCCCGGTGTATATGACGGTGCCCTTCCCCGCGGCGAGCATGTCCGGCAGCACGCACTTGGTGGACCAGAAGGCGCCGAACAGGTTGATTTTGGTGAAGTTCTCGAACTCCTCGGTGGTCGTGTCGAGGACCGAACGGCCGTTGACCCGTCTGGCTCCGGCGTTGTAGACGAGAACTTCGACGGGGCCCAGTTCGGACCGGATCTTCGCGAAGCTGTCGAGCACGGATTGCTCCACACGCAGGTCGGTGATGTAGTACCGTGATGTGTTGGGGCCATGGTCCTTCGCAATGTCTGAGACCATTGTTTGGAGCTTGTCTTCCGTCCGGGCGAGGAGCGCGGCGATGAAGCCCTCTGCGACGAAGCGGCGGGCTACCGCTTCGCCTATGCCAGGGCCGGCGCCGACCACCGCCACGACGGGTTTCTTGGATGTGTTGTGCGACATTCTGGAGTTTTGGATTGCTTGATGGCGGAGGGATTGAGATGTTTCTGGCAACCCCAGATTGCTGATGACTGCAGCTTTGGGGGATTCAACTAATTGAGGGGCAGGTTGTTTCCGGAGATGTCAACGTTCAAGGGCACAGCCGTTGGAAGTGATATGTAGTTGTTGTACTGTCGTCAAAAGTCAGAGAGGACCTAGGTAGTTGACGCCATGGTCAGCACATCATCCGAAATCTCATCTAATCACCTCGAGGAATCAATCAGTAATCCGGAAACGGTGTCTGTGTTGTGCCTCGGCCCAGTCTTTCTTGCGGATTGTTTCACTCCACAATTCAGTAGGTGGTGCAATCAGGGGTAGAATTATGGGGAAGCTTTGCACAACCTCGATTGCTTTTCTCTTGACTACGTCCGTATCGCACCGGTCCCGTCTTTGGTATCAATTACTATCTCGTAGAGTGATCAGAGGGCTAGTCATCCTCCACCACCGCACGGCGTTGGGCAGCGAGGTCTATGAGAAAATCGAAGAAAGGTTTCTTCTTTTGCATTGCAAGAATCAGCTCTTCCAGACTATGCTCAACTCCAGCATTGCGAGTATTAGTACTTCCAGAATATGCTTAGCTCCAATCGCGGAAAAGTATATCATTATGTAGTCTTTCGCTCTCGACTACGATGAGTTGGTAGTGCCTGTGTTAGTTTATAGAGGAATACAATCGAAATAATCCTGTAGTACTCTCTGCCTCTGGATTCGTGTCTTCTACGGAATAGCAAAATATTCCACCAATCCTACCACCCTTGATAAATCATCTCTATCACGACGTATAGTCCAAGGACAACAAGACATCGCATAGACACTTGTCCCCACATCAGCCTCAGAATCGTCAGGCATACATCGACCCCATAGAAACAGTTCTCCAAATCTATGTCGTGCCATTCTGGTAGGCTTTTGCTGTCACCCACGCTGTCTGGGGACTCGGATGCCCGCTGAACACGGTCAAGAATTGCCTGCTCAAGTCGAAGAACCCAGTATATCCTCTTTCCTCGCCACTCTTGATCAAACCGTGGGTATTTCGGTGAGCGATAAATGCTGTCAATCCACTCCAAGTAGTCTTTGATATACATCGCGTCGTATTTTATACGAAATGAACCCTTTGGAGGATCGGTGACGACATTTCGGAGATCACAGCAATGCTGAACCTGCTCTTGGATCAATGCTTCCATAAGACTACTTGCGTCAAGCCAAGTGAGCGTCTCGAGCGATTCATTGAATTCTTGTATCTCGGCTCTTTCTTCGTCCAAGGTATCCTTAATATCGGCTTCTTCCAGGATTCGAGGACTGAAAGACTGACCGCAGCACACATGCGTAAGACCCACGTATCTGAATCGCGTAGCCCGCAAAGCTTGGATGAGAACTTCTTTGAAAAGCAGTTCTGAAGTCCTTTCCTGCACAAGCAGAACCCAGTCTAGAAGCTGTACACTAGGTACGAGCGGCCGGTATCGAACACTACCTGCAAGAAAGGTGGATGGAGAACACCCATCGATACCGCAAGCACATCGGCAGTGATCCGTTGTTCGTGGATCAGCGCCATGCTCAAGGAGCATCTTGATTGATGCGATGGTATGCGCATATGTAGAACAAAAGGTGTCTCGGGATAGATGCATCTGCTCGAAACGCTTAACAACATGATGCATTGCCGTCCAGCCATGCATGTCTTGAGACAAGGTCGATGCGCCTTTGCGCAGACAGTTCCTGACAATATGAAGACGGTTGGACAGCAAAAGCCGCATAAGTGGAACTACTCCATCATCATCGGCATGGTTGATTCGATCAAATCCATATTCGAAAAGTAGCTCAACTTCTTCATGCTCGTGAACATGATGTAGCAGTGTTGAATTGTCCCCATAGGTAGTATTGGCATCGCCACCAAAAGACAGAAATTGCCGGAGGTAGTCACACCGCTTGGGTACGTTGGCAGGGCGACGGGGAAATATCAGGTTGCGAATAATGTAATTCAAGATGTTTTGAAAATTCGTGGCAGCGTACAAGTTCTTGGTCTCCTCAACTGTCTTTCCAAGAACATTGGTGTGTCTAGTGAATATTGCACAGTCCATGAAATTAAGTTTGTATGTTCGATCCTTGATCCAAGGATTGGCGCCTGCCCGAAGAAGGCTTATAATCGAATCTGCCTTCCCGTAACAGGCTGCGTATATGAGAGGGGTAGCGCCGACATTGTCTGGCATGTCAACACCCAGGTCTTCGTAGAATGCCAAAAGTTTGGCTAACAGCTTTGGGTATGCGACACTGAGGTGCAATGCGGACTGACCGAGAAAGTTTCGCGCTGAAAGAGCATTTGGTCGTACAGCAAGTTTCAGCGCGCCATCTTCATCGTTCTCCAAAACTGCTGCCATGAGCGATGTTGTCCCGCCAAATTCTGTCGTTCAGATGCAATTAGCTCACGCGTTTAATTAGTACACCTTGTATCGTACCTGGGTCACTGTCCACGCATTGTACAAGGACCCGAAGATAGTACGGATCTTCCTCATCCTGGCGGAAACGGAATCTTGGGCTACTCATTGACCACTCATGTAAGGAATAGGAGTTTGCAAGGGATGCATCATATCCATTTTTGAAGAGAGTCTCTTCAAGACTTGAGCAAAACTGGGGTCGAAGCGAACGAGCCTCCACGCAACGCCAGATCAATCTCCAACATTCATCATGTTAGCATGCACACAGAAAAGTGGGATTCGAAAACTAACGAATGTTTGGTGTCGCTCCTTACTCCCTGCTGCAAGAGGAAGTCTAAAAGCCCGGTTTGTAATTCCGTCGAGAGATACCGTCGATCAAGTAATTTCTGAGGGATCACAATCAGTTGCTCCGTAACTCTACGTATCCTTGATGAAATTACCTCTGGCCATGTGTTGCCTTCGGGGTCAACATCAAAAGGCGACGCTTGACCCTCATCGAAAAGCTTTTGAAGCTCCACTTTGGCTTCAGGCCATTTTATTGTGCCGGAATTCCAACTCTGCAGAAGCAAAAAGCCAGGAGAATCAAATGGTACAATGCGCTCAGGTTGTAAAGTTGCAGACAATGTGCAGCTATAGCGACCCCACGCTATATCGAGACCGAGATGTAAGGACCAGAGAATATGGTACGGCCATAAACTGACGCGGCATCTGGCCCTGAAGACACGATGTTGACATGTTGCACGGTTACATGGTGCAAGGAGAGAGTGCAGAGAACTTATGCTCCAAGAAAAGGATTGTCCTGACGAGTAGTTGCGACTATGGCAAGCGCAAGTGCATCGGTCTTCCAGACAAAGGCCCCGCGAGGAACGAGTGCCTGTTTTTCTTGACGTGCGTCGTGGAACAATCGGTCCTGATCCAGAGTTCTGCCAAGTATCCAGTTCTTGGTCATGAGTCTCGTAAACATGGGTCGGAAGAGCAGAGGTTTCCGCGATGGTAACCATACAGTGATAGCCAAGCTGCTCTGGTGCCTTTGCAACTGCGGATAGAATTGTCTGGAGCCGACCGCCATTATGAACCTCTTGATAGAAATTCAAGACTGTTAAGTAACCATTCAAACGCCCCAATGTATCTTTCATAGCCCTTTCTTTACAAAGGCTTCGCATCGCCTTCAATCTCCTCCTCGTACCGGAGTCGCCAGCAGAAGGTTGGATCCTATCAATATCCTTTTCTAAAGACTGTATCAGAGCTAGGCAGCTTTCGATCACAAGTTGTAGTCCGGAGTCCAATTGATGACCATGATTGAGTGTGGCGATTTGGCTTAGGAGGGGAGGCAACAAGCGCAAAGCGTTCTGTAGATGCTCAAACGAGTTTGGCAGTCTCCCCAACGAAGCAGAGAACTCCTTCAGCCGGGCGCCGACTTTTGCGGACAAGTCAATCAACTGCAGTATAGATGCAGCTGCTCCTATCACTGCAAGCTCAGCCATGGTGGCGGCAAATAGAATATTCAAGTATTCAAGAGCAGGAGAAAGATTGAGTCCAGCAGGGTTAAAGAAGAATAAGTATTGCTGATTGACGACACAGCCTCACCGCCATGTAAGACCTGTGTGCCTGGTAGCACAAGCAGACCTGTTACGGAGTGCGCACAATCAAGTTCGTCCAAGGCGTTCTTCAAGGCTGTTTAGTAGCATTAGCAGAGTCAGCCCAAGGCCAAAATCAGACGATTGGTCTAGGGACAGTCTACCCTAGCTGAACATGCGCAACAGTTCTGCATCTGGTTTTGACGCTATTGGTCAGGTACGTGCACCACTTCTAAGTCGAAAGGTGACTACAAGTTTGTGAGTTGTTGTGACCGTGACGGTGGTCTCTCTTTTAGACCATGTGCAGCAAGTATGCATGAATGGTGGGTGATCCCGACTGCTTTTGTTGATTGGGGCCAGGGTGGTGAAAGCGCGCTGCTGAGAGACGATGCATGGAACACCTGGAGTGTATTGATTGGCGGCAGGCACTCTGCAACAGCAAGGCTCTTCTGCGGGCGGGGAGGGTGGCGCTGGCACAGCCTTTTCTGCAATTTGCCCTCTTGGAACCCCTCCGCTGAAAGGCTCGATCCTGAAAGAATTGTAGTATGGTATCAATTCCTCGTATGAGGTGCACAAGGTCGTCTGAGAGTAGTGAGGCACGGTGTAAAAGAGTCCGTATTGGCATTTGACCATTTCGAGAGTCATAGGCCCGATACCTTTAGCTCGTCAAATTCCTCAACTCGGGTTTGGTCTCCAGAGTTTGCGAGATGAACCCTCGAAGCGCAGCCCATCTTGCATTCGTTGGGGGTACATTCGTGTTTTGGGCAGCGTCCACGGACGTATTTTCTTTGTCGAGCTCATTTGTCGACCGCGGAGTCGCAAGCTGCGCCATATTCTTTGCAAAGCGATCCCGTTCACTTTGTTCAAGCTTTTCTCTTCTCTTCATGGCCCCCGGACGAGATTTCATACTCTTCCGCTTTATTATGTTGACCTGGTCTTCGGGTCTCTCGCCTACTGAACCTCTCGTCCCGGTCTCGACGTCATCGGTAGGTAATGCATCTGCTAGCGAGTCGAGTGTAGCAACCAGTTTCTTGTTCGGTCGCCGCCGTCGAGGTGCCTTCGTAGCAGACTTGGTGACCTTGTTGATAAGCTGCTCGTGTTTTATTCTACGTTTGTCCTTCTTCGATGCAGGAAACAACGAATCTTGCTTGCTTATGGTGGACGGAGTGGTCTTTTTGAGGATGGACTTGACGGGTCTTGCAGTCCGAGTTGGAGGTGCCTTGGAAAAGAGATGTCAGCTACATCGGCCATTGTGAAAGCGATGGAAGTCGTACCATTGTGTCAAGAGGTCTTCAAAGCTATCAACGTCACAAGAATAGTAGAAGGTTGTGGCTCGCAAGTCCTGAATCGATCCAAATTCAGTGTGCATACATTTTTACTCTCCCCCGTCGTCTCTTATCGATAAGCTTCAAAATATTTCTGCGGGCGCAACCTTCGCAGCGTAATTCCGCGATCCCCGTTCAGCATCGCACTGGGATCAGCACGAACTGATATCACCGGACCCTGTCTGTCCAGGTACAGTACATACTGTACACGTTGCTCTTCTCACATCCATTGCTCCGGAGCTTGTCCTTGTACGGCCCGTAGGCCTGCGGAGTGGTATGTGAAGGCCGATTCGTCGAAGGACAGAGGACTCTCCCAGACCTGTCACCTTTTCAGTAAGCGTCCAAGATCATTTCCCCCAGGCCGTTCTCTCACCCCTCCAGAGCACCGCAGTCCAAGGCACGGGTCAAGGGAATTGCAGCATAAAGCTCGTCTACAGTTTAAGCTACGAGTACGCCCAGCACGACCTGACACGACACGTCGATTCTCGCCTACAGGGATAGCAGAGCCCGAGGTTCGGCATATACTTACTTTCGCCTCCGCAGCAAGCACTAAATAGTTACTCGTACATGGCTTCCGGGTTGTAGACGCTCGTAAACAGCAACTCAACCGCGCCCAGTAACTGCTAAACCATGTTTGCCGCGGGTCGATCCCTCGGTCCCTGGATAATATTGTACAGGTTGTAAACAAGATCGCAAAAGCCCCTCACCTCCACCCACGCACCCACCCACCTTAGGTTTGTACAGTACCTACTCGTACGTGTCTGACCTGGCCACATGTGCCAGCTGGCACTGCGTCTGTCAGAGCTAACTAGTACTTTGAGTTGAGAACACTTATTACCTACAAAGGCACCTAACCCGCGTCCTTCCAATAAGTGGATAGGTAGGTACTGTATGTGTATATCAGTCCCTCTTCTTCCCCCCCTCCATCTCACCACCTTACTTAAGACCGTCAAGCACTTCTCACCACCACTACCACACCAGTAGTGAATCTCTCCTTGCGGTGCTCTCGAGATACCGACCCACTGTTTGAAAGCTACCTACCTGACTTACCAGACCTCTGCTACGCACCCCCCTCCCCACCGGCCCGCCGTCTGATACGACCACCACCACCACCACCGACACCATGGGTTACCAATTCCAGGTCCTCTACCCCAACGACGAGGGCTCCTCGTTCAATCTGGACTACTACGTCAACAAACACATGCCGATGGTCATGGAGAGATGGGGCAAGTTCGGTCTGAAGGGGTACACCGTGACCGAGTACAAGCCCGGCGCGGACGGCGCGAAGCCCAAGTACAGCGCTGCGGGCTTCTTGTTCTGGGACACGGCAGAAGATTTACAAGCCGCCCTGGCTTCACAGGAAGACTTGACCGCCATCTTCGCCGACGTTCCAAACTACGCCAACGTCGAGCCCGTCGTCCTCTCTGGACCCGTCGTGGGGTCGAAGTAAAGAAGCGAAAGAAACAAAGGGCAATGCGAGACGAGATACATACGAGTGCCTCCGCAAGACAGTGATCGTATACTGGGCTGATGTGTGGAGGAAACATGGAGAAGAAGACGAGGGTGTATATGAAACATATCTCTACATAGTATCCGTACACCGTGGATGGTACTCGTTCCTCATGCTCAATAATGATATGAGTTTTCAACCACTACAAGCAGGGATACAGTATCTTCTATCCATACCTCATACGTGATGCACAGGATTTTGCATAAAAGAAGTACAAACTCCCCAAAATCCCCACCCCAGGAGAACCTCAGGCTGTGTATACCCGAGAACCCAAAACGGCCATCCTATTCCTCCTTCGCTCCCCAAGCACCACCACCAGGTGTCATGATCACGACCCTGTCTCCTCTCTTCACCTTGACCGTGTTCTTCCCACCGAGATTGACTCTCCTCTCTTGGCCCGTCTCGTCATCCTTTGTGACCCACAGGTTCAGTCCTTCCTGGCCCTTGCCTCCCCCTTCCATACCATACGGCCTATGGACCCTCCTCTCACTCAAGATCGAACACTGCACCGGCTCGAGAAACTCAATCTCCCTCACCACGCCGTCCCCTCCAGGCCGTGCACCGACACCGCCGGATCCCTCGCGCAGAGTAAACTGGCGTAGCACGCAGGGGTACCTCTTCTCCAGAATCTCCGGGTCTGTGATGCACGTGTTGGTCATGTGTGTGTGCACGCCGCTCTGGCCGGACCAGCTCGGTCCCGCGCCGCTCCCGCCCGCAATCGTCTCGTAGTACCCGAACCCGTCGACGTGCGACCCGTCCTCCTCTGACTTGCCCCCAGTGCCGAAAGTGAGGTTGTTCGTGTCCCCCTGTGATGCCGCACACGCCCGGAACGCCTTGAGCACGACGTCCGTGATGCGCTGCGACGTGAGCACGTTGCCGCCGACCACGGCCGCCGTGCGCGACGGCGAGAGCAGCGAGCGCGGAGGGATCTGGATACGGATGGGCGCCAGGCAGCCCTGGTTCAGCGGGATGTCCGAGTCGATCATGCACCGCAGACAGTAGATGATGGCCGAATGCGTGATGGCCACGGGCGCGTTCGTGTTGCCGTACACCTCGGCCCCGGTGCCCGCGAAGTCGAACGTGGCCGACCCCGACGCCGCGTCGATGGTGATGCGCAGACGTATGGGCGTTCCGTCGTCCATGTAGTCGACCGCTTCGAGAGGACGGCCGCCGAAACAAGAGTGCAGTTCGCGGAGCAGGTTGCGCACCGCGACCTCGGCTGTGCTCTGGATCGCGTACATGTACGCTTGGACGCACGAGAGCCCGTACTCAGCTATCAGTTTCTGGATGAGCTGGATCCCGCGCGTGTTGGCCGCGATCTGTGCCTTGAGGTCCGACAGGTTGTCGGCGAGGCACCGTGTGCCGGAACACCCTTCGTACTTGGCCGGCTCGTGGAGGAGGAGTTCCGTCATCCTGGCCTCGTCGAAGACGCCATTGTTCACGATCTTGTCTGACTCGATGGCCGCGCCTTCTTGCCAGAGTTCCGTCGACTTGGGCGGCATCGATCCCGGTAGCAGGCCGCCAATGTCTGCGTGGTGCCCGCGCGACGCCACGTAAAAGACAATCTCGGATCCGCCGGGGCGGTCGAACACGGGCGTGATCACCGTGATGTCGGGGAGATGGGTCCCGCCGCAGCTGGGGTGGTTGGAGACGAGGACGTCGCCGTCTTTCAGTTGTCCGAGCCATCTGTTGTGTTGGTATCGTACCGCGAATTGCATGGATCCCAGGTGGACGGGCACGTGTGGTGCGTTGGCCACGAGGCCGCCGTCGGGCGAGAAGAGCGCACATGAGAAATCGAGACGTTCTTTGATGTTGGTTGAAACCGATGTCTTCTGGAGTGTGCGGCCCATTTGTTCGGCGATGGACATGAAGCGGTGTCCAAATATTGACAGGCGTACCGGATCGATGGCAATCTGTTCGGTCGATAATGAAGCGGTAGGGGAGGGAAAATGTGGAGATGATGGCTTCTCGTCCTTCAAATCCAGGACTATGCAGGTTTCGAGAACATTTGCCACCGTATCTGGTGCGACTACAATTGTTTGTGTTTCGTCGATGATGATGGCTGGTCCTTGGATGCGGGTGTACTTGTCGATACTCTTCAACAAGTGGACTGGAGTGTCAATGTGTCCAGTGGTTTCGAAATACACCTTTGCCACCTCTTTGGGTGGTTGTTGCATGTCCCTGATGGGTTGGGCTTTCAATTGGGCTTTAGGACTCTGCTCGGCGTGGTTGTTGGACGAGGCGATAGACCTAACCCGGACGTCGTCGACAAGCAAAGGCTTCTCAAAGGTAAACCCAAACTCTCTGCGGTGTCTCTCTCGAAATTCTGTGGCAAAATCCCAACTGGTATCCGGCTTGAGGATCATCAGGTTCGTGTCAGACCCTTCGTACCGCATATTGAGGTAGAGTTGGTGCCGAATCCGATCAAGCTGGAAGCCTTGCGACATCAAGTCTGAAGTTGACCGCGTAATTATACCTTCGAACTTCTTGCGAAGTTGTGATTGAGATGCGAGATACTCGGTAGAGACTGGTTCTTGAGCTTCCTTGACCACATCGGCCAATGCCAAACCATAAGCAGAAAGCACAGACGAGTATTTGTGTATGATGATGCGCGAGATACCAAGTGTCGCGGCGACAGAACATGCATGTTGTCCACCAGCACCGCCGAACGAGGCGAGATGATGAGACGAGGTCTCGAATCCACGGGCCTCAGTCAAGTTGCGAACTGGCCGAGCCATGGACTCATCTGCGACCTTTAAAAATCCCAGGGCAACTTCTTCGGGTGTGAATGCAGCTCTCCCCTTCTCAATCTGTTCCTTGTTGATCGACTCTGTAAGTTCATGGAACTTCTGTGTAGTGATTTCTCGGTCCAATGGCTGGTCCTCGTTCGGTCCAAATATCTTAGGAAAATACTCTGGCAGCAGTCTACCGAGGAACAGATTTGCGTCGGTGACTGTAAGCGGTCCGCCCTTGCGATAACAAGCAGGGCCCGGGTGAGCAGATGCTGACTCTGGACCAACTAAGAAGAGGCCGTTCTTCCATGAGAGGATCGATCCTCCACCTGCGGCGACGGTGTTTATATCGAGCTGTGGTGATTGTATGGAAACGCCGGCAATAGTTGCACCAAACACGTGCTCAAAGTTCCCGTCGAATCGACACACGTCCGTTGAAGTGCCGCCCATATCAAAGCCGATTACGGGAACTTGCTCGTGCTCATCCCAGCTTGTGGCAGCGAAGCCTACAACTCCTGCCGCCGGACCTGAAAGGATGGCTTTGAGACCACTGAAACTTCGGAAATCAACAAGTCCTCCATCAGATTGCATGAATTCAAAGCGGCAACCATGAGAATTTTCAAGACCACCTTCGAAGTTTGAATTGATGGAGTCGATGTAGCTTTTGATGACTGGTGTCAAATAAGCATCGGCAGAAGCTGACATGCCTCGAGGAACCACTTTGATCATGGGTTGTAGGGTTGAAGATAGAGCGACTGAGAACCCCATCGACAGTGCAAGTCGGCCTATCCTCAGTTCGTGGTCTGGGTATGCATAGGAGTGTAGCAATGCTACAGCAATTGACCTGTACCCATCTTGCCAGAGCATCTTCAGGTTCATTGATACCTCTTCGTTATCAAGCTCTTGAAGGATGCGAAACTTTTCACCTGTCGTACCCTCTACTAAGCGACACTCAGGATATCTGTGGCTTTGGCTGTTTTGTGGGCAAGGGATGATTCGCTCATTGAGCTCGACAACCTTTTCATAGAGCACTTCCGGCTTGCGAGCTGACAGGTCGAAAATCTTGGGTCTTGATTGATTGCCAATCAGTAGCAAGTCTTTGAAGCCTTTCGTGGTTATCAAAGCAGATTTTGAGCCCTTTCTCTCCAACAGGGCATTTGTTGCTACCGTCGTACCCATCCGAAGTCTATCGATATGGGTCATTCTAAGGGGCTTGCCTCTGGGGAACGATTCTCCTGTGGCCAGTTCCAAAACTCGTCGAATCCCTTCCGTTGGCGCATCCTGATAATTCGAAGGATCTACCGACAACAATTTCAATATGATATCTGGCTTCCCAGGTATTGAAGCATGCACATCAGTAAATGTGCCGCCCCGGTCGATAGATATTCTGATCTTGGATGTCTGTGCCATTGTCGTGGAAGAGGGTAGGTTGTTGCAGCTCTGGATTCATGCTCGATGGGAGGTGTAGCAGAACATATAACCCTAACCAAGAGGGTCGGGTGGAGAGAACGCCGGCATCACGAACCTTTCTGAGGCATTGCTGGATTCATTTTTGCCTGCCCGGAATTGTTTCTCGACGCCCTGCTGTGATCTGATCGACGTATGACCATTGGCGGGTGCCATTGAATGAACAAGAGTTGAGACTAGGGATGTGGGACCCGACGCCTGTGTGCCTTTCATCGGGGTGGCGTCCCTAGCGCCCTTCACACACCCCTGCTATCGGGAATATCCCCACAGTGTCAATGATACATCACAGTCGGAGAACAGCGATGATTGCTTGGGTTCGAACATCTCCATATATGCCGTTCACTTGGCCACATAAGGCCATGACCTGAAATCCTGAGCTAAGCAGCGTAGAGTTGTACACAGGACGAATTGTGCCAGGAGAGTTGCAGCCGTCCATTCAACATGGCACCCAGCGCAGTAACAGAGCATGTCGATGTGGTCAACGTGAAAAACAGTAATCCGGTGATCGAGGAAACAGGAGAAAGTGTTCGCCTCGCCGCAAGATCGGGCAGTTACACCAAACCAACACCCGGTGCTGCGCCTAGCTACGTCCAAGCAAACCTCATCGTTATTCCTTCAAAGTACGCCGTGGATTTCAGGATCCTCTGTCGGAGGAATCCTGTGCCTTGTCCACTGTTGGCAGAGTCCCAGGCCACCGGAAAGTGGGATGAGCTGCGGTCTTGGCTAGAGGGTCTCGACGGCGAGCAGATCGCCAAGAATGTTGACCTCCGCCATGATTTCCCCAGGTATATGGTGTACCAAGACGGGATATTGACGAAGTCCCACTGTTCCAATGTCGAGGAAGAATGGACAGAAGACCACGTTGGATTCCTGATTGGATGCTCCTATAGCTTTGAGTCTGCTCTTGCGAAGGCAGGACTCACACCTGCCCATATGGCTCATGGGAGAAATGTGCCCATGTACCGGACGAACATACCGCTCTGTCCGGCCGGTGCTTTCCAAAACTCTACATATGTCGTATCCATGAGGCCATATCGGAGGAAAGACGTCGAGACAATTCGCGATATCACTCGCCCATACATTGATACGCATGGCGAGCCAATTGCCTGGGGCTGGGATGCCGTGGACAAGCTTGGGATTGCGGACATCAGCAAGCCCGATTTCGGAGAGCCACCAGTTGCGCAGAACGGGGCACCGCTGGAACGTCATGGCGTTGGGGCAGAAGAATGTGTGCCTGTCTTCTGGGGCTGCGGCGTGACTCCTCAGGAAGCTGTGCGAAGAGCTGGCCTTGAGGGCACGGTGATCGGGCATGCCCCAGGGTATATGCTTGTACTGGACATCAGAGATTGGGATATAATCCCAGATGTTCAAAGCTAGAAAACTCATGTGTTAACTTTGGCTCGATGAAGACATAGACTGCCATGAATAATGACACTTCCACATACTATGAGCCAGCTATAAGCCAGGATGGGTTTGATGGTACGTTTCGTTTCGTAGAGCATTTTCTAACCAGCCCGTATCCATGTTCATGTCGATGTCGAGATTCCCCGTTAATTCTTCCCAGAACTTTGGATCTTCGTCTGTATCGAAATCGAAAGAGATATCCTGTAAAGGCTGAAAGCTACTATCAAATTGCAAAATATTATCGTGCGGTTGTACAGGAATGTTCATCGGAATAGTCGACGACGTGTAGGGGACTGACTCCGGAAACTGTGACAATGGAACGTTCGCTGGCACTGCCTGATTGCGGGTTGACAGTCGAGGTCCAATAGCCGCACGGAGGTTCATCAAAAGAGTCAATCTCGCCTGGATGTACTCGTTACCTTTAGCCGCCATCCCTCGAAGTACAGAAAGCGCAGTCTCCATAGCGGTTGCATCTTTCTCATTATATGGAAATGCAACGTTGACCATGACCAAGGTTAGCGAAGCCGAAAAGGCATGCTCGCCATCCATGAAACCATAGGTTGCTGTGGCGGATTAGCCGAACTTCTAACTAAACGAGAATTAACATCTTACCGTATAAATTCTGACTTGCAGCTGCACTCATGAGCATCGTGCTTGCGCGAGCAGCCCTGATTGCAGTTTCGATAATGGTGATCACATTAGGCGAGAGGCCTTCTTTCCAGTTCAAGGGGGCCAAGCCAATAGCAAGAGCATCTAATCTTTTCTGGCAGACATAGAGAAGCATTGGCCTCGTTGTCATGTTGATGCATTGATAATAGTGAAGGAACGTTGATATTCCTTCACGTGAAAGGGGTCGATCCAAGGCTGAGAAATTGATTCTCAGCTCTTGTGGGACATGGCTCAACCACTCGGACAGATCATGCATGATGCTCTGTACAGACGTCAAGAGATTGGTTCCAGTTTTGTGTTTCTTGCGATAGATCCCCTCACCAATCCTGCCTAGGATTCGAGAAAGCTGCGTATAGTGCGCCAATACCCTCGGTGGTGATGGGTTGGCGTCAACGCCGGGGATTGGACTTGGCCATGCAACGTCGATGTCCTCGTCGTGAATCGATATAGGGTTACCCGATTTGACTGAGATAATTCTGTCCATACTATACACAGACCACCAAACTCTGCGCCGATGTTCTCGTTCCACCGTACCCATGGTGGGATCATCTACCTCTTGATGGAGTCCGAGGGATATGGCCATCCTCAGAGCCAGTCCGATGTACAGGAAAGCGGCGTCTTTGCGATTCAAGTTCTGCATGTATGGGGCAATGAGACTCAACACCTCAACAAACAAGATCGAGCCTTCCTGGTGAATATCTGGCAGAAGCCATAGTGCATGCTTGAAATAAGTGAATCCCGGCGGTCCGTCATTACCTGACCACTGGTTGACGGAGTACATCTGGCCATAGGCAAAGATCAGCAGGATTTGACAATAGGCAAGACATTCTTCCCTGTTGCCCAGGTTCGGAGGACCTCCGTAGGCTTGTTGCAGTCGCTTTTCGAAAACTTCCGGCTGCAGGAAGGAGAAGATTGTCCCGATATAGATATATTGTGCGCCAAACAGTCTTTTTGCGAACTCATACGGGGGCAATTGTGGCATGAGGGGAGCTGAGGGCCTCTGTAAAGACGAGGGATCTTTGTACATTGGATGCACGTCCCATGCCAAATTCTTTTCCGCCGTTGGGTTCAACTTCTGGGCAAGATACGTTGACGATGCGGTTCCAACATAGTGATGCTCGCCCGAACGACTGAGGAGCAATGTATCCATCCCTTTGTACCACCAATCATCGTCCTCTTTGTACACAGGTTCTTCAGCACTCAGAGGAGAGGTGTCGTTGCTTTGCCTTGCTCTAAGAACTGCGGAAGTCAGCGATTGAATTTGCCAACTTCGATCACAAAGGTGCTCTGAGAGGAATGGGGTTCCCCTGCATCCACTTACTGTGGTCTGCAGCTCTTGCACGGGCTTGAAGATCAAGAAGAACGCTATCCTTGTTAGAACATAGACCCAACAACAAGAACAGAGTTGTGTTACCTCTCTAGTACCGGAACCCGCCTCTCTGTCTCCGTGTAAACACATTCGACACCAGCTTCTTCGCAAGCCGGGCACTGCAGAGGTGGAGATCCTTTGCACTTGGTCTTTCGGCCTCGACAGCGGTTACAAGCCAGTGCCGACCGTTTGGGGATATCATAGGATGGTCGTCTATCTCTGCTTCCTGAAGCACTTGCTGACTGCATCTTTGCATGGGCATATGGGATATTCTGTTACGTGGATCCGTGAAGATGTGGGGATTAACAGGAAGATATCACCAGAGATCTATATTAGCTGACAGCTTTGGAGTCCCTGTGTGTCCGAGTAAGGCAGAAATTCGTCATGTTGCTTTCAAAATGCAAGACCATGCAGGAGAGCCGGCGCAGGGTGCCGAGATCAGCCTCTCGAGGCGAGGAGCTGTGCAACGTAAAGCTGAGGCGCACTTCCTCAATCAGCTGAATCAAGATGCCGTATCCAGGCAATGAGAAAAGCACCTATAGGTATCTAGGCTCAGGGCTCCGCTAACAATCCGCCGATAGTTGCTGGTAGCGAAGAGTTGGGTTTGCCGGGATAGTCGACCACGGGTCCCTCGAGCCGGTAACGAGGCACAAGGAGGCGGGTAGTGCTACGAGAGCTGCTCGACGTCAGATACCTTCGTGTAGAGCCGACCCAGCGTTCCGAGAGGGCACCGTTCGTCGAGACCGCCTTCGTTTCTAGGTTGGTGCTTCTGGCACTCAGTCGAACACAAGACGATAAGACGCCTCGGAATTGGCGTCGCGCAGATCCTACGCTAAGGCAGATCGACACGTGACACCAACACCCCTGATACGGCAGGTCCACAGGGGCGCCAAAATCATTACTGCATACGGAGTACAGTCGGCGATGGAACGTTCTTATCAAGAGACCCCTGTCTATCTCGGGCCCCAGCAGCCGATGACGGACACGTTTAATGGAACAGCCGAATAGTAGCACACTCAGACCATACGGTCATACGGCTATCTACGACAGATATAATAAGGGCACTATGGCCGGGATACTTCTCACTACGCCACTAAGATCGAGTTCACGCATCGATAGTTGTTCTTCCCGTCAATCAGTCGACGACAATATAGCACATCATGGCAGAGGTTCAAAGTCAGCATGCAATGGATGAAAAAGCCGTCAACGCCCTCGACGCAGGCAATGCTGAGAAGGACGCCCTTCATGAAGTTGGCAGCATGGAACCAGAGATCGATCCGCACAAGGAGAAGATCCTGCTGGCGAAGTTGGACCTCTTCTTCGTCCCCGTCATTATGCTAGTATATCTGTCTTGCTTCCTCGATCGCTCGAATATCGTACGTTATCCTCGGCCGAAGGTGCACCCATCTGAATGCTAACTTCGGGCAGGGAAATGTCAAAGTTGCTGGAATGCCGGAAGACATTGGTGCATCAGACCAGCAATTTTCCACTGCTGTGTCCATCTTTTATGGTGAGTAATGGCCGTGAAGGAAGTCCACGTGCATCTGGAGCTGACAGCGACATAGCGACCTATGTGACATTTGAAACGCCTCTGGCAATCCTTCTCAAGAAGTTAACTCCTCGTCTCCTATTGACAAGCCTTTGCGTTATTTGGTCCTTGACAACCATATTCTCGGGCTTCATCCACAACGTTGGCGGGTTATATGCCAGTCGATTAGTGCTTGGTGCTTGCGAAGCCGGTCTCTTCCCTAGCCTTACCTTGTATCTTACAATGGTGTACCGAAGGGAGGAGCAAGCCAAGAGAGTTGCATATCTCTTCAGCTGCACCGCACTCTCTGGAGCCTTTGGAGGATTACTTGCCTATGGCTTGCTTAAGATGGATGGCGTAGCCAATTACGCTGGCTGGCGGTGAGTTCAATCTCGGTCGAGACCCTGTTCTGACTGACGCGTCATAGCTGGGTGTACATCATAGAAGGTATCTTCAGCATGGTGATCGCAGTCGTTGTCTGGTTTGGACTACCAACCAATCCAGCCGAGGCTTGGTTCCTGAGTGCTGAACAGAAAGAGATGATGAGAATCCGTAACCGACAGAGAGCTCAATACATGGGCAGTGAAAAGCTTGACTGGCAGGAGGTTCGCATTGCCTTTAGAGATCCCAAGCTGTATCTCAGCGGAGCCATTCAATTTTGCCAGGATATTCTCCTGTACGGGTTCAGCACGTTCTTACCCTCAATACTGAAGGCAGCTGGGTATGATACTTTGCAGAGTAACTACCTGACAGTCCCGGTATATTTGTTTGGTGCGGCCGCCTTCATTGTTGCGGCGATTATATCAGACAGGCTCTGTCTGCGGTCTCCCGTAAGTCGTTGATGCAACAGCTTCCAACAAATACTGATCAATTGCCAATAGTTTGTGCTTTTCGCAAATGTTTTTGGTATTGCCGGCTACATCGTCCTCCTTACAGTATCGACTGATGGCGTTCGATATTTCGCAACATTCCTGTGTGCTGTGGCTGTTTACAACGGTCCAGGATTGAATGTTACGTGGATCAACGTCAACGTGGCGCCGCATTATAGAAGAGCCACCACGATTGGATTTCAACAAACAATTGCCAACACGGCAGGAATTGTAAGTAATGCCATCCCCAAGGGGCAGTCGACCGACTATCGCAAGAAACTTTCGGCTGTTTACGATGTCCGGCGCTCCTCTGTGAAGTCGTGCTAACAGTTGACTGGAACAGGTCGCGGGTCAAATATACAGGAAGGCCCCATACAAGCTGGGCCACAGTTTCTCTCTGGGGGCATTGTGCGTGTCACAGGTCTTGATTGTCGTCAAGATGTTGTACATCAAGTGGTGGAACATCAGAAAGGAGAAAATCGCAAGGGGGGAAATTGAGGACACTCGCAAGTACAAGACAGGCGACAGAGAGCTTGACTTCAAGTATCACTTGTAGTCGGTATTGTAGACGAGGAAGATGGAGAGAGGATCGATGTCTGGGCCGGAAAGATGACACGCAAAAATGCGGCAAAGCGCCAATGTTGTGACGTAGATAAGTACGGCGGACCAGATGAATCATACACTCTTTTTCATGGTCGGAGGTTTACCAAGGTCATCGCATTTCTACCTGTCTTTAACTGGGACATTTCGATCTTGTGGCCGGTAGCATGCCAGCACATAGCCGATTTGTCCGGCAAAAGCCTTCTCCTTGGAAACATCCCGGCTGAACCGGTGTTGACGCCGACCTGGGTTCTTCCCCTGGGGAATCAGCTCACCTTGGGCTTTTCAGGCTAATATCGTCAGCCCAATAGACTTGGCTTCCACGGCCGTGTCGACAATGTCATGGACTGCTGCAACGATGGATAAGTTATCCGTATATTTGTGCTCAAAGCCAACGTGCTCTCGACGTTGTACCAGTCTCTCAGTCTATCTTCTTTTCAGCCAAGCGAAATGTCGTCTGGAATCTTGAAAGTTAAGGAGACACAGGTGGTCGACGGCAATGGCACGCCTGTCATACTACGGGGCGCTGCAATAGGAGGATGGCTCAAGTACGTACCATACGAGCAACCCGTATTCTCATGGCAAATGCTGACCTCTGGCTAGTATGGAGAACTTCATCACGGGCTACCCGGGCCACGAGTCCAGCATTCGTGCTGCCATGCTCAAGGTCATGGGACAGGAGAACTACGAATACTTCTTCGACCGATGGCTGTACTACTTCTTCACGGAGGCCGATGCCAAATTCTTCAAGTCGCTGGGTTTGAACTGCATCCGCATTCCGTTCAACTACCGGCACTTCGAAGACGACATGAATCCTCGCGTGCTCAAGGAGAGCGGTTTCAAGCACCTGGACCGCGTGATCGATCTCTGCGCCAAAGAAGGCATCTACACCATCCTCGACATGCACACCGTCCCCGGCGGCCAGAGTCCGGGCTGGCACGCCGACAACACCACCGCCTACGCCGCGTTCTGGGACTACAAAGACCACCAAGACCGGACGGTCTGGCTCTGGGAGCAGCTCGCGCGGCGATACAAAGACAACCCGTGGATCGCCGGGTACAACCCCATCAACGAACCCTGCGACCCGCAGCATGTCCGCCTCCCGGCCTTCTACGCCCGTCTAGAAAAGGCCATCCGCGCGATCGACCCAGACCACATCCTCTGGCTGGACGGCAACACCTTCGCCGCCGAGTGGAAAGGCTTCGACGCCGTCCTGCCGAATTCCGTCTACGCCCTGCACGACTACAGCATGATGGGTTTTCCCACGGGCCGCCCTTATAAGGGGACCGCCGAGCAAAAGGAGAGGCTCGAGGCGCAGTTCCTGCGGAAATCCGAGTTCCAACGCGCGAGGAAGACGGCGATATGGAACGGCGAGTTTGGCCCGGTGTACGCGAATCCGAAATGGGACGAGAACGCCGAGGCGATCAACCAGGACCGGTACGAGTTGCTCGGCGAGCAACTGCGCATCTACGACCGCTTCCAGATCCCTTGGTCGATATGGCTGTTCAAGGACGTCGGGCTGCAGGGCATGGTGTACACCTCGCCCGACTCGGCGTGGAACAGGCTCATCGAGCCGATTCTTGAGAAGAAGAAACGCCTCCAACTCGACGCGTGGGGCAAGTACCCTTCCAAAGAGGTCGAGGATGTCATGAACCCCCTGATCCAGTGGATCGATGAGGTCTCCCCAACCGCGAAGAACGTGTACCCGTCGACGTGGAACACGGCACGCCATGTTGAACGCGCCGTCCTGCAGACCTTCCTCGCCGAGACGTTCTGCGAGGAGTTCGCAGAGCTGTTCCGAGGAAAGGGTGAGGCCGAGCTGGAGGAATTGGCCAAGAGCTTCAGCTTCGAGAACTGTGTCCAACGCCAGGGGCTGAATAAGATCATGTCCGATTACGCTTCGATAGCCTCGAAGTCGTAGCGTGGTCTGAGATAGTGTGGTCGTTACATACTGTACATACATATCCCTAGGTAGGCACATGCCTAACTTAGACTAGTATCATTTGGGCTCTTCCTGCATACACAACTAACTAACTTGAAATTTCAAGTAACAATTCGCTAAACTCGAGGCAGGTGTGTCGTGATTTACCAGCCGTCCGGCTTTGTCTCTCGATACCTAATTGAGCCCTGCATATCCGGCTAAATTCGACATCGGAGATGTGAAAAAACTTTGAAAATGCACATAACGAGAAATCGCCTCCTCTATTGAGTGGAGTCTACCCAATTAACTACCGAGTTCTGGATCCCTCCCCACTCCACCGGGGTGAGTGCCACGGGGTTGACGCGGGGAGCGACCGCGGTTAATCTGCTAGACCAGCCGCAGACAGATCAGAAATGCCGTGCGCGTACTCGATAGTGTCATACAGAGGACATGTCTTTCGGATACGCATTGTCACTTGCGGCGGCGGTCTCGGGCGTTTGTCCGACTCGCTTTGCTCCATCCTGTTTTCTCGACCGCTGATCCTATTTCTCAAAGGGAAAATGGCCTCTGTGGAATTAGGCTATGAAGAATTCACCTGAACAGCGCTCTGACCTTGCCTAAAACGAAGCATTTCACTCTAGCCATACCATGCGATCCTTGCCTGGTGGGCGGTGGCCTCGGCAGATGTGGCGAATACCACGACGGTGGTGCTGCCAGTATGGATGCAAGTAGATATTTAAAGGGCGATACCCTGCCAGGACGCGGGGTGCAAGTTATTCGACTTACTACTCGTATCCTGCATCCTATATTTCGCGCCCTCGACCTCCATCGACAATGTCTCGAGCGATAGCAGGCCACGATGTGGCAGCAGCTGATGTCGCAAAGGTATCTGGGATCGAACATTTGCTAGCGCAGGATAAAACGCCATGGTACCAGAAGAAGAACCTCCGACGCCTCTATCTGTGCCTTGTGCCCGCTGCCCTCGGCGTCGAAATGACTTCGGGTTACGATGGAAGCGTTCTGAATGGTCTTCAGGCCGTGCAGCCTTGGGAAGACTGTAAGTTTACATGCTTTGCCATCTTTGGTCGACATCGTGCGCGGACAATGCTAACTCAAACATCCTCTAAGACTTCAATAGTCCCAACGGTGCTCTGCTGGGTGTCCTCACTGCGGCCTTTTCCATAGGTGCAGCGGCCGCGGTTCCCTTTGTACCATATGTGAACGATCGCTTTGGTCGCAAAGCTTGTGTGGTAACCGGTTCTGCAATCATCAGTGTTGGGGTGATCCTGCAGACTGCTGCTGTGAACTGTATGTCCTATGACAGTCGAGCTCAGAGCTCTTTGATACCTTCTTGCTGACATTCTCCCAAGTTGCCATGTTTCTTGTTGCAAGAATCATTCTCGGTATGGGTATCGTATTTGCCATCAGTGGGGCTTCCCAGCTCATCGCCGAGTTGGCATACCCCAAGGAACGCTCGGTGATCACAGGTCTCTTCAACGAAAGTTGGTATGCTGGTGCGATTGTCGCTGCAGGGGTCACTCTCGGGACATATTCATGGGACAGCAACTGGAGTTGGCGTTTGCCGTCACTGCTCCAGATTCTGCCCTCCACCTTGCAACTCATCTTCATATGGTAAGCTCCTTCATTGATGAAGTTCCAAATCCCTGCGCTAACACACATCCCCAGGTTCATACCAGAGTCGCCTCGTTTCTTGATAAGCAGAGACCGACATGAGGAGGCCCTGGAAATCTTGATCAAATACCACGCCGAAGGAGACCGAACGAGTTCATTTGTGGCGGCTGAATTCCAACAAATCCGCGAGACCATCCGCATGGAACTAGAGAGCACCAAGACGCCGTGGAAAGAGCTTGTCACCAACAGCGCCAACCGGCGACGTGTCTTCATCGCAGCATGTGTGGGCTTGTTCTCGCAGTGGTCGGGAAATGGTCTGGTGTCATATTACCTCTCCAAAGTACTTGCATCAGTCGGCATCACGTCCAGACGGACTCAAAATGAGATCAACCTAGGTCTTTCATGCTGGAATCTTGTCACGGGAGTGACTGGTGCCTTCCTTGCCCACAGACTACCTCGTCGGCGCCAGTATTTGACCTCCTATATTGGTATGACGGTGCTGTTCGCATGCTGGACCGGCGCTTCGGCGGTGTACGCAGAAGACCACACCAATCAGTCTGCGGCCAAAGCAGTTGTCGCTCTCATCTTCATCTACTATGGCTTTTACAACCTCATGATGCCACTTACCTACATCTTCATCACCGAGGTGTTTCCTTTCATCCACCGCAGCAAAGGCGTTGCCATTACCCAGTTCTTTTCACGCGGAGGCAGTGCCTTCAACCAATTCGTCAACCCGATTGGGTTGCAAAATATCCAGTGGCACTATTACATCGTCTACGTGGTGTGGCTTGCTATCGAGACAACAACCATCTTGTTCGTATATCCCGAGACGAAGGGTTTGAGTTTGGAAGAGGTCGCAGTGGTCATGGAAGGTGACAAAGCGAAGGTGGAAGTAATTGGGCTTGGGACTTTGGGAGAGAAAGGTGGTGCAGGTGTTGTGGATCAAGTTGAGAAGGCGTGAGCAACGACAAGTAAGTAGCTCAGTTTGTCCAGGTGGCAAGTCTCCTCAGTAGGTACATGAAGTGCCTGATGCTTACATCACTTACTCTATACACTTGATATATGATACAATCCACGCAGTCGACCTGCCAGTCTTGTATTGCTTTGCGCCAATTTCGAACGATCAGGTTTCTGCGGTCTGGATCCAGCTCATCCTCATATCTTCTGGAGACAAGCTGATTAATGGAATGAAGCGGGAATAAATGTGACCTGATGCAGCCATAGTGAATATCGTATATCGCTCTGATCAACCCTGGTCAACGACCTAGGCTTCTATCAGAACCACCAAACCCCTCTCCAGGGCCAGTGCCAAATGCATCTCGTGCCCCATATGGCATGGGATTGCTGCTCTGACTTAAACCCGGGCCCACATACTCATTCGAAAGCATTAATCGATCGGGATCATTGCAAAAAGCTTCAAAGGTAGACGCGTCAGAAAATCCAAAGTCCTTGAAATTCTGCGTCCTGTCCATGGACCATTCGTTAGCGTCAAGTTGAGCCATCTCATGAAACAAAGCATCAATTTCGTCCCCATCGTAACTAGGAGATGTCGTGGCTCCCATGTTGGGGGGTTGTTGTGGAGCAGAGTTTCGTCCAACATTGGTCGATTGTAGCGACCCAGTCATATCGACGTTCATCAAACCGTAATCTAGTACTTCAGACCCAAGTCGTGGGGCGAGGTTTGCTGTGTGAGGGAGAGTAGGAGTTTCGTGGTATCCTTGTATGCTGGTTGGTCCTAGATTGCTTCTGACCGTAGAAGCATCGCTCATATCGACCTGAGATCCTGGTATATTGTTGGACCAGAAATCAATTCTTGAAAAAGGAGAGTTAACCGAGGCATTGGGCTGCGATCTCAATGACTGAGATGAAGCAGTGACTGTCCGTGTGAGGCGACTAGAACCCATTTCAGTCGGCCTTTCGCCCGTGTTAAACCCCGGCCAGACGTTCGAAAGCCGAGCCAGAACTTGCTGGTGGTCTTCAGACAGCGAGGTGGTTTCAGGTGGACTAGAGATGCTGGAAGGGAGGTATGGCAAGTGCGACATAGCTATCAGAATCGACGGAATTCCGCATTGAATGGAATTCCAGGCTTGGTCGAAGGCCTTCAGAGTTTGTAAGAACAGAAGTGTGCGTTCGAAACGCGTAGCCGGATCTGAGAACCTGGCAGCTACCGCAAGGTAGCATGTTTGCAAAAGCATCTGGTGAGGCGGCCGTTGTTCAATCGCGAACACGGAAAATGGGAACGTCTCTGCAAGGTCTTCCAATGTGCGATTACCGTTAAATACCGTAGGTTGATAATACCTTGGATTGATGAGACCTGTTGTGATCATAAGCAGGCGAGTCAATTGATTGAAACAGCTTCTTGCAAATGCAGGTTCTGGAGATGAAAATGTTTCAGGTCCCACTGCATTCCATGGCTCCCATTCTTCAATTCCGTCCTCATCAAGAAACTTCATGCCTCCTAGATCTTGGAGTCGCAACTGCGGTGGTCGCATGAGTTGCATGGAAATGATGCTATCCAGGACAAAACAGCCTTGTAATGTGCCTGGCCAATTATTTTGTTGACCAGGCGTGGCGGTATCGCTAACGAGATTTCCGCTCGCACTGGTGATATCGAGGTAAGCCCTTACTGCGAAACCTGACAACATCCAGGCAGAAGTCCATTTGCCCAATCCAACATCCAGCAGGGCTATGATCAGGAGAGCCTGCACATGTTCAATAGTAAATGGACCCTCTTCAGAAGGGATCAGGCTTCGTGCCGCAGACCGCATCTCATCAACAGACGGGCCGTTGTCGTTACTTGAGGATAGCTGTGCTCTTTGTTGCTTCGAATAGGCGCAAATAGCCCATAAACATGCGAGTTCGCAGTTCTCCAAAGGTCTACTATTGTAGTTCCTTGTATGCTCATGGAATCTTTTGAGAGTAAGAGACCTATCCAAGACAGGGAACCAACAATGGGTGTAGGTAAAGTAGTGGTGCAACAAGGTGGAAGAAGACTTTGGCAGTTGCAGGGCAGCAGCTGGTAAACTCGCTGATACAATTTGTTCGGAGCTGTTAACGTTTGGGTCATGAGACAACCTTTGAGCTTGAGGAACGGTGTTTCGAAAGTGCTCTGAAATATCCTTGACACAAAAGGCCGGTTTCAATACTCGACTGTCCGGGTCGTATGTCTCGGTACCGGAGCCGTCGTCTTCCTCGTTTCTTTTTCTTTTCAGAACAGGCGATGGCTGATCAACCTGGGAGAGTAGTCTTTCCAGATTCGACAAGATACTGGACTCTTTCCAAACATTATGAAGATTGTCACCGTGCTTCGGATGGTTCCATATTCGAAGAAGTTCGTCCTCATTCTCGAGCATTACTTGTCGCGCGGTCTCATCCAAGCCTGAGATCTTCTGCAGCATGACTGCCCATAGTTTCTCGATTCCACGCACATAGCCTTCGGGCAACCCTCTCTTTTTATGTCCAGCAACGTAGAGGCATAGCTGTCCGGCATTGGCACAGTTTGAGCAGCGAGGTCGCAGCCCATCGCAACGATCTTTCTGTGTGTGAGTCAGCTTCGACAAGATTGTTCAGATGCCTTGGTTTAACTACTCACTCTTGCGCGACAACGAGTGCAGGCTCGAGAGACTCTTGTCCGCCCGCCAGCAGCCTCATCAGGATCGTTAGGGCGAGTCGTTCTGCTTCGGGGATCAACGTCGTTCGCATCCATCACAGCATGGCCGCTGCATGCCAGCCATGGTCAGAAACTCTGGCCAACGGAGTGAGTTTCGAAGAGGCTGTAGAGGCCGACCAAGGGTTTTGCGAGGTTGGGGGACATGGATGGCGCGGAGACGAATATTAATAAGTGGGAGGCATCGGAAGCTGCACTCCAGCACCCGCGGGGAAGGTCTACGCCTAGTGAGCCTAGTGAGCCTAGTAAGCCTGCGCCCATCTTAGGGCGGAGACTACCCGTGAGACGTAAATATGCTGGGATTGTGCGGTAGATGATGGCGCCTATAAGATTGCAATCCGGGGCTAGTTTCAAGCCTACCAGGTAGGTAGTGGGCCCCCACAAAACTTGGCCCGTTTCTTCCCATGTTGTTCCTCTCTCCTCTCAATGAACATATCGAATGCGATACCTTGAACACCTACTGTTACGCCAAACAGACCTTTCTTTTGAGCATGCTAGGCGATGTTCTGACCGCGCCAACACATTCGGCCCTTTGTTGATGCCAATGGCGCTGACCATCAAATCCTAAAAATTGCTATGGAAGGTGAGAGCAGCATCAGTCAACATGCAGAGCATGCTGCAGAACGCCAGTTTGCGGACCATGGCCCATCGGGGACAGCCACACCACATTTGATGAATACAATGTCTCCGAAAGAGCCGCCATTGATTTTGCCAGTTGAGCATGGGTCTCATTCGACACCAAGTCGTCCTATGATGACACCGACAACTGAGCCCGCACTGGAGGAACGACTATTCCACCCTGACGCTTCCATCGTCCTTATTGGAATTCGAGCTTCGGGCAAGAGATCTTTGGGGTTTATTGCGGCGACCGCTCTGGGCAGAAGGTTTGTGACTGAAGACCACTATTTCCAGAGCTTCAACGGTCTTTCTCGTCAAGAGTATCTCCGAATTCATGGAAGCGAGCAATTTCACAGACAGGACATTGCAACGTCAAAGCGAATGCTAGAGGAGAACCGATATGGATGTGTCATTGACTGTGGCCTGGGGAGTCTGACAAGTAGCCTTCAAGACTACCTAAGACTGCTCTGCCAGACAAATCCTGTTGTTTTCATTCTCAGAGACATGGACCGAATACAGGCATTGCTTAATCTGGATGATCGGTCCGCCAAACTGCTCGAGAATGGAAATTCCACACACAGGAAGTGCTCAAACTATGAATATTTCAACCTCGAGGACGATTCAATGGCCAGATCTACCGAACTGGACGATGCAGATCGGGCTTCACCTAACTATTCCTTCAAGCTTCGCCATGCACAGGCAGACTTTTCCTCGTTCGTACGCTTGATAACAGGAACGAGAGCGCAGCAGTCCAGCAACGATTCGCCCTTCTCCCTAGCTGTGCCTATTGAACAACGCACATACACTCACGCACTCGAGGTCAAACTCTCGACTTACATGGATGGGCAGATCGACTTTGCTGCCCTGGAATCTGCAGGCGATATTACAGAAATTTACGTTGACGTTTGGAATTCTACTGCGATGAGGTCCCTGAGCAAGCTAGTCGGGATGGCAAGAAGAGCACTTGATCTACCGATTTTGCTCTCTGTCACTACCACGCTTGCCGATGCAAGCAGCAACACCTACCTGGACATTCTCAGACATGGCTTTCGCTTGGGAGTCGAATACCTATCCGTCAATTTGGAACTTGATGACCATACCCTGGCGCACATCAAAGCAATGAAAGGCTATACAAAGCTTGTCGCTACCTATACCCCTAAAACTCCAACGAAGCAGGGATGGAAAGACCGCATCTGGAGGACAATGCTTGACAGAGCCGCCGCCGAAGGCTTCACTATGATCCGGTTCCTCAATGTGCCAAAATCACGATTAGATAACGACTCGCTCATATGGTTCTTGGAAGAAACGAGAAATATCCAACCCAAACCAATCATCTCGGCGTTCAATATTGGAGGACTGGGACGCACATCACAGATATTGAATCCAACGCTGACCTCTGTGACACATCCGTCCCTGCCACGTCCACAATTGCCCCAGTTCCAGCCTCTGCTATCCTCCAAGGAAATAACCGGTGCTCTATTCGACATTCATGTCTTTGACAGCCTCAAATTTTACGTCCTAGGTGCGAACGTATCCGGTTCACTATCGCCGGCGATGCATAATGCCGCATACGCATTTCACGGTCTCCGTCACAGCTGCATGACGAAGAACATAACATCATGGCAAGATGCGGAAGAGCTAGCCAAGGATGACAGCTTGTGCGGATTAAGTATCGTCCAGCCCTACAAGGTCAAAATATTCTCTCATTTGTCCTTGTGCAGCGGCCACGCAAGAGCCATCGGTGCTGTCAATACTATAGTGCCACTGCGAGCGGACACCTCGGGCAATGTCCCCGCCGTGGAGATTCAGGCACAGGAGAGGAATCGTGCCGGGGTCATCAAAGGTTGGTATGGAGAAAACACAGACTTTAGGGGCATAATGACATGCGTTAATCGAAGTCTCTCACCTCGCAATGCTATACAACCCAAATCCACAGCTCTTGTGGTCGGTGCAGGAGGAATGGCTCGAGCCGCTGTCTATGCTATGCTACAACTGGGATGCAAGAACATATTTATGTACAATAGAACGCTTTCGAATACGAGAGTCGTTGCTAATCATTTCAACGATTGGGCCAGGTCTCAAGTGAAAGCAAATGGGTCTGGGCTCACGCCATCAAATCCTGTCAAGGTGCTTGACTCAACAAGTGAGGAATGGCCCAGCGGGTTTTTCCCTCCCACCATCGTGGTGTCATGCGTTACGCATGAGCTGCTAGATGGGAGACCCGGAGCGGATTTTGAGTTACCAGAGTCATGGATGCAGTCACCCAGCGGAGGAGTTATCCTTGAAATGGCCTACATGACCAAAGAAACCCCTCTCGTCAAACAGATGAAGTCCTTCCGCGAGTTAACTGGCCGGCCGTGGGTCATTGTTGGCGGTATCGACGCTTTAATTGAGCAAGCGTTGGTCCAATTCGAAACCTTGACTGGCAGAAAGGCACCAAAACGTTATATGGCAAAGGCAGCGTGGGACACAATTCACCAGAATACCTCGTACCTTGTCGATGGCCAACAGTATTTCAGTGATCGGCTTGCAAGCTGAAGCAAAATTCTTTTATTTGCGGTGGGGTGGTATTTCCCCAGTAAACCATAAACCACATGCTCTCGGAGGATGACTCGAAATCCTTCAGATCAGTGTTGTGCCTTCATGCTATCCTGGATTTTCCGCCTTACGACATTTCTCAGCGTGTCATCGATTTCGAGGCCTGTCCACAAACCGGCTTGCGCAACGCCTTGTCCAATCATTGCTTCAATGCCTCCAATCAACTGCCAACCTGACTCCAATGCAAGTCGGGAGACGCCAGTGTCTGGAGACGGGTGATAGCACATTTCCAGCAAAGCACCCTTCTCCGTGCCATTGAGGAAGATCTCCAAGATCTCTCGGACCGTCTTTTCACTCTCAGTAACAGGCGGAAAGTCAGGAATCGCGCTCACAACGGCTGCTGGGGCCGGCACACTACGCGCTTGCTCGGTTGTTGATACGTAGATCAAATCATCTGCTGTTCCATTTCTGCGGCATTCTTGAAGCACAGAGTCGACCTCGCTGGCGTCTCGATTAATAATGTAAATCGGCGAACAGCCCAGAAATCGCTGCAAGGCATAAATGGCAGCTCTGCAGGTACCACCGCCACCAACAACCAAACCAGGTTTTCCGCGGTAATGCGGGTTGTCCACATTCGTGAAGAAGGCGTCTCGGATTCCCAGGCAGTCAGTATTAGTGCCGCAATAGATTCGAGAACCATCAGCAGCGGTTTTGAAGAAAATGGTGTTTATGGCACCAATGGTTTTGCCCTCCTCAGTCAACTCATCGAGGTACGGAATGACGGCGACTTTGAACGGCATCGTTACGCCACTGCCCATGCATTTTGCATCGTTTTTGAGGTACTTGATAAACCCGTCGAGGTCAGTTGACTCGTACAGGAGCTGAGCCCAGTTCTTCCCCGATGTCGAATATATGGCCCTGTGCAAATCCGGTGAGCGGGAATGAGCAATTGGATATCCGACCAAATACGCAACCCGGTCATAGGGCGAGGTGTCTGGCAGTGGAAGCAACTTGGCCATCACGACAGTCTTGGATATAATTGTGGCTTCGTTCAATGCTGAAAGGGGCGGACGGTGGTTGAGACGACAGGGCTGGACCAAAGAAGCCCCCGAAGATCGAACTACAGCTTCAATATGCAGTCTCAATTAGCGGCGAAGATGCATTCGACGGTGTTGATCCGGTTTCACCACGCCAATATCTGTCCTCGTGGCCTCGTGACGACAATTAGGGTGCTCTTAGCCGACGGAGACCATCCGATGCAGGTCTTGCTGACGCCTCGCTCGCCCTCCACCCTCCCCGCTAGGACGAGCACGGGGATACGAATTACCCCCTTTGTGTGGATAAGTTTTCTTCCGCCCTCAAATGCCGCCGCAGGGTAAAAATTTTCTGCGCGCTGACTCGCCGCGTCGTCGAGATTTTTCGCACAAACGTCAAGGATCCATTATTGCAGCTTTCCGAGTGTGCGCCTCGACGCAGTGCAATTAGTGATCCTTGTCATCTCGTCGAAGCTGGTGTTGTGGAGGAGGTGAGCCGGGGAAAGCATCGCTTGAGTTCTGCTCCGTCTCCTCGTGTCGAACTCCGCGATTCCAGATCTGGTGTATGACTCCGCGCAAAGTCCTTTACCGTGCTCCAGACTCCTCCCTATATTAAGGTCTTTCCCCGTGGGCTCGCTCACCTTGGAGCTTCTTGTCTTCCTCAGATCCCAACATCCTTCCCTTCCATTTTCTCACAGCCTAAAGCGAGTCACCATGGGTCTCCTTACTTTGGTCGAGGACCGCCCGACGCCGAAGAGCGTCTACAACTGGCGGGTTTATTTCTCTGCTGCCGTCGCCGGGTCTGCTGCCATGATGATCGGCTACGACAGCGCCTTCATTGGAGGCACTCTCGCATTGTCGTCTTTCAGAGAGGAGTTTGGCTTTGATACGATGTCCAAATCCCATGTCAACCTTGTCAGCGCCAACGTTGTGTCCTGCTACCAGGCGGGTGCCTTCTTCGGAGCATTCTTCGCCTATCCCGCCGGCCATTTCCTAGGTCGCAAGATTGGTCTCCTCATTTCCGCTACTGTCTTTATTCTCGGTGCTGGGCTCATGCTGGGCGCCAACCACGAGCGCGGTCTTGGGTTGATCTACGGTGGTCGAGTCCTTGCTGGCCTTGGAATCGGCGCTGCATCCAATCTGTCTCCTATTTACTGCTCGGAGATTGCTCCTCCCGCCATTCGAGGGCGTCTGGTCGGGCTGTACGAACTTTCGTAAGTCTCAAACCCGCTTCAACCGAGTATTTTTCGACCGTGCGACTAACATTTTCATGATTAGATGGCAGATTGGCGGTCTCGTCGGGTTCTGGATCAACTACGGTGTCAACGAGAATCTTGCTCCGTCCAAGACGCAATGGCTTATCCCCTTTGGCGTTCAACTCATTCCTGCTGGATTACTGCTCGCAGGTGCGGTTATCATCAAAGAGTCGCCGCGTTGGCTCTTCACGCGCAACCGCCGCGAAGAAGCAATCAAAACACTGTGCTGGCTGCGTCAGCTCCCTGCCGACCATGTCTACATGCAAGAGGAAATCATGGCTGTCGACAACGCGATTGAACACCAACGCACCACTGTCGGTCTCGGCTTTTGGCACCCGTTCCGAGCTGTCTACAGCAACCGCCAGACTACCTATCGCTTTCTCCTGGGTGGTTCGCTCTTCCTGTGGCAGAACGCCACCGGAATCAACGCCATCAACTACTACTCACCCACGGTGTTCAAATCCATCGGTGTCCACGGCACGAACACGTCTCTTCTGACGACCGGAATCTTCGGTGTCATCAAGACCACGCTCACCTTGGTCTGGCTCTTTTTCTTGATCGACAAGCTGGGTCGCCGCACGTTGCTGATCTGGGGTGCTTTCCTGGGAGGATTGTGCATGTGGTACATCGGCGGGTACATCGCCATTGCGGACCCTTCGTCCAAATCCAGCACGGATTCTTCCATGTCAGGCGGAGGCATCTCGGCCATGTTCTTCTTCTATCTCTGGACAGCCATCTACTCACCGTCTTGGAACGGCACACCTTGGGTTCTCAACTCTGAGATGTTCGATCAGGGTGTGCGCACCCTCGCACAGGCCTTTGCTGCTGCGAACAACTGGTTCTGGGTAAGTTTTTTCCCTCCTCGTTCTCATCACCCACTTCCCCGGCAAAAAATTGTCGCAAAAAGGTCCTCAATGCTAACGTTTCGTGTCTTCAATGACAGAACTTCATCATCGCTCGCTTCACCCCACAAATGTTCGCCACAATGTCTTATGGCGTGTACTTCTTCTTCGCATCCCTCATGCTCATTGCCGCCGTCTATGTCTTTTTCCTTATCCCCGAGACCAAGGGTGTCCCTCTTGAGGCCATGGACCGCCTCTTCAGCCGAGAGTACCCGGCCAGAAAGGCACACAAGGCGGTGCTGGAGGAACTGCGCATCAAGAACCAAGAATTCCGAAGGTTGAGCATCCACGAAGAAAAGACGATTGTTGAGCAGCACGAGGAGAGAGTCTAGGCCTCCTGCGAGCCGATGGGAGTTCTGGTTGGCATACCGCAGTAGAATATTTACGGAACATGTTGGTTGGGGCGAGAGATGGTTTTATAGGTTATTACTGCTGGGCCTTTCATCCAGTCCACGATTTAAACCACATCATGCTATCTACCTAGGTGTCAGGTAAACAATTCAGAAGAATTTAAAGATGGCACTCAAGAAGAATGAGTTCAAGATTTGTTATTCCTTACCTCACAAATCAGCCACTGTTTTTTCTCCTTGTTCTGACGATGGAACAGCCTCTTTTTGTTTTCGATACTACAGCCCCTATTCCTGGTGGTTGAGAACCATGGTTCGTTTTCGTGGGTGCCACGACCCATCTCACTGTACGTTACATGTGTAGGTACCTAAGTAACATCAGAAGGTAACTTCTTAAAACTCTCCATGGTTTTGCTCATACAACTGCCATCATACACACATAAATCATGTAATTCTCATGTCAGTAGTTAGTTAAAGTTCTCCTTTTCGACGAATCTTTAGAGCTTTTCTCCCTTTGCGTGGCCGGCTCTTCTTCACAGTCAAATTGATTCCACTTGACTCTGCTTCGGCACGATCCAACTTTCAATCTCCCGACCGTGATGCCAGTCAACAACCAACCCCCTTCAGCCATCTCTCCCACTCCCGAACTCTCCCAATTTGACATGATCGCCGCCACTTGAAGCCCCGTTTGCCCTTCTGCCCTTGCCCACCGCTGTACCAATGGCTTACCTGGGGACCGAGCACTCCCTCACTGCTCACCGCTCGCCGGTCACGCAGCAGCAGCAGCGGCGGCGGCGGCGGCGGCGGCGGCGGCATCCTCCGCGTCCCACTTTTGCGCCCAAAACTCCAGAGCGGCAATGTACCCGTACGCGCCCAGTCCCATGATGATGCCGACGGCCTTGTCGCTGAAATAGCTGTGGCTGCGCCACGGCTCGCGGGCGTGCACGTTGGAAATGTGCAGCTCGACGAACGGGAAGGACGTGGCCAGCAGCGCGTCTCGGATCGCGACGCTCGTGTGCGTGAACGCCGCGGGGTTGATGATGACGGCGGTGCGTTCTTTTTGTTCTTGTCCCGCCTGTGTCGTGGAACCGTCACCACTTCCGGCGGCGGGTGCGACGGTGGGGATGAAATGAGAATGCAAAAAGTCGATGATGGCCCCTTCGTGGTTCGACTGGAAGGGGACGACGGTGACCCCCAGAGCCTGCGCGCGCGACGTCACGTTGTCCAACACCTGCGCGAGGGTCGTGGACCCGTAGATCCCCGGTTCGCGCGTCCCGAGGAGGTTGAGGTTCGAACCGTTGATGAGGAGGATTTTGCGTGGTGGTCGTGGTGGGCCACCGTCTTGCGAGAGAGAGGAGGCCATTGTGATTTGGTTGTCAATCCCAACACTTGGCGGGTGAGATGGGTGCCGGTTATGAATGCCTCTTGGACGGCCTGCCTCAAAAGGTACCTGTGTACGTAGTACGTGGACGAGGTTATGTAGAGAGGTATGTATGGTCCTAACGAATACCTTACGTTCGGGTGATGGATGGAGTTTTTGTTGTAAGAGGTCGAAACAAAGACTTCCGAGTGAGAATAATTAACTTAGAACGAGAGAAATGTCCACCTGGTGGTCATCGGAGCTCACAGTCTTATGCCTACGGATATAGCGTGAAAGGTTCCAATCATGTGTTTCCCATTACTTTACTGTGAACATGGCAGACGAAAAGGAATCCAAATCCCCGCGTCCATCCATAAATTCCACGGAGCCCAAGAAGTGGAGAGAGAGAGAGAGAGAGCGCGCGCGGGATTGGGACGGATCATCGGCCGGCAGAAAACTCGCCCGATAAATCAAATCAATCCATGGAGCGGCTCCAACTTTTTGCCCAAACCCTGATGCATCCATCATCCACCGCCGACCGGGACCGACAGTAAGCGATAGCCGCAATTCACAACAAGCCACGGTCGGGAAAAACGGCTTACGGGCAACGACCGACACAGCTTCCAGCGGTTCATCCCCCCCAGTAGACAATACCCTACGTACGGGCTTAACTCGCATGTGACTTTGAGAGAGAGACGCCATACACACACATACTCGCCAAGATGGCCGGATCAGATCAGTACGATGTTTCAGACACAGAATTGACCGAGATCTACGCATTCGCCATTCAGCTCGGCAAGGATGCCGGGGCCATCTTACTCGATAGTCTTCACCAGCGACGACATGATGGTGCGGAAGACGCCGGGACACAAGGCTCCAAGGTTCCAGAGGAGCTGGTCATGGAGGAAAAGCTAAACTCCGTGGACATTGTCACCAAAACCGACAACGGTACGTACCAGCTTGCGAAGAATGACCTGATCAAAAAGGAAAGACAGAGAGTCAGAGAGACTGACTGGCTGACTGACTGACTGACTGGGTACGCGTGCGTCTGCAGAAGTCGAAGAATTCATTCATTCAAGCATCCACAAACGATATCCTTCGCACTCTTTCATCGGCGAGGAAACGTACTCCAAGGGCTCGTCGAAAGAGTATCTTGTCAAGAACGACCCGACGTGGATCGTCGACCCTCTCGACGGGACGGTCAACTTCACACACTGTTTCCCCATGTTTTGCGTGAGCATCGCTTTGGTGGTCAACCAGAAACCCGTCATTGGGGTCATCTGCGCGCCGCTGCTAAACCAAACATTCTCGGCATGTCGAGGAAAAGGGGCGTGGTTGAACGAAACGACTAAGCTGCCGCTGCTAGGGTCACGGGGAGTAGGGCCAATTCCGAAGAACGCGCCGTCCAAGTGTATATTCTCGTGCGAGTGGGGAAAGGACAGAAGAGACAGGCCGGATGGCAACCTGCACCGGAAGGTTGATAGTTTCATTAACATGGCGGCAGAGATCGGGGGTCGGGACGGCAAAGGAGGCATGGTGCACGGCGTGAGGAGCCTCGGAAGTGCCACTTTGGATCTAGCGTATACTGCCATGGGCGCCTTTGATATCTGGTGGGAGGGCGGCTGCTGGGAGTGGGACGTCGCCGCTGGTATCTGTCTGTTGGAGGAAGCGGGCGGATTGATCACGACTGCTAACCCACCAGAGAATGTCGATACGGCAAAGATTGAAGAGGCGGGATTAGGTGGACGTTTGTATCTTGCCATCCGACCTGCTGCAGACACTGCGGGAGAGACAGGGCGAGAAGGTCAGGAAAGATTGGTCAGAGAAGTCTGGCGACGTGTACGGCATTTGGACTACTCAAGACCAGGAGCGTGAAGGGAAAGACGGTTTCTGTCGAAAGGAAAGACGTATATACACATATATTGAATTTTGTGAAAGGTAAACCCATGTCTGATCGCGCCGATGACGCTATGCAATAAGGGACATCATGATTGCCCCCTCTTTTCAATTCTAGAATGTAAGTAGATGCAACCTCAACCAAAGACTCCCAACGTTTTATCATCTCTTTGATTCCGTAGGAGAAGACGATAGCGATGTAGCAGGAGTAGAGCTGGATCTGTTCAGTACCCGTTAGCTTACACCCGTCAAGGCGGTCAGATCATATACTTACACACTAGCATTGCATGAGACGTCTGCCGAATCGTTCCAATGCATATGTTCTTCCAGCTTAGCCCAGGCGATCGCTGCACGTCTGGCATGCTCTTCCGGTACATCCTTGCCAGCCTGATTTGCAGATTCCGAAAACAGCTCGAACGATATTGGACCTCTATAGCCAGCATCACAGATTGCTTCGAGGATTTCGAGAACCGGCATGTAGCCCCGCTCTTCAAATGGGAAAAGCCTAGCATTCCGGGACCACGACATGCGGGCTTTTTGTTCAGGATGGTACCACTTGTGGCCCGGCACTAATGGCTGATCCAGTCGCTCGCCATCGCAGACCTCGACGTAAAAGACCTTCTCAATGGCGCGCGGCAGTTCTGATCGGAGCTTGGCGATTGTTTCCCGCGTGTCTTCGTATGAGTTTGGTGTCATGCCTGTGGGTGATGCCGGGTCCGCGAAAACGCGACCGGCAAGGTTGAAAGTATCAAGACACGTGCCGAAGTTTGGCCTGTCAACCTCCATCACTATCGACCATGCGACATCCCATAAATCGACATGCGTACCCCAGCATAGAGCCTCGTAGACGAACCGTACTGGGGGATTACTTCTCAGTCCAACGTCAGCTGCTTCTCTCAGATCCGCCACGATCCTGTCTCGGGAACCGGAACATTGCGATTCGGGGAGAAAACTCGAAGGTATTTGGATAAGGTCCGTGTCGAGGATGTGAGCAAGTCTGATCCAGAAATGTAATTTTTCAATCGCAGCCTTGTGTGAGGCAGGGTCGACGAGACCGTCATAATGCATGAAAGGCTGAAGACACAGTATTTCCAGTTGATACTGAACACATAGTTCGTGTATGTACTGGGAGGCGGCGATCTGCTTTTCTTGTTCTTCGGTTGAACCTGGGAAGGATGTGCCAGAAGGCAAGTGTGGATGGGAGGATGGGAGGTTGTTGGCGACGCCTTCAAGATCTTCGAAGAAAAGTTCTAACGTTCCGAGGCCATACTGATGGCACAGTCTGAGCTTATGTTCGAGGCTGTGGTGCCAGGTCCTACCCAACGATTGAGTGGCAATGGCAGGAACAAATCTGGCCTTCATTGTCGGCGGCGACAAAGGGAAATGCGGCAATGTGAGATAGTCTAGGTCGTTCGTATAGTCATCAACAATGTTGACCGAGCTGTTCTTGCAATGAGAAGATATCAAAGGCTAAATCGTCTGTATTGGAAACTCCGAGATTTTGCACGGCATCTCACTTGACCCAAAGTAACTCGACTCTGACCTACCGGGATTCCATCATCCTATAGCGGATTCGACTCAGCAGCAAGTTGCTCTGGCCTCCGTTGCACAACTTTGCAGAGGCGGATTACAACAAATGCCGACACCCTTCGAACGCAGTGGCCTATGAGCTTAGAAGGTCGACGCGAGTCCTGGTGTCCGCTGTGGAAAAAAAGTGAGCCGGCCGATGTTGATCAGAGCGGAAAAGTCTTTTGCCGCCAGTCTCCGGCCAAAGCTCTTTTTGGGCCGCTATAGCTGAGCTAGTGAATCCGGGGATTTCACAATGGGTGTCTGGAGAAGATTCCTGGCCAATGGGATAGAGAGATATTGTAATCGTGGCGTTCGAGCACATTTCCTTTTCAAGGAGCGATATTCAAGTCGGCCCTTGAAATGAGGCTGTTCGTAAGCGCCGGAACACGAGGTCTAATGTTTGAGGAGAGACTAGTCAAGGTCACCAAAATGATTGTCGCGTTCCCAAAGACGAAAACGATGATGTTGAAGAGTAGTCAGCATGCCGAGTTTCATACGTGCCATCAGTGAGATGCCACGAAGCACCGTGTCCCTATCAGAGTCCCTCTACCCGTTATGGTTGGAGCGTCCGCGCTAAAACCCTCCAACTGAGGAGTATGTACCTACATCATCCAGAGGCACCCGAGCTCAGCACTCATGGTAAGACCAACGGCTCGAAGGGTCGACGAACCCCGATATTGGCGCACTTCCGGGGAAGTGACAGAAAAGAGTACGGAGTCTCCAGTATGGAGACAAACATGATTTGTTTCTTCAACTCAGACGTCAATACTCATTTTGTCTATGAGGTTCTGAATCGCCCTTTTACGTCGATCTATTCTTCCGTCGATATTCTCATTGCGAACTGCGAGCGAGCGAGTCACTAAGGGCCACCTGCACTACCTAGAATTCAAGCCCCTTCATGGGCCAGTCATTAGGTTGGGCCTTTCAAAACGAGAGACAAGCACTGTCCCGCACTCTGCACGTGATAGATACACGTGACTTTGTCACGTGACCTTCGGCTCCCGTCCAATAATCGAATTACCTTAGTTCTACTCAAGCCTCGGACACGGTCTCTCCTTTGAGCAAGCTATTTTCGTCAACATGATCGTTCAAGGTTGAGATCCTGATAGATGCATCGTCGAATATGCATGTACTTCGATCTCCAGCTTCGATCCTTCCAGTCACCGTGGGGCTCCTCCACAAGACCAAGACTCTTGACACTGCAGGTCAAATGCGATTATTGTGTGTGGGAGCACGATCTCTGCAGAAGGGGATCTGATCTGTACGGCAGCATAAGTCACCGATCAACGGACTTCACAGCAATATTCTTGAGTCCTCAGAAGCGAATGCGATGTAGACCAAACATTATCCTTATCTTAAACCTCGTGCTTGTACCGTCCTCCGTCATCACTGATCCTCAAAGCTTCTTAAATTCCGAAAGGCGTATTCGCAAGAAAATACCTGAACTGGACTATGCCCTAAGGCTGTGCATTTGGTACCCACTGCTCCCCTAATCGCCTCCAATTGAGCTTGACAGAGGCTTGTTTGATTATGCTGATCCCCACAATGTGTTGAGGAATCATGCATGGATTGCAGTGCCCTAACACTCAAATCCAGATTGTGATAGGCGACAGACCCCTACAGGCTACGGCCTCCGCGCTGTCGTTTCTCTGGCTGCATAGCCTAGCTCGCAGCTCGCAGATCGTTGGCTCGGGCGAGAAATTGGCGTACCCCTCGTTCGAAATGTACATGTTCAACTTCGTGGCTTGGGTGGCCTGAAATTGAAACTTGAGCTGTTCTGCCACGAACCTGCCCAAGAACCTCTGTGAATGAGTGCCTGATTGACTTCCTGACAGGATCTTCTGGAATCACCCTTCATGCGGCGCGCTCCGGATCAATAACAATGTCCGAGAGGACGCACATCAAACGATTAATTGTGTGTGTAGATAGCGAGGACACAAGTGAGGATGGGACACAAGGTGCGACTTGACTATCCAGCAACCTGACGACACCCATTGACGATGAGAAGGTAGCTCGAATCCGAGCAACGTCTTCAGGCTCAGAAGTATCATACCGAATGCTTTATGCTACGACGCACACGGCCGTGCAGTCGAACAGATTGTCCGATATTATCGTGCGGTAGAGGATGGTCCGAAATTCTTGGACCGACTGAGAAGCCGAAATTCAGCACCTTATTATGAACAACAAATCAAGGACATAGTCAAAGAGATATGCGAGACTCTTGACGAAACCAGAGACGAGCTGTTCTTATATGGTTTCGGACATGGCGCCTTCATCGTGCGCGCCGTAGCAGGACTGCTCGATGTCTTACATTTGCCGAAACGGGCCTCGATGAAACATTTCGATAGACTCTACCAAAGTAGCCTGGACGTATTCAAAGCAAGGGCCGAAGATGACAGCTCAAATGGCCCTAAAATTGTCGAGTTTCTGAGATCGCATTCGACCCTCCCTGTACAAATTCATTTCGTCGGAGTCTTCGACACGATCAAGTACACTGCCGAAGGTAACATGCACGATGTTTCTCTGGTACCTTCCATACGACACATGCGCCATGCACTAGCAATGAATGAGACGCGACCTCAGCTAAGCCTAGAGGCACTCACCTCTCCGAGCAACCCCTCAGAATTACAGGGAAGAAGCTTTGTTCAAGCCTGGTTCATGGGGTCGCATCAAGATGTTGGGGGTGGTGTCGCCCACGACGGCCTGTCGTTGTACCCACTCCAGTGGATGATTATCGAAAGTATACGAGCTGGGTTGGTGATACAGCCCGAGGAAGAAGGCAGGCGGGATAGAGAGGGCGCGTTATCTTTGGCGTTCCCTCAATACACGGGTGAATTACCGAAACTCGGAAGTGGTGAGGAAATTGAGTGGACTATGAGGCAAACCAACGGTATAGAAACCAGCCTTTTCGACCTTCAGATGAGTATCAGTGGTCCAGCAGATGAGAAACAAGGTCACAGCATTCGAATCAATACGCCGAATACTTTGTACAACAGCCAGCGGAAGATATTCAGCAAAGGAGGATTGATAGATTATAATCCCAACGGTGAGTGGCACCTCCTTAAGGGGCTGTTTGCGTATCTGACCTCTTTGCAGACCCTCATGGGACGATAATACACCCTTCGGTATTCTGCATACTGGATAGATACCCCCGATTCAGTGAACAATCTCAATTCAAGGCTCTCAAGAAAGACATTTCCGATTACCGAGATCGAAGTACGGAAGATTCCAACAACCTACCACCATGGTTAGAAGGGATGCAATTGCAAGCCAGTGGCGTGAAGGCATTCAGGATCCTGGTGTGTGGAAAGACAGGAGTCGGCAAATCCACCCTAATCAACAAAGTCTTTGGGGTGGAAATGGTATGGGCTCCTTGAAGTGGATGAACTTTGTGATCTCTTCTAACTGACGTCTCAGACTGAAGAATCCCAAAGCTACAAACAAGGCGATCACGACATCAATCAAGCATTTGAATCTCCCAACCATCCGGGGCTTTTGATCCACGATTCACGAGGCTGGCAAGCAGGGAGTGACCACGAATTAGACCTCATTGCCAAGTTCCTGCGCCATCGAGCCTTCCAGCGTGATCCAGCACAGGCACTACACGTAATTTGGTGAATCAAGAATACTTCTCCGTTACTGTCCCGCCCACTGACTGATAGCCTGCAGGTTCTGTGTCGACTCGGACGTCAGCCGTATCGAAGAAGCAGACAAACGCACCTTTGACACTATCGCGCAGTTCTCACACAACGTGCCCGTCTTCGTCATAGGCACGAAGAAGGACAAACTGGTGGCGTTCCACAAGATCAAACTTCTCGAAAGTTACATGGAGAAGACAAATAACTATCTCGAGTCGAAGCGCCTGGCCGAAGAAGAAGCCGATACGCTGGCCGAGGAGCAGTTTCTGTCTCTCCGGGACGAATTATCACGCATCAAACACTACAAGGCCGATGGATACTGTTGTCTTTCCAAAGGTAAGTTCTGAGGTCGTCCGCAGCCTCTGACCCACTCTTCCTAACACAACATTCCTTCAAATCATGGAAGAACAATGAAGCTCACAAACACCGCTACAACACAGATGATACCCCAGGCGTCCGCAAACTCTTGAACTCCACACTCGAGCTAATCGCCGATGATAGGGTTCGTCTCTTTGCCGTGGCGGCGCAGGTCGTGGATGTCGAGCAAAAGATTGACTCAGCCATTACAGAATGCATGCGCCTGGGCACACACGCCATCCGCACGGCGATGGTTCCGCTCCCATTCTCGTCGGCTATAGGAACGCCCACCGTGGCGCGGATCCTCTGCGAGCACATGTTGCTGTGTTTCGGCTTTCCCAAAGCTATGCCAGACGCCGTCGAGGACATCATGAATCGCATCGTGCTCGGCCACCTGAAGGCCTTCATGGCTGTGACCGCGGCCGAGTTCTTAACCGTCGGTCTCGCCACGGCAGGGCTCGTCGTCGCAACCATGGGTGCCGGGGGCGTCCTCGCTCTTGCAAGTTGTATCCTCGCTGCCCCACCGACGGCAAGGATGCTGTTCAAGTGCGCATGCGACATGATCCTAATCCTCGAGCGGTCGTTTCGGTATCGCGGGAGATACGTATCGGTCAAGCAGATCGAGGATGCTGCCGTGTATTACACCACGGCCACGTTCAAGACATTCGCCGGCAAAGAGGTGTTACTGCAGACGCACGTGCACGATTCTGTGGACAAGCTGATCCCGTTGCGCAAGATCGGAGCAGGAATCCGGTTCAGCAGACTCCGTCCCGGTCTCGAGGAGATCATTTACAGCAATCGCTTCGAGAAGAAAGAGACTGACAGGCAGGGGAGTGCTGCGTCTACCTCACTTCCAGCGGAGTTAGCTGGCGACGAGATCCTCGAGCTCGACGCAGGCCCGACACCTGCCGCGACCGAGTTGCCCGCCGGCGGAACTAGAGCACCACCGATGATTGTCGAACTCCCCGCAGAAGTCCCAGACGAGAAGCAGAGGAATGTGTCGCGCGTCAGCCCAGAGAGCGATGTCAGCAGACTCCGCTCGAGCACCGCCACGAGCACGAGCACACACCTGACGGACCTGTCGCCAGTCAGTCCCGAGGCCGAGGTTGCCAGGATAAGGTCCAGCGCGACCATGACTACGATAGATGAACTGCTGAGCAACGAGGAGAAAATGAATATGTCCAACAGGTCGGCGACAACTAATAGCGAGCGCGGCCAGGACGAGGCAGGAAGTGCAAGCCCTTCGTTGACTTCGCCTTCGACATCGACTTCGACGGTCACGATAGATAGACTGAAGAGCGAGAGTCTGTTTTCGAGAGGGACCAAGAAGTTGTCGAGGTTTGGATTGAAGAAGTCCAAGACGGGTGGATAGAAGGCTACGCCACTCACACTCGACCACATCTCCATGCATTAAGAGTGTATATCAAAATCGCTGGCTTCGTGTTTTTGGCTATCTCCTCGAGACGCACTGTGTATGAAGAACAGTGTTGATTCCCAGTCTACTACCCAGACGTATGCAGCAAAGTTCTAATCATTAAACGATAAAATAAATCAACGATAAGGTCGAAGAACGAAAGTATATATCTGAAGGAACTCCATATGGGGCTCTCCAGAGCGGGTGGTGGCGGTGATGGTTGTTGGGGAAAAACCATCGGCCTCACCAGTCATTCTTCTCGGCCGCGGCTCTCAGTCAGGACGCATGTGGCCAGAGATGCCTCGGTTGTCGTGATAACAAGTGATGCTGGCGATGAGAAGAGTCTGTCTCTCTCCCCCATGCTGTTCAATGGAAGAATACGATGTGCCTCGATCCTCCGTAGAACAGACACAGAGAAGGTTTATCGATAGAGCACGTGAAATGTTGAATTGTATGTACTTTGGCAACAATGACGTTTGGCCTGGCATCGGACCAGAGGAATCGACGGTTTGCACTTCTCGACCTCGGCCTCAGGGAACATGCTGCCAGGGTTTTCTCTTGTGCTCGTAGAGAGACACGAACTGCACGTACAAGCTCGATCCCCAATGAGTGAGCAACGCCTGTTGTTCCTGCATTAGACGTCACGCGGGCACGTTCAACATTTTTGTTGCCAGCTCCCACCACCCGCCAACCTTCGTTTCCCCCGGTCTCTTCTTCCATTCATGCTTCTGCCTCCTCGTACGCCTCCAAAAGCCTTTCTTCGATTTTCCAGATTGTCCGTCTCCTTTAGTTCCTGTGCCCGCTCATCCAACCTTCACAACCCGGCCAACATGGACGGGCTGCGAGCCAAAATGTCGGCTCTCACGCCGTTCGCAAAGAAGCACAAGGTCACCGTCATCGGTTCCGGCAACTGGTGAGACCGTCAGCCCTGGAGGCGCCGTGCAAGACAGGTAGCTAACGTCACACAGGGGCTCCACGATTGGCAAGATGGTCGCTGAAAATACCGCCGAACATCCTGAGCTTTTCGAGCGAGACGTCCAGATGTGGGTGTACGAAGAACAGGTTGAGGTGGACAAGAAGTCAAAATTCTACAATGAATCCCACGAACTGTGCAAAGGCCCGCAGAACCTCACTACCATCATCAACACCTTCCACGAGAACGTTAAATACCTCCCAGATATCGCCCTACCACACAACCTCGTCGCAAACCCTTCCCTCACAGACGCCGTCAAAAACTCGTCCATCCTCATCTTCAACCTCCCCCACCAGTTCATCCTCAATCTCTGCAAACAACTGCGAGGCCATATTCTCCCCTTTGCCCGAGGCATTTCCTGTATAAAAGGTGTCAACGTGAAGGAGTCGTCCATCAGCCTGTTCTCTGAGACCATTGGCGAAGAGCTGGGAATATACTGCGGTGCTCTGTCCGGTGCAAACATAGCAAAGGAGATCGCGGCAGAGAAGTTCTCCGAGACAACCATCGCCTACGATCCACCATTGGTAGACTCACAAGCACCGACCCCGGCTACATCTCAAGGTCCGAGTCCGGCATCGAGTCATGTGGATTTGAAAAAGCTCGCCCACAAGGATGCTTCTGGCCAGCCGTCCAAAGTCAAACTGAAGCCACTCCCGGCAGAGTACCAACCAATCGACCAGGATACCATCAAGAAGCTATTTCACCGGCGATACTTCCATGTTCGAGTCGTCTCGGACGTGGCTGGAGTGTCACTTGGTGGTGCTTTGAAGAATATCATTGCCGTGGCCGCCGGATGGGTAGATGGTCTCGGCTGGGGTGACAACGCCAAAGCTGCAGTGATGCGGGTTGGACTACTGGAGATGAGAGAATTCGGCAACCGATTCTTTCCACATACCGTACATCCAGACACATTCACCGTTGAATCTGCCGGTGTTGCGGACCTAATCACGACTTGTTCGGGCGGACGAAATCATCGATGCGCAAAATTGAGTATCATGGAGGGCAAATCAATTGAAGAGATCGAGGCTAGAGAACTCAACGGCCAGAAGCTCCAGGGTGCGATGACGGCTCATGAGGTGCATACCTTTCTCAAGAGTCAGAATGCAGAGAAGGACTTTCCGCTGATGACGGCCGTACACAATATTTTGGTGGGGAAGGAAAAGGCTGAGAACATACCTGATCTTATTGAACCAGAGGATGAGTAAGTGAGACCGCCGAGTTGTGTTTTTATTCCTAGGCACTTCGTTCTACCGGGTTCAGGGCCAGAAGGGATCTTTGTCAGCATGATACCCGGACTTGTGGGACGGTTTGCGGACTACACAGACTTTTTGTTTGTGGCGAATACGATGGGAACGCAGGCCGATCGTCCGAGCTAGACATAATGTTTAGACGAGGCTAGACGAAATGATGATGAGCACAATTGCGCCGGACTATTTGTATTTGTTTTTGCTTCTTGTTGTTATTGTATAATGTATCATTTACATTGACTGAGACGTAGATAGGGATTGGTCTACGAATAATACAATTGTCGACACGGAGAGCACAATAGCAATACCGACTTCGAATCCTCCGCGCAGGACTTTTGGTGAAGGAGATATTCGTGTCCCGTGGCAACACCGCGAGAGTACAGTGGTACAGGCACCGTCGACGTCGACTTTGGATTCTCGTCCCGGTGACTCCAAACCGTCGTCGTCCTCCGACCGCACCACGGCGGCGACGACCAAGAACCACACCGACGACGACACCACCATGTCCGTCGACACATCACCACAACATCAAGCTCGATCAACGGCAACAACAACAACAACACACCCGTCGCTCGTCCCCGCTCCACCCCTGGCGTCTTCTCGCTACAACCGCCAACTCCTGGTCCCCCAGTTCGGGCTTTCCGGGCAGACCCGGCTCCTGGCGTCGCGCGTCCTGATCGTCGGCCTGGGCGGCCTCGGGTGTCCGGCGGCGCTGTACCTCGCGGGCGCGGGCGTGGGCACGCTGGGCCTCATGGACGGCGACACGGTGGAGCAGGGCAACCTGCACCGTCAGGTCGCGCACACCGAGGAGGCCGCCGCCGCAGGCGCCTCCAAGGTCCGCAGCGCGCTCGACAGGTGCACGGCCATCAACTCGGAGGTGCGGTACGTGTGCCACGAGACGCGCGCCGCGGCCTCGGAGGCGTTTCTCGACGCCGTGGCTCGGTACGACCTCGTGCTCGACTGCACCGACAACCCGGCGACGAGGTACCTGATAAGCGACGCCTGCGTGGTCGCGGGGAAGGTGCTGGTCAGTGGGGCGGCGCAGCGCGGCGAGGGAAGCTTGGTGGTTTTGAACTGTCCCCCTCTGGATTTGTCCTTGCCTGCGTCTTCGGCTGCGTCTTCGTCGTCCGGCGGCACGAGAGACGCGGGGCCGGGAGTGGCTGCGACAACACCGACGACGACGACCACAACCACAACCACAACGACGTCGGTAGAAAAGGGACCGTGTTACAGATGCGTGTTTCCACGACCTCCGCCGCCAGAGATGGTAAGGGGGTGTAGTGAGATTGGCATCCTGGGGCCGGTGGTGGGAGTGATTGGGACGTTGATGGCAGGGGAGGCGATCAAGATCATCGCGAGAGGTGACGTCGATCCTCAGCGGCGTGGTCGTGGTCGTTCTCAAGACACAACGTACACGAAGGGTTCGACGCAGACACGGACACAAACACAGGCTCATCCACCACCACCACCACCACCACCACCACCACCAACACCACCAACACCACCAACACCACCAACACCACAACAACAGCAAAAACAAAAACAACAACATACGATGCTCCTGTACAATACGTACGCCACGGATCCGAGAAACATGTTTCGAACGATCACCCTCCGCGGACGACGAAAGGATTGTCTGGTGTGCGGTGACGACGAGGTGTTGGCGGGTAAGAAGTTGAGCAGGATCACCGCCGGCACGATCGCCGAGGGGAGATTGGATTACCAGGGGTTTTGTGGCGTGGCGGAAGACGTCAAGATCTTGGAAGAGAGCAAAAGAATCGAACCCGGTAGGTTTCTTGAGGAAGAGATGGGAAGAAGAAGAAGGAGGACAAGGACAAGGAATAAGACGAACGAGACAAGTAAAGGAGACAAAGGAGAGGAAAAAGAAGGGACTGCAGCTGGTGCTGGCAGTGGTGCTGCCAGCGGTGGTACAGTTCTCGTCGTGGACGTACGTGAAGAACACGAATTCGAACTAGGAACCAAAGTCAAGGGGAGTGTGAATATTCCCATCTCGAAGATTTTGAGAGTGGGTGCCCTCGAGGCGGTCGAGGAGTTACGGCACCATTTGCATTCACGTTCGACCCCGTCAAGTTCACGTCTACATCAACATCCACACTCACATGTGTCTGTGTCTGTGTCTGATACCACGACTCTTGATCGTTTGTCGACGACATCCCGAGACGCCGGGGACGCCGGGGAGGGGATGAGGGACCTCGGAGGCACAGTGGATTCAGAGGATCACGTTCCAATCACGAGATATGGAGAGAGTGATTTTCCCACGGCGCCGAGTCAAGGACCAGGTGCATTCGCACAGAGGTCGGAGGATGGTGATGAGAGTGAAGATGGAAAAGCAGACCGAAAAGAAAGAGACGAACGAGAAGGAGGAGGAGAAGACACATCAACGATACCGGTATATTTTGTATGTCAACGAGGCAACGACAGTCAGATTGCGGCTCAGAAAATGATTGAGGCCATTGAGCGCGAGCGCGAGCGCGAGAAAAGCCAGGCGGCGACGACGACGACAGAGACACAGGCAGAGACAGAAACGCCACAGAAAGAGGAAACGAAAAAGATGATGGGATCGAAATGGGGATGGGTAGGAGATGTCAAAGGTGGCCTCATGGCCATGGAAAGAATCAGACTGTCGTGAACGAGACTTGGAATCCTCGGAAATTCATGAATCACTCAGACCTGTACTTATGTATCTATCCTTCCATACTCATACCAAAGTATACAGAACAGAAATACTCGGGAAGGATCCTTTCTCGCGTTCTCGTCTTTCAACACCTTTCATCCTTACGCCTTCTACACCTTCGTAATTCATCTCCTACTTACACTTACTTGCCCTTGGTCGCAGAGGGGTGCCTCATGCTGAAGATGTAATCTGTGTAGAGACAAATCTGTGGTAGACTCAAACCCCACACATTGAATGTCAGTATGCATCACCTCAATATTGACAACTCGAATCGAGCAGAAAAACAAGAGAACACTAAAAACGAATCCGAATACAAATCAGAAGGGGAAAGAAAAGTAAAAAAAAAGGTTCTTCGCATAGACCGATTTTGGTCTCGACAAGAATATAAGTGAATCAGCTAATCTTTGAATCATCATTTCTGCATTCGGGCCCGCAACACGGTGTGTGTGTGTGTGTGTGTGTGTGTGTGTGTGTGTGTGTGTGTGTGTGTGTGTGTGTGTGCGTACAGTGTGTGACTAGTCCCTCGATACCTACTTTGCGTTCGTGTACACTCGGTAACCCAATACGGAAGTGTACAGAGCACAAAAGCACAGCACGAGTACGAGTACGAGAAGTACTTGAACTCTCGAGTCACAAAGTACAGAGCACACAGTACACTGCACTGCACTGCACTGCACTGCATGGTAATTCCATGCTGATGGATTGGAAGCGACAAAATAAGATGAGACAAAGACAAGACGTACCGAGAAATGCATCCGTACTCATCAAGTACCCAGGTAGTTAGTAATCAGTGCCACTGACGACCCCCCAGCATCTGAGGACCACATCCTGTGAACAGGGTACAGTGGACCCGGAAAGAGAAAAGGGAGCGCGTTCATCGTATAATTAGTGATCGGCGGGTTCGACAGGTGTAGCAGTGAGTGGCGAGTCAACGGCAGGAGACACCACCAAAGAGGTTTCCAAAGCTCCAGCCTCCCTCCCCCGAAAAAAGAGGAAAAGCGTAAACAAACAAATCACGTTTCGGACGACAAGAGATCGACGACGCGTTGGAGAAAAAAGAGTGGAATCCGTCGATCGTCGGGTATGTAACTAGGTCGTTAGTAACAAAATAAATGGAGCCTCGATGTACCAGGAGAGGCACCAAACTCGTCGATGGTGTGGGCGACGTGGTGATGTGATTGACCGAGCGAGAGAGAGAGAGAGAGAGAGAGAGAGAGGGAGAGAGAGGGAGCTTCGAGAACTCCATAATTTCTTTCCCCTCCCACAGAACATCCATGAGGGTTCCTGGAAATCTCCATGGCTAAGTGTCAAGATAGCCAGTCATGGACGCAGCCAAATGTGCCCATTGAAAAAAGGAGAGAGGTAATAAAGCCCCCGGTGGTGCCGGCTGAAGAAAGTTGAAAGCAGGAGAGAATCTTCAACGCAAGACAAATTTAAAGGGCGAGAGAAAAGAAGAAATTGTTGAAACGAGCTCTCACGTGATTTCTAACTAAGCTCTAAGATCCCTGACTTACTGTATCTAGAGCCTCGCCGGCGATAAGGATTGTTTATCTGCCCGTTGATGTATCACTTATGATTACAGTACAGTGAGGCTTTGGCATAAACGAAAACACCTGATATCTTTCTTTTGCTTTCCCTTCATTCATTTTACCTTACAGTCTCACTCTCTGTCTGTGTCTCGTCCAATTCTTGGGCTCGAGAATTACACTGCACCAAATACTCCACAGCAAGTGTCTCTGATCATCGGCATCTAGAAAAGACGAAAATGAATCCCGTGAACCAATCATACAAAGTCGTCATAAAAATTGAATCTCTGTCGTCAATACTATTGGTATTGGTCTCCGAATCGTCCAGGTTCATCAACAATCCCGACTCCGAGGTGAATCTATCCTGGGAGGACTCTTCGACTTCCGGCCGGGATGTGGTGAGTTACTCGTACTGCATTAATTTATCCATGTCAGTCTCGGTCCCAAATATCTTGCAATGTCAAAAGGTTGTCTCAAAAGATTGTCACAAAACTCACGATCTTCGTCTCTCGCCCTCTTTTCTGAACTCATCAATGATCCGCAGCATCTCTTTCCGGCCGGCAGTTGCATCCACTTTCCTACCACCTAGACTCATGCTGACCTTCGCGTCGGTCCTTACCATCAAAAGTCGCTTCAGCAATAAATGTCTCATGTTCAGACAGACAAACACTCCACAGTCCGACGAATTATCCTGTAGAGGACTGTCATGTAAATGGATGAATTTAAGAGGCCTGTTGATCAATCTCGATAGCTTCTGTGTGACGTGATGTGCTTCGAATTGATTCCCAGGAGGCATCGAATCGTAGTGAAAGGCAACTCCATCGACAATCGAGACAAGGAGCAGGGACCAATGAGTCCCGCCCTCTGCGACATTAACAGCGTGATTGTCGTTGATCGGGAGGAAAATATGCGAGACGTTGGTGAGATCAGGGAGGGCGTCCTACACAGGTTAGCGTACTTTGTCTTCGCCCACGGTTTTCTCAGCATCATGGTCGCTATTTATGTATACATACCTTGATTGTCCGCGGATCGGGCGTTTGCATGAGCATAAACGACATGGTAGGGCGAAGTAGGACAATGTGAGAGTGTTTGAAGTTGACAAGATATTCGCGCTCCAGGTATCTGTCACGTCAGACTCGTTATCCATCAACACACGTGGCATTTCTTGTGTCCTACTCTTCCCAAAATGCGATGACCTGTTCGTCATGTCAGCGATGGCCCAGTCTGCATGGCACCTTGACCAACATTGTCCGTCAACCAGTCATTCTTGAGCACAGATATGTCTTCTCGCGTCACTGTCCCCTTCTCAGTTATCATGTGTTCGTAGGCCGTCGACGGGAAGGGTTACCGACATCGTATATCGTAGTCTGTGAGTTCCGGGGTTTAGCATCGCCAAGGGCATGAGAGGGACACACTCACAACTCAAGTAAGCATCTTCTGGAGCCAGCTTTGGAGCCATGGTGGTCAGCCAAAAGTGTTGCGGACACTGCGCAAAGGGCGAACGAGCCGCAGAGAAAATGAGAGAGAGTCGGCCTGGTTCGTGCAAGAAACAGTGACGCAACTGCATCAACATACCGATCTCCCAAAATGCCGACTCATGCGACCTCCGAAAGGATGCAAGTCCGGCATTGTACAGCGGTCTAGGAGGGTATCAAGATCTCTCGTAGCAAAACCCTCTTCTCAAAGGGAAGGCACTCGCGTGTCGTCTGGTGGTGCCCGTCGCTAAGTGTCCGCCGCAACGCGCAGGTGGGATCTGGGAGACTGCACTCTGTGCCGAGTCAGGTCAATCCAGCATCTAGTCAGTTCATGTTGGTTCAGTTAGAAGGACAGAGGCAGTACATTCTCTTCTAGGAGGACAATCATATCACAAAAAGGGGATTCATTTGCCCTCTTCCGAAAACCCCCAGTAATCGCGAAAAGGTCCAGCTCATGCCCGGGTCACGCAGTCTTCCCCAGCCAATTGGCGACGTCATGCGTCTCTTGGGCCTCTCGATCCCGCACCTCGTCAACGCCATCATCGTCCTGACATGTCACTCACAATGATCCTACTGTAGGGTACACGCAGATACGGAGTGGGTAGCTAAGGAGACAGCACCTCTGCCGTGGCTGCTTCGCGAAAATTCCTGGTCTTTCGCTGTGTCATCCAATTTACATGGATTCCATTTTCAAGTCCTAGGTCATCATCGTCGCTAAAGTAATGTACATCACTGTTGTTCTCAAGATCCCTGCCCGTAGGACGCCCACTTTTGAAGCCCGCTCGAACGCTCGATAGAAAACAAAAACAAGGCACCTTTCATTCCTGTCCAGTCAGCCCACCCTCCATCTCCTGGCGAGCCTCCGTTGTACATGTCCTTTGGCCATGCCTGCTGTAGATCCTGTGCCCATGATAGCGTGCTGATGCAAAAATGAAGAAAAGGGGAATAGAAGGGTGACACCGTCTGTCGTGGTGGTAAAACAAGGACAAATTCTAGCCGTCATGCAGACAGATTATCCAAGAGTGGCGGCATGAGTATACCGTTTCAACTCAGTTATAAGGTAGCAGAGACATGCCCACGTCGCTACTCTGCTAGCTTGGCAAAGTGTTTGTTCCAGATCCAGCCAATCTCTCGGCTCTCGTCGTCTTGATTGATGGCCAACCACAGTTCCCCATGCTCGGCAATCACATCAAAGATCTCGCCAGGCATGTATGTGAGATAGCGAAATCCACCCTGCTGACGTGACCGATCAATGTTAAATTCATAAACACTTGCGGCCGTGAACAAGACACCCGGTTCGTGTGTTGGAACCGCGTTTCCCTCTTCTTGTGGTCGATTGTTATCATCCATAGGCATGGCCGAGGAGAAGACATGACCACTGCTGGATGGTAACTGCGTCTGCGATTGATTAGGCTCCGGCGCCGCAGAGTAAAATGTCGACGAGGACATGTGTCTATTGGCCTGAGGTGAATCTGTCACCAAGGGCCCGATGGAAGGTGATGTCACGTCCAAGCTCAGTAGAGGAGGAGGCACTTCGGGCAGCCCGGGACTAGTGCCCGGTCGAGAAGCACTATTGCTGTGAACAGTATGGACAGAAGGCGCCCCGCGAGAGCCAGTTTCTGGAGTTTTGGGAAGTCTTCCAGATGCCGCTGAGGGGGCTCTTATCCGGCCATTGGCGAGACTGAACAAGCTCTGCTCACTCGGGTCGTTACTATGTGAACTCATCACGCCTTCACTTTGTCGTTGGTTCGAACTGAAGGTCATCGTGTCCTCGTTGATGGATATTGATCGCGTTTTATGCATACTGTTCCACGAAGGCTGTCGCGGGGAGTCGTCACCGAGCAAAGTCGTCCCAGGGGTCAAGAATGAGAGCAGGTTGCCTGCTTCAGCCAACAAAGAACCGTTACAGATGCTCAACATGAGTATCTGCTCTTCATGGTACTCAAAGTCTTCTCGCCAGTCTTTCACAATTTCCTCCGGCTTGATTTTGTCGAGAGATATTTCCATAGCTGCGGAGAACTTCTGCTTGCACATAGCAAGCCAATTCAAGTGAAGTCGAAGGAGATTCTGTTGACACGAGAGAACCAAGTCGGCAGTGGACTTGAGCAGCCGTTTCTTTCTTTCTTTGGCCTCGAGATTAAGTGCTTCCCACTGCTCCATACGTTCCGTCATTTTCTTATCGATCTTTTCGCCCCTGTCCTTCTTGTTTTTGAACTGGTTGTAGTCCAGCAATCGCTTGTCTCGCTTGGCTATGAGTCCTTTTGGGTCAGTCTGGAATCTTTCCAGCATTGTGGCGGTCTTTTCCATGGGACCAATGACCCGAAGATTGACCTGATCAATATGGTCTGGCAAGGCTATTGAGTTGATGCCCCGAACGACAATTGCAAGTTGCCGAAGTTTGCTTTCAGCTTCGGGATAATGGGTATGCCCCACGTCAACCCACGCTTCTGCTGCTGCTGCCAGCTCACACATGCGAGTAACCCACTTGGTGATGGCTTCAATGTAGCCCTGGCAGTCTTTGGAGACGAGGAAAAGATGCGCAATGTTGTTGTCATACTTGATTTTCAGCTTGGCGTATTCTTCGTCCTCAAACATCTCGTTGATACCCATATTCTGCCTCAATCTTTCCGCGCGACGCCCAAATGCTTTGGTCAGGCCGTTTCGAACATCTGAATCCTTACGCTTTCTATTCAGAACTTGATCAACCAATTCCGTATGCTTCTTGACTTCGTTAATGCGTACGTTGATCTCTGTTACTTCCACCAGAGCTCTCCGTAGGAAGCTTGCATCAGGGTGATTGTCTGGCGTAGCTTCCACAAGCTGCGTAAGTAAAAGCGGGTATTTGGTTATTCGCTGGATTGGCTTGACAAGAAGGGCGTCCAAACTCCAAGCATTCGTGATATCAGTCGAGTTTTCCTTGCATTCCTTGAGCCATTCGCGGGCTGCCGAGTATGATTGCAAAACCTCCAGTCTCTTGTTCGCAGCATGTCGGGTCCGAATATACTCAGTGTAGACCTTCTCCATGTCAGTCATGGACGCTTCGAAGGCTTGACCAACTCTGGTAAGTTCATCTTTTTCCCAATCGCTCATATCGACGAATCCATCTATAGAAACAGCCGAGCTTTGCACTGTCGAGGCACGATTTCCATCTCTGCGTCGGTCTGACTTTTCCATCATATAGGCCGGCTTGACGACCTGCTTTAGGAGGCCTAGAAAGTCCTTCGAGAACTGCTGCACAACATCAACATTTCCGAAGATGATTTTGATGTCTTCGTCAGAGATTGCCGCCACGGCTGTCTGCTTGTAGATGTCACATAAAACCCGCATATCTCGTTCGTAAGTGTACTCGGTGTCCACCAGCTCTTTGAGGACATAGCGCCGTTTGTTGAGACGACGTTGCTCTGGGGTTTGATCCTCCGTGGAAGGTCTCCCAGCAGGGGAATCGGCTGGGGGCCCTTGTTGATCGATGCTTGACCTCGCTGATATCTGCGATGCGGCCGTCAGTGGTCTGGACGGTGGAGCGGCTGGCATACCCGGTGGTGCCACGCCAGCAGGAGCCGACCAAGAAGTCTGAGCAATCGACGGCATGGCGGCAGCCGGTGGAGGTGGAGGCGAGTGCGATGGTGGCCGCGGCATGTCCCAACCAGTGGCGATTTCCATGACGTCGCTTCTGCCTTGTTTGTTATGCGCCTGCATCTGGTCAGGGGCTTCTTGAGTCTTTGCTTCATCATTAAGGAATGTTTCGTTTGTCAGCAGTGACTGTTGTCGTTGAGGATGGGCGTCTGGTGGGGATTTGAGAGCGAACTGAATCCAATCTGTGACTGAGGGTGAGGTGTCGGCCCAATCCTCAGCGCTGTCAAGACTAGATTTATATCGGTGGTGAGATCGGTAGCTCTGAGGTTGTTTGGATGCGACGGCTTTGGTTGCAGGTGAGCTTGCAGTGGCTGTCTGTGCATCAGATTCACCGTTAACAACACCAGATTCAGCGCTTAGCGAAGGTTCGGGCAGGATCTCTTCGGTTGGCTGCGGACGAGTGGCTTCACGTTGGTCCCAGTGCAGATTGTAGTCATCAAGCTCTTGGAGACACAGAGTTCTCACTTTTGCTTCGTCCACGTTTTCAGCATCGGCTAAATCTGGAGATGCTTGGATAATGCGATGGTAAATATCATCGACGAGCTGTTGATCGACAACTCCAGAGGGCGTTCGCTGTTGCAACACGATGTTAACAATTGTGTATGCATCTGTAGCATATCCTTCCCCATTTGAGTCATCAGCGCTGGATTGGTCAACATCAGAGAAGCTATCAGATCCCGCTTCTGGGGTCTCTTTGTCCGGTCGGCGAATTGCAGTATCATCCATGCCAGCTTGATCAGCGTCTGAATCGCGATGATCCGTGGTTAAAGATGATGTCCAAGAGCCTCTGTGAAAGATGGGTTGTGTCGGTAACGGCTCTGATGGGACTAGTAATGGTCGGTAACCCTTCTCAGCTGCCTCCTCATCATCTAGGTACGTCGTTTCTCGCAACATAAGGTTTACAGAGACTCCATCAGCATGGTCAGAATTGTCGCCGGATGCGTGTGAAGCAGCAGACAATGGCGATCTGGAATCGTAACTCCTAAGGATACTGATCTGATCCAGGAGAGACTGGGTTGGCTGAAGTTCAGTCTCGTCAGCCTGTGGTTCGGCGTCTATCATTGTGGCTTCCGTGGCTACAGTGCCTTGAGTAACAGCAGAACGCGGCTCTTGATCATCGTGCGCGGAACTCAGATGAGTGTCAAGGCTGTATGGTATACTGCTAAACCCTGAACCAGCATGGCCAAGTGTTGGTGAGTCAACCTCGTCCAAAGGCCGCGGCCCACCACCATCCACGATATGAAGCGCATTCTGGGTGAAGGCTCGCCGGTCATCTACGTCTCGCCGATCCTGTGCATAAAAGGCATGCTCCTCCGGAGTATCTTGCATAGGCGCCGGTTCGTTAACAATGACAGCCGGTATTTCGACGTTTGCTATTGTGGAAGCCTCGAGCTTATCGCTGTCGTCCGAAGGGGCAATACTATTGTTTCGGCTGGTCGACGTCGAGGTTGTCCGCAAAGAAGCAGGGGCCCCCTTCAGATCCTGACCCTCTTTTGATCTTGTCAAGGCTTGTGTGATCTTCAGTCGCCGAGCCTTGAGGTCAATATCAGTAAGTTCGGGAGGTCTCTGTCGCCGATAGGCTCTGCTATCGCTCTGTTGCTTGGCCATTGTCTGAAACTTCTCGGCTATTTTTGCTCGAGATGCAGCCGTGGTTGCACTCGATACAGGCAAACGGGGTCTTGAACTTCGAAGCGGGGGGGAAATCTTTGGTGGAGGGGCAATGATATTGGCCCTCAATGAAGGACTCTTCTCACTGCTTCCTCCCGACTTTGCGCCGGGGCTTTTAATATGAGTATGAGAACGCGGTCCTCTGGGAGGGCTAGGAGGCTTCCTATCGGTATACGAAGTAAGGGTCCCCGCTGACTGACGGTGTCCATTTATCCGTAGTGGTAGTTGTGAGCTTGAAGCGGCCGTTGGAGAGATATTTGTCGGCTCTGATGCATTACGATTGTGTCGTACACTGATGGGGATGCGCGATTGTCCATTGCCCGGGGGTGAAGAATCCATGCGGCCCGTTCTCATGACAGGTGAGTTTGCTCCACGCCCGGACTTCAATGACGGCCCAGTGAGATCACTCTTTGCTCTCCGGTGGTTTGAGCTAGTACCCACGGTATTATAGGACTGAGTAGTCCTGCCAACGCCTGAATATGGCTGAACAAGATTTTGACCAGTCACTGAGTGCGCCGGTGGTTGAGAATCAGGGTTGCTCGGTGGGAACATTGGGTTTGGGCTATGCATTGGTGACCCTTCTGACCCTCTTCTTCTACGAGCATTATGTATGCCATAGCCTGCCGCTGGGAGTCTGGACGCTGAAGGAACGACTTCCCCAAACAAGAGCTTACGCCCCGGAGCCGCAGTCTGGACCGCAGGAGCACGGTGAGTTGAGGCCGCCTCCGTTGACGCTCCCCGTGTCCGGCCACGCGGTATAGCAGTCGGAGGGCGAATGCCGGGACTTGGCGAAGTCCTTCTGGTGGTATCCGATAGCCTAGGCTCCTTCGACTGGGGAATAGTGCCACCGTAGGAATTTGAAGGACCAGCTGTCGAATATGGCATCGGACTTGCAGTTCTTGAAGCGGGCCGGGAGATGAGCTGCGTCGGTAATGGCGGGACCTCCTCCGGCGAGGTATCAAAGCGTGCGACAAGATCTTTGAATGAAGCCTTCCTTGATTTCAAGAAAGTCCTGGCAGGACTGTTCTCCCAGCTGGCACTTGGCAGGTTCTGTGTATTCACAGTTGGGCGTCGGCCTGTCATAGAATTTCGCGAGGTTCTTTGCGACGGGTCCTCGTTCGACTGGGCCGATGCAAAGCTCGACTTTCTTCTTGTGGCTCTTTTCTCATCTTCATCCTCAAATACCGTCGTTCGGATCGCTTCCTGATGAAGAGCTTGTGGAGAGGCATTGCTAAAAGCTTCTTGATATTGCCTATAGAACTCGTGCGGGTCGGTCGATGTATCGTCAGTGGGCACACTCCCCGACCCAATGTTTGACTTGAGGGGTGTTGAACTTGATGGGATCCTAGCACCATGAGACGAGGACTGCGACTGGGAATATGTGGTAGAAGGTAGGTAGGCAAGTGATCGCTCGGGTGACTGAGGTTGCGCAGAAGGATCATTGATCTGATTTGGCAGATTGGTCTGAGAATGCGAGGACTGTCGGCGGTGGTGCGGGTTATGGTAGTTGTTCTGGTCTGGTACCGCAGAAGGCATTGTCGTCGACTCTGGCGCAGCTTCACGCCGGGGCCTTCCCTCTTGGACTATGATGTCTATCGCGCAGATGCATGGCCCAGGCCCAACATGGCTTCGCCACTACGGCAGTAGTGTGATTCCCGCGCTCTAGCCCGTCAAAATGTGTTTCCTTGCGGCTTTGTCCTTCTTCGCAGAGACGCACCGATCGCCTTCTGACAGGCGTCACCTTAGCGTCTGAAATAGGCCAACCCCGGCAGCAGCCAAAAGACGATCAAGCAACGATGTAGTGAACCGCAGAGAGCGACAGAATATGAGAACAAGAGGAAGCCCCGTGTCCTCAACTCAAAGCTCTCTACTCGCGTCTTTCCGCCTAAACTGCGGTTGCGGTGTATCAAGGTTGGGTAGTGACAGGGACCAATCACAAGGTGACGCCGCGACAGGCAGACGGTGTCCTGAGAACCTTGTCGACAGGAACCATTCGAGGAGAACGGCTTGACACTACAGTGTTGTCACGGCGTGGTGTCGTGCCGGAGCGGAGGGTTTGTAGAGTGAGGCTGCTGTGGTTGAGGCGAGGGTGGATGCACAGTACGAGTTGAGCACGGGTGGGTGTTCGGATGAGATGCCAGCAAGCGAGGAGGAAGCCAGGTAGGTGAGCCCGGTAGGTGAGCCCTGTGTTTCCGGCTAAGGTACCTTAACTTTCTTAACTCTCTTAACTTTAGCGCAATATGGAGGCTTGGACTTTATGGGCAACTAACTAGGCCACCAGGCTTAGTGGACAAGACATCGACCGGGGGCCTCGGTAGCCTTTCACCAGGCGTCAACCAGGCCCTCAGTAGGCATCAATTCCCCAGCTAAAAGACTTCACTACAGGTCACGAACAAATGTAAAGCGTGACACTCTCCGGAAATGTCAGCACAAAGAACTGGATTGTGGGAGCGCGTTCTACTGTCGTCTGCTTTGGGACTCAACACACGACACTTCTAGTGATAGTGGAAAATCTCTTTATCGATATCCATATCCGACCCCAGTCCATTGTTCGGCACCACGCAAGTCCCTTCTGGCAGGTCTCAGATGCCTGAAGTGCAAACATACCTGGGAGGTGTTCGTCGCCCAGGCCTGGTCCTTGTACAAGTGTCAATCATGCTGCAGGGGCTCATCGAGGTCGCTCCAGATACAACACCAATCGTCCCGCTGGATTTGAGCTTCAGGCTCTAACTGGTGCCCTATCTTGACTATGCCAGCCTCAGGACAACACTCGCCACGCCTCACCATGTAAGAAGAATAGGCCGGGACATGGTCACTGTCGTCTGCCGAATCATCACAGATCAGACAGCAAAGATGCACAGACCTTGGATGGCGCCACTATTGATAGCATCAATGAGCGCCAATAATGACAGCCCTCGTTTAGCATTTGCGCCCGAACACCACGGGCCGAACTAAAAGAATCTTGAGATGCCTGCTAGATCATACAATGTTTACTCCGTCCCGAGACGCGAAACATCAACCATATGCACCTAGGGTTTTTCCTACACGCAACATACAGTAGGTTAAACTCCAGACTGAGTGTTCCTGCTGTGTTCGCGTTTGGGGACCTTGAGTCTGGCCAGTCAAAGTGCATACCTTTTCTCGCCTTGAACTTTGTTAAATAATTTCTAGGGTCTCCCCCTGCTGTGTCTCATCTTCGGCACGGTTTTGAGCACCTGTAATCTACACGCGTACTCCGTATGAGGCTTCGGAGCAAAACCCTAGACACCCACAACGCGTCAATTCCTCGCTGCCGAGAAAACACCATCGCTTTAGCAATGTACCACCGCAGCCATGGCTAGAAAGCGCAGACGTGCTGACCATGAAACGAGTCGCCCTTTGAAACTCCGCAAAACCGGACCGACTTTCGGAAACGAAGCATTGGATAGACCTCAGTCTTCGCCAGGAATCCACCACGGCGTACTCTCTTCTTTTTATTCCAGAGTTTGTACCTTGCGAGTGTTTTTGCTGGCACAGCTACCATCTACCTCTCGCGTCAGAAGGCGGACTCTCGCTGCCTTTGCGAAGGACCATGCCGATTCCCTTCTTGATACCTGCCTCGTCGGTATTCTGAAAGAACCATCCAGTTCGATCACAAAATCACGCAAGGCCGACTTTATAACATTCACGCAGACTCAACAACGGGTTACCAATGGGACCAACATCCACACACAACGATGTTGTATGAACGAGGTAAGTCGCCCTGCAAATCATCTGGTATAGTCAAGGTGTAGGCTGACAAGATCACCTAGATTGTCGACTTTGTGATTTGGTCCTTGTTCCGAGGAACATTCAAGGGTCTTCGCCCACGACACATCCTATGCAATGGTCTTCAGAGAGCTTCAGCTCTAGCAGATTCCGTCGAACCAGGGAAGAGATGCGTCCTACCCGGCATAGTCAGGCATCATCCCAACGACAACATCAGTGCTTTGACGTCAAGCCCATGGACCGACATTCTACCTCTTCTGGGCAATGATGCGGAGGCTATCATTTCGAGCCTATTACTTGATTGTGGTGTCTTCACAAGGCTTTCGAGAGGCAATGGCAACTATTATCAGCTCAGTGGAACTCCTGTATGTGAATTGAAACAGACACGGATGCCGTCGAAAGGTGTAAATCCTCCATCCACACAAGGCGCGAATGCGAGCCGCGGAGCTGCCGATATCCGATTCGTCAGAAATCGCATTCTGTATGCAAAGGCCTCAGTAAACAAGGCTGGGAAAATAAAAACGGGCTTGCATCACATGCATGTTTTGGAAAGATGCTCTCACTCTACCCAGTCAGACCACGCTGCCCATGTCGCCAAATACGTTTTCCCGAGACAATTCGGGCTACACAACGTTTTCACATCCACAACAGATCCCACAGAGACCGCTCAGCAATTCAAAGACTATACCCTACGAGAGCAAGAAATCAGAAGCATATGCAGCCGGGCTCGTGCAAAAATACCACGTCGACTCCGTGGCAAGCCTCTGGATCTGGTGAGGAAGATCTTGCGTAACCACCTCAGATGCTCATACACTCAGCTCCTGCGGTATTATTGTTCCCTCGGAGGTTCCTTTGGAGGTTCCTTGAGCCGAAAATCCCTGGAAAATGGTTACGAACAGCACGTCCCTAGCTCAGAGCCGTTTGTGACACAGATTCAAACCGCCTCTCCAATTACAGCGTCCTTGTCTGTAACCACAGTCATCCATGACAATGGACATTCTTTTTTGCCGTATTCAACACACCCTTCTAGGGTGTCGGCATTTTGCCGGATGGTTATAACACATCTCCTTCCCAGCGATGCATTCGGAGTCGGGCCCCATGGGCTCCAGAATCACAAAAACGTCATGATGTGCATAGACGAATTCGTAAAGATGCGGCGCTTTGAGAGCATGACCCTGCACAGTGTCACTCAGGGCCTTCGTGTCAAGTCCATCCACTGGCTTTGTCCACCTGGCGAAGAAGGGTCGAAGATGTCGAAGTCTGATCACTCAAAACGGGTTGAGCTTCTACATGAATTCGTGTACTACATCTTTGACTCTCTTCTGATTCCGCTCCTTCGAGCAAACTTCTACGTCACCGAGAGCTCAGCGCATCGCAATCGATTGTTCTATTTCCGACAAGACGTCTGGCGCAAGCTCTCCGAGCCCAGCCTCACTGCGCTCAAGCTGAGTATGTATTCAAATATCACACCTCACCTAGCTCGCCAGAAACTCCAATGCAGGACTTTAGGCTATAGTCACGTACGCTTACTGCCCAAAGATCATGGAGCCCGACCAATCACCAATCTCCGACGCCGGCAGTGGAAGATAGTCTCTGGCCGGAGGATGTTAGGGAGTAGCATCAACAACCAACTCAGTCCCTTGTTCAGTGTACTCAATTACGAACGTGGCCAAGATACGGCACCACTGGGGTCAGCCATGTTTTCTGTCGCCGACCTGCACAGCCGGTTGACCAAATTCAAGAGCGCCAACCCGCAAGGGTCGGCGTTGTTCTTCGTCAAGGTTGACATCCAATCCTGCTTCGACAGTATCCCACAAGACCAGCTGCTGGCGATCGCCAGAGGGCTCTTCTCCGAAACATCATATCGAACAACTAGGCATACCGAGATAAAGTGCCTGGATGGAGTGGAAAAAGACAACACCGGCTCGTTGCGACGACGATATATTGGAACGGCCCGCTCGGCGGACGACACTGCGGTGTTTTCAGAGATGGCTGCGAATGCTGCTGCTGACACGAAACGAAAAGTTGTTTTCGCGGACACTGGTAACCAAAGACTGGTCTCGAAGTCGGCAATGTTGGCGCTTCTCCACGAACACGTCGGAGATAATATCGTCAAAATGGGCAAAAAGCATATGAGACAAGTCAAGGGTATTCCCCAAGGTTCGGTGTTGAGCAGTCTCCTCTGCAGCTACTTCTTCGGCGCATTCGAGCGAGACCAGCTGGGCTTTCTGAAGCCAGAGTCTTCCCTACTGCTGCGGCTGATCGATGACTTTCTCCTGATAACAAGGGACGCGCAGGTCGCAAGACGCTTCCTCGAAGTCATGTCCAGTGGAGACAAGAAATACGGCATTGTGGTCAACGCAGGGAAATCGCTGGTCAACTTCGACGTAACCATCAACGGGCATAAGATCCCGCGACTTTGTGGCGAGAAATTTTTCCCATACTGTGGAATGGCCATCGAAATGAAGACATTGGAGCTACAGAAATACCGAGAAAAAACAGATGCATACGTGAACAACACACTCACCGTTGAGAAAAGCTCCAGACCAGGTGTGACATTGAGAAGAAAGGTGCTTGCGTCACTGAAACTGCAGATGCATGCCATGCTACTAGACACGTCCTTGAACAGCAGAAAACAGGTCATATTGACGCTGCTGGGAAATTTCACCGAAACGGCGATGAAGATGCACCAGTACATGGTACAAATGGGTCGAGGCGTTCATTCGTCCCAGATGTTCATGAGAACGCTGATAGAAGAATTGGTGATGGTCAGCACCAAGATCTGCTGGATGAAGAACAGATCCCAGCGAGATATCACCAGAGGGCAGATGTGCTGGGTTGCAGCTGCAGCTTGTGAGGGTGTGTTCTCGCGCAAACAAAGTCAGTATAGGGAAGTTTTGGTGTGGCTTCGATCACTGAGAGAAAGCACCGAAGACCGGATGAAGGTCGACAGGAAGGTTCTCACCGCACTGCTGGAGGAAAACAGGCGCACGTTCCACGGCTACATTTACTGAAGGAGAAGGTACCTGAGATATGAGATATGCGCGTCTCATGGAAAGGCAGATAGATTTCGGACCACATGCGTGCGCGTTGGCTGAATCCAGCAGGGACAACAAACAACCGCCATTAACATGATGGCGGTGATGATGACGACGACGACGATATGGGTCTAGATCCTCCAAGGTGGCCCTGACAACACACGGACATTGAATGCTTGCAGCGGTACTCCGTACGGAGTATCTAGCTGATGTATGATTATTATTAGTGTATGAGCATCTCGTGCGGCTGGCCCATTGCATTCGAGTAGAAACGTGGACTTTGCGTCTTGACTGGCGTCGTGGCCGCCCGTACGGAGCAGCAAAAAAAGGGTGCATACCCGTCCGTGCAGATGCCACCAACAAGCCACCAGCCACCAAAACACCACCACCAAGATCCAACCCATGGCCATGGCCATCGCATGCTTTTCCTTATCATCGTGCATTGCGCCACCAGGATACAGAAAACAGCAGCCTCATTCAAAACCAACCGTCTTCCCGGCCCGCGAGAGACATCTCTAGACCACCTTCTTCCTCGCTCTTCGCTCCTCGACACATGCAAAACAAAGCACATAATACACAACCTGACCGCTCCTTTGCCTGGCATACAGCATTTCTACGTTTGGAAAGCTTCTTTCGCTTTTGATATCATGAAACACCCACACTGCGTCAGAAGACCATCGTGACCAGCCTGACGGGCGCCGGCCTTGTCCTTTATTTGTCGAGATCACGACAACCCCCTGTAGACTCCGCGACGAGATCTCTCGAACACCTGAAACTGATCTCTGACCGGCAACGACTACGACCCGACGATCCAATCTCTCCTCTGGCCTCCTCACTATAACGTCTCGTCGAGTCTCCACGAGAGGTGTTCTGAACAAGATTTACACACACGTTATTACATCAACGAAGACCTGCTGGCAGAATCGTTGACGAACAGACAGTGGGTCGCCAGTCGGAGCGCGGTCACATCCTTGAAACCTCCCCAATCGATGCTGGGGATGGTCTGGAAGGGCACCCTGCCAGCCCCCTCTCTGCCACCAAGTTTGCCAGACTTTAAACTAGGCTCAGCACATGTCAGCCAGTCGATGCATACGGAGGAGCCCCTAGACCCAGGAGCTCTGCCCTCTCCTCGGCGTGGCTGCAGACACGGTTCAACGATGGCGTCCTGTCAAGCGTCAGCACCATCGTTCTCCACTCCTCCTCCAGTCGTCCCGATTTCTTGTCCAGGGGTCGAGCCATTGGAAACTTTGCATCTTGGCTACGATCCTCAAGCTTCGTCCTCAGAGTTGGCTGGCCTGGAGCAACAAGTTGTCTTCGCCATTGATCATGTTCTCTGGCGCATACCTACATTCGTTCCCTTGAAAACTCCCAGCAGCGACTACGCAGACATAAGATTGCCGAGGTGCACGAACACCCTTCGTAATAGCCCCATACAAAACAACACTCGTTCGGAAATTAAATTACCAGATTCGCAGGCGGTATCACTCAACCAGTTCCGAGGGCAATCCGGTTACAACTTTGTCAATGAGACCACACAACAAGAAATTCGCTCGTTAACATTGTCGTCCAATGCCCACATTCTGAACATGACCGCGATCGCCTCGAGTATCCCAGGATCACCCCCCGATTTATCTGGCTCCCGATCCTCTAAATCCTCTTCATACTCATCTACGTTGTCGAATCCGGACGAGTTGGAACCTGACTCAATAATCAACTATGAAGAGATTGGGCTAGAAGATGACAACGAGCCTTCTCAGCTGACCTACCATTCAAGAGACATTTCTGTGCAGTCTTTTGCATCGAACCATGAATTGATGAAGTCCAGAGAGTCAGTGTCGGGAGACAAGCGGCATGCGCTTCCGCAACTACAAACGCAATTGGCATCCCACAGGAGGCAGGAGTCGACAACACCAAGGGCCATTCCACCAAGGATGCTGACGACAAAGCGCGCATTTACCAGCACAGAGAACTTCTTCCCGCCCACCAACCGGACAAGATCCTCCTCACCACCACAGAGGAGGGCGCTCGCCAATATCTCCAATACTGCCCTCAGCGCCGGTGGCCTCCGACCCCTTCCCCATTCATCTGCCTCAAGTCTAGGACTTCCCTCAAGACGTGCCTCTTGGCAGCCACAGAGAAGGACTGTCAAAGAGTTGGAAGCAGAATGCAATGATTCGGACGACGAACTGCCTGACGACGCGAGTCTCTGGAATGTGCCAGTGTCACCACATCTCTCGGGTCAAAGATCGCATCGATCGAGTTTCCGTGGCAGCCCGGAAAGAGAGCTCCAATCTTCCAGTCCACGCCCTATTCCTTTGGATCATGCGAAAACCGCCCCAGAGTCCCCACCCCGTTCGACTATGCATTCTCAAATCACTCCCAAAAACAGACAATCAGCATCGCGCTCAAGCTCCTTGACTCCCTCAGCCTCCAGTCCTTCGTCACCACGTAGGGCCAACAACCTCCGCAACAATGGAAGGACAAAATCATGGAATCTTGCCATGGCAGGTCTCAGTGAGGAGGCAAGGATCATCTCGGAGACTCTGGAATACCATGCCGAAGCTCAGCAGCAGGCACGGCTCGAAAACCTTGGCAATGACTCTTCGAGAGAAAGCTTGGAAACCTTCCCAGACGGCAAATCGACACGAAGTTCTAGTATTCAGTTACCACCAATTCAGAAAAGTGCCTTGGATTTCATGCCCATGTCAAAGGAGAAAGAGTCCATTCTGTCTCGCACAAGACCTTCGTGGCTACCACCAAAAGATCCGAAAGAAGAACGACGACATCTGAAGGAGTATCAACGGATGATGGCGGCATCCGTTGCAGCTGAGAAGAAACGTCGCGCAAAGCTGCAGGTTCAGCAGTGCGCGAAGGATGATACTAGGGAATCACTGAATCGAATCTGGCAGTATTATATCGAAGAAAGCACGGATCTTGCAACGATTGACAATCGGGTTAATGATCTCTGTTGGCGTGGCATTAGTCCCAACGTTCGTGGCAAAGTGTGGCAGAGGAAGATAGGGAATCCTCTTTCGCTCACCTTGAAGAGCTACGAAAAGGCATTGCAACGAGCGAAGGAGATCAGAAACCTGCCTAGCGAACAACTTGACCACAGCTCTAGGAGCATGGGACGCTGGTTTGTCGATATCGAAAGAGATGCCGAGACGGCCTTCCCTGAGCTCAAACTCTTCCAGAAGGACGGCCCACTCTGGCAAGATCTGATCGATGTTTGCGAAGCATACGCTTGCTATCGAAGCGATGTGGGATATATCTATGGGATTCAACTAATTGCGGCGTTGCTTCTGTTACAACTACCAACTCCTGCAGATGCTTTCATTCTGTTGGCGAATTGTCTCAACAGACCGATACCTCTCGGATTTCAGACCAACGACATGACCACGACTGGACGAACTTATAATCACGCAATCTCGACGCTGGGGATCAAGTTCCCTCGTCTTCACGAATACCTTTTTGGTTCGATGGAGCAAGGTGGCCTAGGCTTCCGGGGGGAAGAGGTTTTTGAACCCATGTTTCGCACCATATTTTCCAACGGGCTGGATGTTGACCGACTTTGTCGCATCTGGGATATTTGGATTTTCGAAGGTGACCGCGCCCTTGTTCGAGCTGCCGTCGCCGTGTTGGGAAGTCTCCAGTCCCAGTTGTTTGACATTCGAGGCGATGTCGACTTGAAAAGGCGTAACATTCAAGAGATGCTTGGATGGGGACCCTTCAACCGACAACCCAAGTCCGGTCATTGGAATCTACACACTCTAGGAGACGAAGAGAGGTTCGTCGAAGAAATACGTCTCGCCGGTGTTCTGGATTATACTGGCAAGTGATGATGGTTTAACGACGACATGTACAGACATTGTACAAAGAAAAGACTCTTTTCAAATGCATAAGGAAGGTATCTACTTCGACTTGCAGTTTAATAATCCATGACAGCATTTATGAGCAGCAGTTCAAGTCACAGGCAAATTTCGTCCGGTCCTGTTGAACAGCCGAGTGAAGAGAGCAGGACAGAGCGCATTCTTTTTTTTTGGACCAAGGTCGAACTTGGTATTCTATGTACTTTAATTTGTTTTGCACTTTGGGACATTAGCTTAGGATTAGTAGTTCCCATATCCGTTACGAGATCCAAGATATGACGAGGGAGAAGGCCAGAATATTATCCAGTAATTCATGACTCTGTGTGATCTGCGGGTTAGTTTTTTGGTTTTCCTTTTGATGATTTGAGGGTCGAATGAGGGTTGTTGTTTCTCGTCTTTTGACGCTTGAGCGTTGATTGCGCGCGAGGACCGTGTGAGGGTGGGTGGTAAACAAATTTATCAGAAGGGAGCCTGGACATTGGGCCGCCGCCGCCGACTAACTAGTCCGTGAGTGGTCCGGTCCATTTCCATACTCCGTACTCCGTGTCGGCGTCTGGAGTTTACGTTACCCGAAATCATCTCACCGTCGAGCGTGTCAGCAAGGTGCATGGGGGAGTAAAATTAACGCAAAAGTCCAACGACTGATAAGCGGCTTCGGGGCCCAAGAGTCCGCAAAGAGCTGACCCTTATATCCGGTGTGGCGGCTCAGAGTCAGCTGCCACAGGGGGTAGAGTCGACCGGAGAGGAATGTATAAAATTTACGTGGGTAGGTAGGTACGCGATCATCGATGTAGGTTGGTTTGTTTTCGGTGCCTGACGAGTTGTTTTTTTTTTTTGGTTCTCTTCTTTTCTCCTCCCTCTTGTTGAGTTTTGTATAAGATCAACAAATCAAATCTCTATGGTGATCTGAGCTGGAGGTGTCTTGATTGAGGGCTGTCAAGTCAACGCTTTTTGAATTCGAGATTCGAGATTCAAAAGGAAACAAAAAGCAAAGGACAAAAAGAAGTATCGGGGAAAATCGAGAGAGAGAGAGAGAGAGAGAGAGAGGGAGAGGGAGAATCACCGAAAAGAAAAAACCAAGAAATCCACCAGTCCGGGGGAAAAAAGATCTCACAATGGTCCATCTCATCTTGACGGGGGCAACGGGGTTGGTGGGCTCGGCGGTGCTCTCACACATCTTGTCATTGCCTGCCAGCGCGACTCCGCGCATCACCCGACTCAGCATCCTCTCGCGCAACACGGACATCTCGCTGCTCTCGGATTCGCCGCCCGCGGGGACGCCGAGGACGAACAAGCACACGACGATCGAGGTCATCGAGCACAAGGACTTCACCAGGTACCCTCCCGAGTTGCTCCGGCGTCTCGAGGGTGCCGACGCGTGCATCTGGGCTTTGGGAGTGAGTCAGAACGACGTGTCCAAGGACAAGTACGTCGAGATCACGAAGGACTACACGCTCAACGCGGCCAAGGCGTTTGCTGGACTTCGTACTGGTGGTGGCGGCGGGAACAGCGACGATAATAACAATGAAAGCACCACCAGCGCCGGCGGGAAGATGTTCAAGTTCATCTACGTGTCAGGCGAAGGAGCGACGCAGACGCCGGGACGCTTGACGCCCTTGTTCGGCCGCGTCAAGGGAGAGACCGAGACGGCGTTGCTCGATCTGGCCAGGGACAAGGACTTCCGGGGCAAGCTGGCCGTGTACTCCGCGCGGCCGGCGGGCGTCGACGGGACCAACCAGCCGTGGATATGGAACAAGATCCTCAGGGACCATCGGTCCACGGCTCAGAGGGTCATGTTCAAGAGTCTCTTGGGCCCGATGCGCGTGCTGGGCAGGGAGAGCTGGCTGAGTCCGACAGAGGAGCTGGGCAGGGTGCTGGTCGACATGGCGCTGAGTGACAAGGTCGACGGGTACGAGGGGACCGGCGTCGCTGGTGAAGAAGGTAGGATCCTGGGAAACATTGCTCTGAGGAGGCTGGCGAGAGAGGGAACTGTGAAGGCCAATTGAGGAGGAGAAGAATAAGAAGAAGAAGAAGACGACGACCACGACCACGACCACGACCACGACGTGAAGATGGACGATTTTGATATGAGACGGTGGAGGAGGAAGCTGAGTGTGAGGTGTACTAATAACGAACCCAGACGAATATATTTGTCGCGAGATTGAGCCGAAGAAGAAAAGGAGCAAGAAGATCACCACCTATTTCATTTTACTGTTCCTAGGGTAGCTAGGTATAACCACACCTGTTGAGAGGTTGTTACGCACACAGTGCTACCGAGATAGACATTGATTAGCTGTTCTCTCATGTCACTGTGTACCTTAAGGTATCTAAGTACTTGTCGGGGATCCTGTTGTAAGTCTAGATATCTCCTTCATACTCCCTCTTTCTCCCAACGTCATCTTGCTATATGGACTGGCTCCATGGGTATCGCATCTGACATATAGTATCCGGTACATACTCGTGACCAACAACCCCAAGAAAGACTTCCTTCTTCCCTTCCGTCGTCTAAGCTGGTCCATACGATCAGGCTTCTGGTATTGTTCTCTCACATAATCCGTAAATTGCATCACATACTCCACATGCAAAGCACATGCAACGCTCAAGGAAAGTCCAAAAAAAAAAGAAAACAAAGACTTAGTATGCAAAATAGTGGTGGTCCGACGCGGATCAACAGTTGATGCTCACGACATTCCCCAACCAAACAAGACAGCTGCAATTGTCACGCATATAGTGACAAACACTCTACTCACCCCGACTTCGACGGTCGAAGGGCCTCCGGCACTCGTCGTACTCGCCGTTGGACTCGCGCTCGTCGAACTCGGCGTGCCGCCCGTCGCTCCTTGAGTGGCTGCTTCTTCGTTGTACCCGCTGTCTCCTCCACTTCGTTCGGGGGCGACATTCTGCTTGAAATACCGATTGTTTCCTCCAACGATGTTCCCCGGTGGCCAGTATTCGCAGACCAGGAATATCCCGTCTAACCCGTTGGTGCCGTTGCAATTCGTCCACCCGCAGCCCGTGGACTGTGTGCTCTGCCACACAAGTTGGGTAAAGTGGCCGGTCTCCTCGGTGAAGCCGGTAGGGTTCGTACTGCTGAAGTTGTATAATGCGCGCTCATCGCCCCACGCCTCTACGGCCTGGGTGACGTTTGTGTATCCCCGGGCGAGGTTCTCGCCGTACGGGCCGTGCGAGTGTTCCCATACGCACTTCTTGGAATAGTTGAGCGCATATTCTGCCAGCGTCTCGTTCCAGTATATGTACGAGGCCGAATGCTCGTAGCGGTAGAAGTTTGTCGAGTTGAGGATCGAAGTGCGAAAGTCAAGACTGCTTGTGTATTGCGCCGAAAGAGGCCGCGTCGGTGCGGCCAAGGTATAGTAATTCGTTATCGTCGTCGCTATCACCTCGACGGTCGATGTCGGCGCCTGGGAAAGCCCAGGGAGAGCGTGAATGGACAAGGCGCCGAGGAAGAGTGGGAGGTGTGGTCGCATCGTGATTAAAGATTTTCCTTGTGTCCTCCTCTTTTTCCTCGCCGCCGTTCGGTTTTGGTGCTGATTTGGGATGGTTCAGAGGGACCGATGCATGATTTGCTCAATTTTCCCGCGCTTGTGGTAACGTATAAGTCGATTGTCCCTTGTTGTTCTCTTTGCGCTCTGCGTTCGTCGGCTGGGGTCAGCGAGTGGCGGCCAAAGGAATGTGCTTATGGCTGGAATGAAGGACGACGCAACGAGGGTATCCTGCAACAAAGACACATGGGATGGATCGAGAGGTGCGAAGCTGGAGCAGTGGAGGAGTTGGTCCCTTGAGCAAAGATTGAGGCTGAGCCATAAGCAAGACGAGAGTATTGCCCTACACCGTACCAGGCTTTCCAAAGCACCTACTGCTGAGACAGCGTTCTAGGCGACCTGCGACTGTGGGGGCCTTTCGCTCCCTGGTCAGTGCGACGTCATGTGTTTGTTCGCAAACCCCAAGCGCCCCAGATGCAGCTTACCGGATGGAGCCGATTCGCCGCCATGAAGCCCAGAAATAGTTTTAGAATAGTGGCTTTTAGTGGCTCTCCAGGGCCTGCAGTTGGATCCCTGGAGGCTGGAAGCACAGCCTAAGTTAGTTAGCCGTCGCCTCAATTGGGCGCCACGAACCTTGGCTCGCTCAGGCACGACAGCCCACTGAGCCCAGTACTGTAGCTACAATAGAAGTACCTAAGCTAATGGAACTCCAGTAAAAGCTCCGCACTGGGTACCGAGTGGCCGGTGCCATCGGCCGTCCAGATTGGGCAAAACGACAACGTCCAGATCTTGCCGTTGATTGTCGCTTGCTCTGTCGTCTCTTGATGTCTGAAGCATTCCCAAAAGAACGATGCTCAGCTCAACTCTGATCGCAACCATGCATGAACAAGCAATTCGTCTCTTGTCGTCAAAGAGAAGTATACCTGTGTGCAAAGCGCCACTCCGGCTTGACGTCCTTCGTGCCGATGCAGCTCAAAATGCCAAACGGAACAATGATGAAAGAAACGTACAAATGCAAGCAATGTTTCCCAGCTTCACTCTGCAGCACAGTCTGATAGATCTGCTCACCGCCCTGCCGGTGCCAGGGACGCGACGCGTATCGGTGGCGGTATAAACCACCTACTTCCTCTGCTATTCTGTCTGTGAACATGTCGCGTTTCGTCAACCACACTCTCAACACCCACGAAGGTAAAAATCATAGATCGTGCCCAACATGGAGCGAAACACCATTCCTGCGTCGCCAGAGGGTCTCGGCAAGTCTCGGCGAACATTACCTCCCCTCGCACGCATTCGATTCAATAAAGGTTCGTTCCATTCTTCTTACCCAGGATCACAACAAACTAACCCGTGAACAAGAGGAGGCACTCAAGAACCCTGAACAAAAGTCCCCAGATGAGTTCTCGAAACCACCAACACAACTAAGCCACTACGAACGACTGCGATTGCCCGGCGGCCCCGGATCTGGCACTCCTTTGCTTCCAACTCCAAACGCGCTAGATACCTGGGCTTCTCTACAGAGACACACAGAGAATTGCATGAAATTTCTCACGCCTGAAATGTCTTCAACTCCGGGCAGGGAGAGAAAGTCCTTCCAACCCAGACTTCAGGCTCCTCCAGGAAGCGAAGATGGAAGCGAAGTTGATCCCCAAAACCCTTACCCTCCGAAAGGAAACGCGTTGGTGCGGAATCCCTTCACTGGAAAACGTAAGTCCGCAATATCATGTCCTCCCGCAGTTTGAGGAATACTACTGACATTTTGCTTTCTATCTATCCAGTCGAGAGGAGAGAAGGACTCGAAACTAGATACCAATCTCAAAAGGAAGCGTGGGAGAAGAAACAGCGCGAGAAGATGCAAGAGCTAGAAGCAAGAGCCCCGACAGAGCGCGAAACTCCTAATCTTGCGGACAATGACAAAGACACCAACGGCAATACAACTGAAGCTGGAAATGCCAATGTCCTCGAGCATACCACCGGTATCCAAAAGAAGGAAGACGACTCTCCGAGCCACGACGCACCAAATGATGCCGATCTCAAACCTGTCATGACCACTGAGCATGTAGGAAATCCCAACGTCCAGATACAGGTCCATGGTGATGGTGATGTCCCTAAAGCTGGAAATGCCAATGTCCTCGAGCAAATCGCTGGTCTCCAAGAAAAAGAAGACGACTCTTCGAGCCACGACGAAGCAAATAATGCCGATCTCAAACCTATCATGACCACTGAGCGTATCGGATATCCCAGCGTTCAGATCCAGGCCCATGGTGATGATGATGTCCACAACGGCGACGCTTCAACCAGCCCTGCAAGCGATCCTGTCCACCCACCTACTACCACCACTGAAGTCCCAAAAATCACTATCACCAGCTCTGACGACGATGAGGGCAGTGACACCGACACGGTCGCCGCCAGTGATATGCAGGAAGACGACGACCGCACCCGCACCCACACCGGCCAAGACTTTGTCGCGGCTACCCACCACATTCCCATCGATGAGATGTTGGTTCGCGAATTCGGCAACCGCCATATCTGGCTTCAAGTCCACCAGGACGCCGTGACTCAGTGGGCGCTCAAGCGCAAACTCGTCCTCGTCCTCCTCTGCCAGCTGGCCTGCCTGCACAACCACGCGGCCCCGAGGATCCAGGAGCGCCAGCGTCTCCTCGTCGGCAAGCCGCTGCTCATGGTCATCAACCACTTGGCGTGGGTCCGATACGTTGATCGCTTCCCCGTCTTCACCGAACGAGTCATGAAGTACGTCGCGTGGCTCGAGCTGCTGGAGAGCGAGTACGCACGGGGCGTACCGCACTGGGACATGTTCTGGTCCGCGGTTGAGCGCCGCGTGGCCCCCGACGAGGGCGTCCTCGAGGCGCTCAACCGGCTCAACGACAAGAGGTTGTTCCTCCACGGAAAGATCCTCCTGGAGGAACACGTCGTCGGGGATCTCACCTCTGAGATCGAGAACACTCCAACCTGGATGGAGTGGGCCGAGGCAGAGGCCGAGGCAGCCGCAGACGAGGAGTAGGTCTGCCGTTTGTTCTGTTCTGTTCTGTTTTGTTTTGGGGGGCGTTGGTGGGGGGGTGGCCGGTGTGCCTGCCGCGCTGCAAACAATGCAGCAGATGAGAGACGAAAAGTTGATGATTGAATTGTTTTCTTTTCTTTAGTTTAGCTGTCTTTTTTTTTCCCTTTTCCTTTTTTTTGTGTTTTAGAAAATAAAGAATGTCAAAAGTGTTTCACTCATCCTTTAGTTGTTTGTTAGTTGAACTTTGATTGCCTTCTGAGTACTCTCATCCGGCCCTCGTCTGGGTACGCACGTGGTGACTACCATTTCTACTCCTAGGTGTGCACTGTGCTTGACATCCACGACCTCCCTTATTGTCAACGAGTGCGGGCTTGTATCTCTTTCCTCGATGGTTCACCGCGTTGCAAACGTAGTATACCCACCCACTCATTGCGGTCCAAGAGTTCGTCGTATAGATACTAGTACCCTCCCTACACATTAACTAACCATAGTGGTAATCTCTGAATCGTATGTCATCATCATGTCGTACTCTCATCACATTGTACCAAACGATTTCTCCCGTCGCAGCTGTGCGTGACGCTATCCTGAAGCAACAACCCCACGAAATTGACATTGACGTGAGCTTCGCGGCCTCGCCGCGACCACCAGGTACTCAACCGAACATTGCCTTGCAGGCAGACGCCGTTATCGGATCGGTCATCACACTCTCGAATAAAGTTCGCTTTACATGACAACACAGTTATCACCCTTGACTTTTCCTTCTACCCTGGCCTTGACCAGTAGCCAGTCGCTTCGACGCTCAGCGAACTCGACCACCTCTTCGACCGTGAACACGCCTTTGTAACGCTCCCCATCCGAGATGATGGTCGCCATCTCGGCGACGTCGCGCTCACTCTCTCCACCAATCAGATAGATCTGCGCCACCTCTCGTAACGCCGTGTAGTAGCTTGTCAGGTTGTTGTTGCGGAACTGTGCCACAAAGTTCGCGTAGGCCGTCAAATCAGAGAGCAACGCCAGCGCTCCGAGCGTCGAGATGCGTTGTCTTTTGATATGTTTCGCCACCGCGGTGAACAGGCGAAGGCCCACCTCGGCGGTGAAGACATCCAGGAGACTCTTCTCGGTCGCACCAGTAAGCATACGGGTATGGTGGGAGACGAGTGCAATCACTCGCGACGCCGTCGTTGTGGGCTGACCGGAAAAGTCCATGACCATCATGTTGGCTTTGGTTCCGGAAGACTCATCGGCATTGGCCAGTTCCGGGTAAAAATCCGTGGGCTGTTGTGTAGTGGCGCAGATGTACTCTACTTCGTTGATGAGGGCGTCGATGCCTTTTCCCAGTCCCGCGGCGACACGTTCGTCGAGCATGGCTTCGAACTTGCGCTTCTCTTTGACGTTGATGTCGAGAAAGTCGTCGCGCTTGGAAATGCCGAGACGAACCAGCTCCGATTCATAAAACACGTCGAGCATCTGCTGGATAAGATCGCCGACATTGACTAATTCAAGAAACGTGCCTAGAGGAGCAACCTGGACGATGTCGTTGTCTGGGTTGGGACTGGTCTCGCGTGGGTTATAGGCTGATAGATGGTCGATGGCCTTGTCGAAACCTGCTTTGACATGGCGCGCACCGACAGAGTGGAGGAGCAGCACAAATATTGCAGAGCACTGCTTGCGTGCTGACTCTCCTGGCTCACCGATCAAGCTCGTGAACTGGGCGGCGCGCTCTAGGGAAGATTTAGCTGCGTGGACCAGGTTGAGGGCTACCTCTATTGAGAAGAGGGATTTGATGTTCTCTAGCTTCCTGTTCATCAGAGCTGCTTTAGCTGCTAGTTCGGACGATGGCGCTTCGGGTGGCAAGGCCGAAGTTGCAGTTGAGGACATGAAAAGGCTAGGGGTGGATGGTCGAGACGGAGCGGCGCTTTCTCCATTCGCGAGTGTTTTGGCGGCACTTTTCGGATTTGCCGGCGCTGAGAAGCTGGGAAGAATATTCACCGGCATCATGACCACTTTCTTGAATGACGACATGAAATCCTTCTTGTCGGCCTGCCGGTTGGCATGGGACATGAGAAAGCTTTCCGAAGATGCGTCTTGATCTGACAAGGCTCGATCCCAGCGTTCCACTTCCGCATCAGCCTTTTGCCGGAAAAAGGCCAATTCTTCTGCCAAATACTGATCAAGAAGAGGGCCATATATCCGTGTGAGAATTGAGTTGCAGCGTGCTATTGTGGCCTCGTCGGCATGTCCTATCAGAGCAACTTCGTCAATGAACTGCCTAGTGGCCGCAAATGTGCCAGACATAATCCGTAGGGATAATGAAGTGCTTCTTGTCCTGGCATCTTCAAACAAGGATGACAGGAAGGGCAAGAGGATGTCCTTCGCCACCTCTTCAAGGAGCAGCATGCATACTTCTTGGGCGTTTGGAAAGACAGCTTGCACGATAGCACTTTGCTGACCGAAGGCCGTCCTAAGTCTTTCAAAATAGGCGTGCACCCTTTCCAACGAAAGCTCGCCGTGACCTAAAGAATAGTCGATACAATCGGAAACGCTCCCAAGCGTTCCCTTTTGGTTGATGAGCTGGTTGTCATGTATGAATAAGTCGACGGCACTGCTTCCACCATTCAAGATATATAAGACACGTGCAAATTGCCGCATTTTCCCCTGAATATCCTTGTATTCGTAACCTTTGCGAAATTCGAGTAACGCCGCGGTATCGAACATATCCACAGCCTGCTTGATTTGTCGTTCTCGTTTAGTTGATTCTGGAGAGAAATCACTGGCAGCGAACTGCCTGACATTGGCCAGCAGTTGTGCTTGTTGCTCTGGTAAAGAGAAATCCGTGAATACAGTACTCTGCAAAGGATTCGACGTAGTAGCCAGGTCTCGGTAGAACGGTGATAGCAGTTTATATATCTTGCCATATTCTTGCCTAGCGTGTCCCCTGACTGACCTCACATGCTCGAAGACGGATAGAGCCGCCTCGGGAGCGCCATAAACCCCTTGAGGGGGGCCTTGTGAATTTGCCATTTCGGCCTTGTCGAAACCATCAGTGCCCGACTGCGGCCGCAGAGAAGACTGTAGATTCGTCTGTCTGCGCTGTGTGACAGGAGATGATTCCATGTCGAACAAGACTTCCGGTTTGCCTTTGCCATTAACCACATTTCGATCTATCGTACTCTGTCTCCGGTCTACAGAGGTGGATGTCGGCGCACTCTCTGCTCTTTTCCTTGCTTCGGCCTCATTCCAACAGCCCATAGCCTTCAGCCGCCGGACCCATCTGCCATCCTCGTAGACCATCTCACCCATGCGCCGTGAGGTACGCGCGAAACGCAGCAGATCGGGGACATCGAGGTAGTCGACCACCACGGTCAGAATCTCTAGAAGACTTTAGTACCTGCAAGAGTGCGCAGAACCCAATAAAGTCTTACCTGCGGGGAGTAATGGCTTGGATATGAGCATGTCGGCCAGCTTCAACGAAGCCAGAGGATCTCGGCGAGGAGCCTTGGTTGGTGCGGCCGCCCTCTTTGCTCTCGACATGACGGGCGAAGATGTTGTTGTCGTGGATATTTCAGGTGATGCCTGAAGTTGTTCTCACCTTCCCGCTCTGCATGCACGTCTTCGGCGACCGCATGTGTAGACAGAGACGGTGACCCAAAGATGACTTCATGAGAAATCGGGCCCTTTAGTGGACATGGGAGTAAGCCAGATATCCTTACGCAGTTTGAGTTCGTGGTCCGAAGCCCATGTAGCATGAGTTCAATATGTCCGCCAAAACCTCGGCAAAATAGCGCGTTTTCGGTCGATCGACGGGCACGACAGCATCAACTTCGATCTCTACAAATACACCGCATCGGGCGTTCACTTACGCCTTGTCTCTAGAGTGTTTCTTCTTTGGCTGAAGACCTCAATCATCGCGTCCTCAAAGGCACAGATGGCATCCAAATGACCTCACAGATGACCAAGGGAGACGACCGCCCTCCAAGCAGTAAGTACGGACCTAGGACTATGACGGGACGCAGATCAATTTTGCGCATTGTTTTCACACCCGAATGGTGGTATCTGTATCGAAGTCGACAGGACTGGGCAGGTCTATCAAACAAGCACTCGGTACCACGGCAGTTTCTTCTCTGCAGGACGAAGTTCTTTCTCCCTTTCGATTATCTCGATTTCAGACAGATCTATCTCCCTGAGTGGGATGATACCTGTTCGAAGAAACAAGAAAGCGCTGGCCCAGAGGACTGTCGACGTTGTTAGCTTCTCTTTGAGCAGGACATGGGCTTCGGGGATCTCACAGAGAAAGATCGGAATACCGATGTAAGAGACAAGAAAGCTGTCAGTGTCCCAGTGTCCGTGTAAGAAGACACTGTACCCCGAGAACAGGATGATCAAAGCGAGCAGAAGCGTAGTTAACCAGGCCATGTAAGGTTGCAAGGGTGACTTGTAAGGGAGACCTTACGTTCGTCAGTCACAGTCTCAAAAGGCACGTTGCTCACTTACGTTCTCGAGCGATTCCCTGAGCCTTGAAGGCATAGAAGAATCGCAGATATGTTATCTCAATGATGAGCCAGGCAATCAATGATGCCACGGTTGCGATATTGACAAACCATCCAAACGCCACAGAAGAGTTACTGCCCAGACTGAGGTAGACCAACGGCAAAAATAAAGACGACACAATTACTGCGGGATATGGGGCGCCGAGTCTATTGGTTTTGAGAAAGATGCGAGGTGCCTGACCCTCTTCTGCCAGACCACACAGCACACGAGATGCCAGGAACACGACGGCCATCCCACAGCTGAAAGCAGAAGTAACCAAAGCCGCGTTGATGATCGAGGGAAGCACTTTGATCCCGGCTCTCTGAAACGCTATGACAAATGGACTCTGTTGTGCCGTCCCAGTTGCATTTCCCAAGTTAGGGTCGTTGTAGGGTCTGGTCATTGTCAGCTTTCACGTGTGGCAGAATCATGTTGGACTGTATCTCACACCAAAAGACCAACAACGAACATGCTGATACAATAGAACACAATGATCCGCCAGAACGTCATCTTCATGGCCTCGGGAATGAGCTTTCTCGGGTTCTTGGTCTCCGCGCCCGTTAATGCTACGACCTGGATATTGCAAAAGGCGTACGCTGCGGAAATAAGAGTGCTCCAGAAACCCAAAAATTTGCCGGTATTTCCCCCAATAAGATAGGCGTTGAATGGACCTGGATCTTTCCAGTATCGGAATCCAATTCTGTCATGTGTAGGCGAGCCTCCCAAGTCGACTATAATCCCAGCGAGGATAAGGCCGATGATGAGCAGAATCTTGATCATTGAGAAGAATACCTCCGACTTAAGTAGGTCAGCGACAGATACGAACCCATTGCCGAGGACTCTTTACCTCGCCATATACTCGTACTCCACAAAGGCTCATGATCACGATGAGAACAATGAAGATCGAATACCATAGTGCAGGGCTGACGTCCGGATGCCAGAAGTTTATCAATGTCGCGGCAGCGGAGAGTTCGGCCGGACCAGTGACGGCCATCAAATAGACTACCGGAAAACACAATGGTGAGTCCCTGAACCATAACACCGAGTTTGTCGAGCTTCTTACAATAATTCCAACCCGTGGCGGCACCCATCGCAGGTTGGATGAATCTTGAAGCATGCCTAATGAATCCGCCTGTGACTGGCATGAATGCGGAGAGTTCGGCAATCGTCAACGACACCGACGCTGTCAACCCGCTCATTACTAGGTATCCAAAGAGAGCTCCCACTGGACCGGCGACAGATAGAGCCTGGCCAGATGCTAGGAACAAGCCGGTGCCCTTGACCGAATGTGTGAGCAATTGAGCCTAGTATCAATTGTCAAGAACATACTATCATTCCAGCGAGGCCTATCATATTGATATGGCGCCTTGATAGATCTCTTTTCAATGTTGCCTGTCCATCCGTGCTTGCCACTGCGTCGAACTGGGTTTCGTCTGGGCGGTAAGACTCGCCGACCTCAGCGGTTTTGCTGCTGGAGGATATATCAGCCATCTCTGCGCAGCTTCAGGATATTCCGGACGCCGAAGTGTCGAAGGAAGCGATGTTGCTTCCTGGGAGACAAGAAGAGATTCCAACATTGTACTTGTACATTGTGGATGCTCGCTTCATGATATGGCATGACCTCGCCTGGATCGTTGCCTCTTCAAAGAGGGGTCGTTTCTCTGCAGTTTTGGGCAGTTTGCATGTTAAGGTGAGTTTAGTGCGCCGGTCAATATGTGACTCGATAAGCATAGTGCGTGGAGCCCAATTGGCTACAAATCACCGGCTTTCCGGAGTTTTTGCTGACCTTGTGCGAGCCGCAAGTCCTTGTTCTCTCTCAACCCGAAGAGCAAGACGGCGTACGGCTGCTGCTCTGCATCGGTATGTGACTCTGGATAATCTTCAGACTTTGGCTTGTCTATTACTCCGTTGATGCAAAAGTTAAAAGACAATCGTGGAGCTGACGCCCTGGGGTTCCAACGGCTATTCCTAACATGGAAATACATCGAGAAACACCGAACAGTCCCAAGCCAGCCAGGTATGGCCCGGGCCGCAAGCCCCAAGAGGATCTGGTGACTTCCAGCTAACATTGGATAGGGCGAAGGCTTGCTTGGAATGCCGCAGGTTGAAGATGAAATGCCGTCCGGTGGCTGGCAACACAATATGCGAGCGGTGTAGACAGAAGTCAATGGACTGTATCTTCCATGAGAAGAAACGTGGTCGCAAACCAGCAAAGTAAGACACTAGCTCTACCTCCAATGCTGCTCGCACTTACACCTTGGGAAGCCATAACAGGCTTGCTCAACATAGTGCACGACAGATTGCTTCCCGACCAGCTCTACCATCAGGCTCCGTTGCAGACATGAAGGATGTGGATCATGTGCGCACATATGATTCGGCGTCCTTGGATCAAATGTCGCCCGGGAATGCTTCAGAGGATGAAGATCGAGACTTTTTAGCCGACTCAGAAGGATTCCAACCGTCTGGCCTCTTGAACAAACAGGCAACAACAGGGGCCTTTTCACTCAAGAACATTCTGAGCACGAGCCCTAACGTTGAGCACAACACATCCAAAGATACTGCTACCATCCCAGAGGATGATCCGGTAAGGAAGAATATTGTATCCTATCATATCGCAACTTCTCTATTTGAAGGGTGTGTCCTGCCTTTTGAGCCACGGATATATGATCACGCATTGACCATTATTACAGATTCATGAAGAATTTAAACCCTTTCATTTGTGTTCTGGATCCGGAGCTATATACTTTTGAGTATGTACGCACACGATCGCCATTTCTGTTTGCAGTCATCCTCGCTGCATCGGCCAAAGCATTCAATCCACCGCTATACCTAGACCTCCATAGATACGCAGAAACCCTGTATGGGAATGCTTTTTGCAGGGGTGAGAAATCCCCTGAGATCATCCAGGCATTCATTATCAGTACTTATTGGAAGCAACCGGACGATACTCGCTCGTGGTCGGTCATCGGCTACGCCATCAGACTTTGCATGGAGCTAGGATTCCACAAGCTTGTCTTCGATCCCAAGTATGCCGATCCCGAAACACCTGAGTTTGAGGTACGGCAGAGGAGAAATATCGAGCGTATATGGCTTCTGCTGTTTGTCTATGATCGGAGGTAAGACCGCTCAGAATGCATGATGAGGTTGCCGCTTGGTGATCTGAGGATTGTTAATCATTCGTTAGTATGAGCCTCCAAACGGGCAAACCATGGATGATCGAAAGGAGCGAGTTCATTGAGTCCGTGAACACCTGGTACCGAAACCCAATGGCGATCTCGAATGATGCTATGATGGCCGCCTTGGTGACCTTGAGAATTGCCTCTGCTGATATACTAGAGGCATTCAACCCTCAGCGACCTGCACCCTCGATGATACAAGCATATCGTTTCGATTCTTTGTTGAAAACCCACAGTATTCAAATCGAAGCTTGGAAGAAGCACTGGGTGGAAATAACTTCTGATAGGGGTAGATGCTCCCTGCAACCAAATTTGTTCGTCAAGATCTTGCTGACGATGACAACAGAACGCTGCCACCCGTTCCTCGTCTCGTTCTTTGGTACCCACCTATCTTTGCTGCTGTACTCGTTCAAGCTTCAAGGATCTATCGCATCGCCTCTAGGGGCATCGTTGGTAGATACTGAGGCTTTTTGGATCACCTACACCAGTGCTTTGGAAATGCTTCAGCTAGTGTCGCAGCCTGCCCTTACGGCACTTCTGAGCTTTGCGCACGACTCGATCCACACGATGACGGCCTATGCAGCCGCATTTCTCATAAAGTGAGTTTTAGAGGTTCCGAACTACGACCATTATTCTAGTCATGTTTCTCAGAACGAGACTACTTCGTGGTCAAAAAAATAACATTCTCCTAGGTTGCTTCTGTCTGTTAATGTTACGATCCGAAAACAATTTGAGAACACCGTTATGAAAACGATTGATCAAGCAGCAGCAATCTTTGCACAGCAGTCGGCACCACCGACTTTTGGCTGTGCTCTGCAAGCCAACTTCCTCACGAACGTACTTCGAGAGTATAAAAAGGCTTGCCACCGACGTTCGCAACCGCGTAAGGTAGCAGAAGACGTAACCAGAGCGCAGGCTCCCTCTTCTGGCGGCGTAACAGACATGACTCCAAATATGAATCAGGCAGAGCAACGACAGTCGACTTTCTTGACTTGGAATGAGCATGTCCGGCCGCCGCCAATTGCCACGAGCAGCGGCCGAGATGTTGGTGATGGACAATTACGAGGAACAGCATCAGCAAATTTTGCAAGGCACCGAGGTATAGATATCAGCGAATCCTTCACTGGAGATACAAATACCTCCGCGAACAATTTGGTCTTTTACAACGATGAAGATTGGAGTGCTATTTTCGCAAATGCCGGCTTCAATATCACCGGCGGGGTGTTCATACCCGGTTGAGTTGAACGGAAGGACATCGAGTGGGAACACGGCAGTTGTGCAACTTCATCGAGGTCGTCAAATACGCTGGGTTGCCCATCTTAGTTGGCTACGCTTTCATCATTCTCAAAACGCCTCTTTGGGAGCAACCAACTTCTGCCTCAGCTTCGATCTCAACTAACATTTGGTCTCCGACCAGACCAGCAGTCACAAGAGTATTGGCAGGCAAAATGCCCGCGTTCGAGAAGACCGAGCCATGAGCTCGGCTGACTTCTTCACACATTCGAACATCCCGGACCAGAATGCGGGTCCTGACCACATCAGAAAGCGATGACCCAAGAGCCTTCAAAGCCCCTTCAATAATGTCCAGAATACGGATTGTCTGGCTGTGAGCACTGCTTCCGCCGATGACTGGAAGGGTGGCGATTGGCGAGTTCGACGTCGTTCCGGACACACGTATATTACCTGCTATTCTTACCGCTCGACAATAACCCTGTAACAGGGTGTCAGCACGCGACATCGGGGTGAAACCTTTCTCCGATGGCCTCGAATCGCAACCTACCGCAAGTGGCTCCCATTCACTTCCAGATTGATATTCTATCCTTTTTCCGTCAGACAAAGCATCGTGTAACTGCTTTTCCTGGCTTGTATCCTGCGAAAAGTGATCACTCAAGTCTCCGGCCGCAGTCAGAAACGGAGGTCTTCTGTACTCGTCGCCACAATCGCCGGGCATATCGCGAAGGCCACTTTGAGCCTCGTGAATGAGGTCCAGATCATCTTTGGTCAATTGAAAAGAGAAAGCCTCCAAGTTCCTGGAAATGTGCGACCGAGAATTTGCTGACAGGCGTGTTCCAACAATGACAGCCTTGACCGATGGGATATCCAGCACGAACCTAGTGGCGACGGCTGGAATGGAAACTCCATGCCTTTGGGCCACGGCGCTCAAAGCTTCCAGGACGGTTTGAAAGGGCCCCCAGCCTCCGGCTTGCCATATGAATCTCAGATACTTTTTCAAACTCCAGTTTAATTGATCAATATCGGCGGGTTCGGGCTTTCCCAGCCATGTCTCACTCAGAAATCCGCCTAGAAGGGTCCCGTACGCCAGAACGCCAACGTCGTACTTTAAGCATACGTCATTCAGCCGCCCGCGCGTTAGTCGCCGGTCGATCACAGACGTCGAGATCTGGTTGGTAGCGATGGGAAATCCGGAGTCAAGGAGCATTTGAAGATGTGCTGCATCTGTGTTTGTTAGGCCTATCAGTCCGATCTTGCCTTGTTTCTGTAGACTCTGCAAGTGAGTCAAATTGTGAAGATATGTGTCGTCGGAAAAATCCCAAGCATGATCTGGTGCCCGACGTCAACTCAAGACCGTTTGTGGAAGAGCTTCCGAGAAGGGTCACGAACATTGCAATAAATCGATTTTCTGCTGGCCCATTCTGCTCAAGGCGAGGTCGACTGCTGCCTCGGCGTTTGCGAAGGTCTTGATGCCGTTTTCCTTTGGACACCACTTCGTGAAAGCCACTTTTCTGGTTCTTGATGTCCTGCCGTGGTGGCCAATGACAAGTTCTGCATCCGCCGTCAGATAACTCCCCTGCGATTGCATACACTTGCCTGCATCGCCGTAGTGATCCGCCATGTCGAACGTGTCAAGGCCATATGTGATTCTGTTGCGGGTCAACCATGCTCGCTCCCCCCTTGAGAACTTGTGTGCAGCAACAGCAGTGAGAGACAGACGACAAAAACTTACGTGTCCTCCATGACAGTGGCAGCTGTTGGTATATCCACGGTCTTGTCATGACCTCCTGCTAGTTGCCAGAGACCGTTGACCATTCGAGCGATCTCCAGTGTGCCTCGGATCGCAGTCCGCTCGACGACAGGGGGCTCTCTCGATCCCATTTTTGAACATGTACGGGTGTGTGAAGGTTATCGATGAAGACGACGGATACGTGTGTATACCTAGATTGTCTTTCCCTTGGACGACGACGGAGTTCACTGCAACTTGACCTTTAGACCTTTTGGTTACCTCGCCTACCGAACCGAAAAATCGAAAGAATCAGGCCCGGGGACGTGGTACGCTCACTTATATGCCTTCTTGTTTGGGCATGGAGCGGCAGCAGATGGCACCAATGCAATGGAGATTAGCGAGGCTTGCAATGTTTCATTCGAGAGGAAAACGAGAAGACGAAGAATTTCTCCGGGACGGTCACCTGGGTTGGATCAGTACTGGAGACGGAAAAAGTCCAGAGTGGTTTTGAGTTTCTGCAATTGTCCGGTCTCTCGCAGTGAAATTCACCGGCGACTATCAACACCACTGTCATAGGGAGTGGACGACACGGATGTCAAGTTATAGTTCGAGTGGACTCCGTCGCCACGAAGGATGATGGAGGAAACGCGGGCTCGAGGGCGAACGGCTAGCTGCCAGCTGCCTAGTTCACGCTTGGCGGGCGCACTGGGCCGGGACAGTACAGGTACGCAACCGTCAACAGTCCACTGAAAGCTTGAGAGGTCCATGAGTAAGTGAGTAAGAAGTATCCGTAGTACGGACAGCCACCACGGAATGAGGGACGGATGCTCGTCTAGTAGATGACAGGTCGGATGGGGAAGTCGTAGGCCATTTCCCGTCGGAGTACGGAGCGTGTGAGTGGCGCGCGCGAGGTGTGAGAACGACTTGGGGGTATTAACTAGTTAGTACAGTAGGATGTGAGATTTCTCGTGCAGAGGATACCTGAGATACCTGTAACTTAAGTTAGTGTTCCAAGTTACTTAGGCAGCCCACTAACTAACTAGCCTACTCGTAGTGAGCCTAGGGTCTGAAGACGCCTCGGCATTTAGGCTAAATCAGGGGTGCTTGGGGTGCTTGGGCGTCTCATCGGCCCTGGACACGCTTAAGCTAGTGGGCTACGAGAACTGGTACCTACGGCAGGTACCTCCCTTACCATGGCAAAGTATAGGTATGCAAGTATCCCTCATCATGTAGATATTATTCAGTCCTGCAGAAATCTCATCTACCATCAAGAGCAATAGGTGAGGTCGGAACATGCTGCGGCCTACGATTATAAGGTTGGCAATTCATTGAACAGGGCCCGTGATCCTGCTTGGACACTGTTTCGCCGGCTTCGAAGCGTTATGAAGGTTTGTACCTGCTTCAACATCACTCTGCCAATTTACATATGTCGCATTTCAGTACAGTCCTAACTGTCTAGACCCTTTACCGAAGCCCACGCCTGTACGATGCTCGTTATCGTCGAAATCAACGTCAGCCACAGAATGACCAGTGCCAACCAGAATGTCCAGAACTGCTGAGGATTCCGCCGGTCCCGCCATAGCTGCGCCCAACTTGCCGGAGGAGCCAGAAAAACTACATCATGAAGCTCCATCAATCGATCTCGCCAATATTGGAATTCGGCAAGATTCAACGTTGGTGGCCCGTTATAGGGCCCTGCTTGCTGGAAGGTCTGTTGGTGTTTTTTGAGCAACGCATTGGTGCTTTGATCCCATTGTGGAAAGAGGATATTCAGACTCCATATAGTCTCTACGAGCAGCTGTTCGGGCAGGGGACTATCCAACGTTAAGAACTTGCGAATGTTCCACTGGGATCACTGACCTTTGAATACTTGAACCGCCATTCTGATAGGAGTTCAGGTGAGCCTGAAGCAATCCCTTGTACGAGTATACCCTCAAAGCGTTATGGCGTCTATCAAGTCTCAGGTGATCGGCCAGACAATCTGTCCATTCGAGCTTCAAACCACAGATGTCCACCATGAACACTGCTGTGAAGGAGGGATGCAACCGACTGTCTTTGGCTTCAATCTTCCACCGTGAAGTTGGGAATGCTTCGGCCACGAACTCTCGCAATGTCTGCTTGTCACTCCAATGCAAGAGATATGTTTGTGGAGCATGCAACAAAGCTTCCGACTCGCGGACGTTCAGCATCAGCCACAGTCTCACAAAAAGACTTAGTGTTCTCGACGCCGCAGCATCGGTACCGGGATATCGTGCCTGGAGTGCCTGGATGAGATTTGATTTGGTGGCCACAACCGAACGGAAAACATCTACTATTCCAATCAAGTCTGCGTGTTTGGTCACAAGCAATTCATGCCTTGATGATGTCGATCCCAAGGTACCAAATCTCAACATTGCCAGTTCTCGTTCATAATAATCGAAGTACTGTTGTGAGTGATTGTGGTTTACTCTCCCAAGGCTAGTGCCAAATAATGCCTGGAATATCTTTTGTCTCGTATCAAGACTCGGCTTGTGATCAAGGCTTTCAGGGGGTACTGCCATCAATGACTAGATCCGGTCGAGCAGCTGTCCAAGTCGGCAAAGGTGAAGGACCGAACGGAATCAACCTTTCCCGCCATCCACCTTATATGTGTCCAAGTCCGATAAAAGGGAAACACGAGGCGGTGGCTTAGGCCCGGCCAGAGTCGACCAAATCCGCCTACTTTGACCAAAGTTCGACGATGAATTGCTCTTTTGCTGTATTGCGTACATGTCATTGGCCGCATTTGATGAGGAGGCGTTTACAAGTTTCATATTCTGCAGCGCCCCCGGCCACCGAGGCTCAGCCTGACCGCGGACCCCATCCGATCCAACATACCCCCTTCTCGTCTTCCAGAAAGTACCATCAAAAGCCTCAAGGCTTGAGCCATCTTCCTCCAAGTTCCAACGATCTTCAATCTGTCACGGTGAGCGCGGGCACTATGCTTCCCATTCATTGAGCACAATGGAAGCACTCCGGCCAAGGACAACCTCGACCGTTGATCGCAATTTGACATCCGAAAAGTTCACGATAGGGTTCATTCGAGTAATTGATCTTTTCAGAGGTATTAAAGTACCGAACAATGAGCCAGTCCCACAACCACGAACCCGCCTACCGACAACAAATCCACACGAAAAACTTGCGCCACCGCTTTGTATCAACGGCCACCGCGCGCTTCCTCTAAGCAAAGCCGTCTATGCATTGCCTTCAATGGTGGTGCCGGATGAACATGTTGAAGTCTGGGAGAACGTCATACGAGAACGTCTCGTAGACGAACTTCGACTGCATTTCCGGAGCCAGAAATGTCAGCCTGAGTTCTTAATGGTTTCAGATGCCTCGTCCAAGATCGGTCCGTGCATCTGCTTGTCCGTGTGGGATGATTCTTTGTGTAACACGGAAGAGGGAAGGAAGAAGACAATTAAGGATGCTAACAAGATTGTCAGAAAGCTACAGACTATGCAGCAATGTCCTTTCCCCTTTAAAGTCATAGCAGACAAAATCTCTCTAGCCACTCGCAGCTCCGGGCGTAGCAAGTGTTCTGTGGAATCTCTTGAGGGTCCTCTGCTTGAGAGATCCAGCCTGGTGGGTCTGGAGCTCAGTGGTGGTGCTGACGAGCGCGTTTCTTTCAGGCTTGGTGGCTTGGTTCGAGTTGGCTCAAAGATCTATGGCCTTACGGTTGCGCATCCATTCATCCGCCGACAACAGCAATATTTGCGACCTGCGGCAATAGTTCAGGACACTCGCGAACCCTACGACTCGGACTCGACGGATAGTGACTGCGAGGAGGACAAGCTCTTCCGCTCACAGCACCCAACAATCGCTGCTGAAGTGGCTATGAATCAACAGGAGGTAGTGCACACGTTTCAGGACGAAACTAATCCCACCTTCCAGCCTCTTCAGCCAGATAGCGACCGCCTGGCGACCTCGGCACACTCCTCATCCAGCAATGTGTCTACCACTTCTTTCGGCGAGGTCTATACATATAGCAACTGGTCCAGCAAATCAGACGTTACTGGTGATTGGGCGTTAGTAGAGTTGCAAGACGATGTACCGGTGCTGCCTAACCTATACAAGGCACAACGGGATGGCAGTGTGGTGCAGATAGATGGTATCAGCACGAATGGTCTGCAGCCACAGACAGCGGTTACAATACTAACCGGCTCCAACCATCTCTTGCACGGTGTGCTCGGTCAAAGCAACGTCAAGATTTCGGTAGATGGACTAAATCTTACTGTTACCCAGATCATACTGCAAAGACCCCTTGGTACGTGCATCTCCAAAGCATCAACGTGGACACAATCAGCATTGACTGACATTGTCGTCTAGCTCCTGGATACTCCGGGTCTTGGGTCGTCAAGGATGACTTGTTTGTTGGTTGCCTCGTCGCAGTGCGGAGTTTCTTGCCAATCGCTTACATGGTCCCTGCTTCATCAGTAATTCAAGAGATTGGGGAATCTCTCAACTCGACGGACGTGGGATTGGACGTATTAAATGCTTCTGCAGAGGAGCCATCTGGGCCTTCGCACCATACTAGAGAGCAAGTTATTGACGTGGACCTCAGCGGCTCGACGGAAAGTGTGCAGCATTCTCCAAGACCAGACCTTGATCTTAGGAGTCTTGAGATCCCTCAAAGTCCTCCGGAAGTTGCGTCCGGAAAATATGGAGATCTGTATAATAATGCAACCGAAATACCCAGACCGAAAGACTTGGAAAGCGACGTCGATGAGCACAGTCGGTTGTTGTCGACAAGTGTAGAAGAAGCTAGTCGCTGGGAATTACCCAAGGTATGTTGCATCCTCCATTCTATATCCTTGAAACCATCCAGCGAACTCACATGAATCGTCTAGCCTGGTTCTAGCTCTAAACGCCTTCGCGCCGGCACATATCGGTCATCGTGGATGTTGATGAAGTACTTGGCTGCCACATATCCACCTGCTTTCCTGGCTCTCCTGGCGGCTATAATGCCTGCTGCTATACTCGACGAGATATCTACGAGCCTTGTCAATACATCCGAACTCAGATCTCAGCTGATTCTCTCATCTTACATCCTTGGACAGGGATTTGGTTTGCTAATCGCAACGCCGCTAACCAATGCCTACGGCCAGTGGCGCCCGGCGCTTTTGTTCGTCTGTGTTTCTGCTGTGTTTAATCTCGCGTCCGGTTTCTCGAAGACTTCAACCCAGCTGATCTGGTTCCGATTGCTGTCCGGAATTGGAGCCAGCGGGTCAGCGGCGTTGCTGACCATTCCGATCAGTCTGAGTACAATGGGTCAAAGAAAGGTAATCGGGGCCCTATGCGGATTTTCGCTATCCCTTGCTTTTGGCTTGGGACCATGGTTCGGAGCGATGGTGGCACAACGGTTGTCCTGGGCCTGGTCATTCTGGATCTTGGCAGCTATGTTGTTGCTGCAAGCGCTGCTGTTGATCGTGGTTTGCGGAAGAAGTCTTGTCCATAATGACGATCCCTTCAAAGACGCCGATGATGACCTAGCAAAACAGAAAACGTCAGCCGTGCGGGTTTTCGCGGTCGACGGCATTGAGATATTCCAAATGCTCAGAGATCCAATCCTCGCTCTGTTGATAGCCTGGCGTTCTCTCTGCGCTGGGACATTGTACTTTATCCTCTCGAGTCTCGCCGGGCTTTTGCAGGAGAAGTACGCTCTCTCTCTCCCCAGCTTCGGTGCCTGGTACCTGGCTTTGGGAGGAGGTGTCGGTCTCTGTCGCTTCTTGATTCGAACGAGTCCCGTGTGGGAGCCAGACAGCATCGCCAGTGAGGACGACCAAGCAGAGCGCTGGCTCGTGATGAGCACTCCTAGCTCGGTTTTGATCCTGGCCGGACTCACGCTCTACGGCTGGTCTGCCGAGAAGTGCACCAGCGTCGCACTCACCGCCGTTGGACTGGTCGTGTTCTCGATCGGGCACGGTGCGATTTCGGAATTTGCAACGCGCTACACCGTCGACGTGTACAGGATGAAGGCCCTACCCGTGCTCAGAGCCATGAATTTTGCAATGGACCTGGCTGGGTTCGGGTTCCCTTTGTTCGCTCCCGCCTTCGTCCGGCGCTGTGGGTACGGGTGGTCGAGCACGATTCTTGCGTTGTCCGGATCGTGTGTTTACCTCTTTGTTGTTCTCGTCTTGCGCACGTTTGGCCTCGAAATCCGCACGCGAAGGAGGAACATTGCTGAACGCTGGGTCTCGAAAACCAAGGCTCGGAAGACGAGCAGAGCAAGCTTGTCTTCTGCCCAGGACGTTGACGATGGAAGTGTTGCTGACAGCTGGGACTCGATTTCTCATATTCGGGCCACCAGACCAAGCCTGTCTTCACCCCAGGATTTCGACGACGACGACGACGATGATGACGACTATGACGACGACCCACGATGACGCGCGTGAGGATGATCGCGTGTAGAAAGTTCCATGGGGGCGAGGGTGAACGTCGAGTTTACGTAGGGGGGAATGGCATCTGTCCAGACAGGCTCGGTGGCTCGCATTGCTTTTTTACTGTCGGTAACTCCGAGCCAACAGGTGCATGTCGCGTCTCGTCACATCCCCCCCATCCTCGTCCATGTGCTTGTACTTTGTACATGCCAAAACAGGGTTCATTACCAGGGGTTGGGGGAGGGGGGGG